TTATTATTTATATAGAAAAAAAAAAACCCTTAAATAATATATAAATCTTTGCCAAATGATATGAAACTTTCCAAGAATTGTTTTTTTCCTTCAAGCGTTATTGTTTAAGTGCATTTTGTTGTTTTTTCCTTTTGACTTTTTAACCAAATGCCAATTATTTTCCTGGAGAAATCCTCTAAAACAGGACGGTAGATGCCCCCATAAATTACATTATTTTATTCTTTATCCTCTTAATTCAGTTCTTAACCATCCTCTTCCTTCCTCAATTTGTATATTAAATTTCTGATCCTGTTTATAAATAATTTATTTTACATCCTTTACCTTATATTTTCCTTCGATTCGTGAGCCATTCTATATTTTTGATTCGTATCGTATTGCCATTATTCCTTTAAAAAGAAATTTTTTTATTCCATTCTTCAGCTATTCATAACATATTCCTGTTCCTTCTGCTTTATATATCTCATATCTAGTTTTATATCGAGTTCCTATACTATCCTATCAAAGCATTTCATGTCCTAGAAAATTTCAATCTTTTCCACATTATTTATTATAGATCCCGGGTATAAATTTTATTATTATTCTATATACTTTCTTCCACCCTCTTCTTCTAACTTTTGACTCGTATTTCGAATAAAATAAACATCTTCAAGACCAGTTTCATCTTTCCATAACTGACTTTTTATGTGTCCTGTTCGGTAGGGAGGGGTGCTTCTGTCATGCTACTATAGAAGAAATATCTTTAAACTTTCATTCCACATACCATCTACTGATGAGGAAATTGTCTACTAATGGGAACAACTAGGGATGAAGTTAAACTTCCACAAGATAGTTTGACGTATGATAAATCCAATTTTGAAACAATTCAGCCAGAGTATTTCTAATGAATTCTTCTTCACTCTAATTACAGAATACGTTCTAAATCATTCAAAGTGTTAAAATCTTCTTCTTCTTCTTCTTCTTCTTCTCCTCCTCCTCCTCCCTACTTTTTCCCTTCCTTCCTTCCTCCCCCCTTTCTTCTTTCTGTTCTTTTCTAGCATCTAATAGATCTTTCTATGGAACTCCCATGCTTCAAATCTATTGATTAGTACACGAACTGGGCACTTCTAGGATGTTGGGGGTTGCGGGAATGACTCACTGGGAGTAAGAGCATCACCGACTTGATGTCGCCATGGTAACGTCAAAACTGACTAATATCTCAAAGTGATGACTTTTCCCCAAGTCGAAAGAACTCCTATCAACTTTATCTTCATCCTCATTTTAAGGGCCTGTAAACTTTGACTCTATTAATGATTTTCTGAAGCCATTTTAACATATAAAACTGTTATGGAATAGCACTTTTGAGGGAGGATAATCGATGAATCGATGTGGAATTTTCTTTCTTTTTTTTTGTTTTTATTTCCTTTTTCTATTGTGTTTTTTGGACCTCTAATTGCTTCGTATACACTTCGTTCGTTGTAAATAGCATCTAAAGTACAGGAAATATGCTGGGAAGTATGTACATAATTTGTAGGATTCTCAAACTTTTAAACTGGAAGTTTGACTTGCCCCACACGGAATGGCATAAATTACGCTATTTACTCTTATAAATTAGCATCTATGCATCCAAAGTCATCTTAATTTAAGCACAGGATAGCATAGTTCATTCATAAATACGCGAATTATCACCCCCCCTAAAATGGAAAATAGCATGATTTTATTATAAATATATCATTCCTTACAGATTATATTCTATAAAATAGCATTGCTTATACAAGGAAGCTCTATACACATTTTAAAAATAAGCTTAATATACAGGAAGAGAGATATTAAGATCGGAATTAGCTTAATTCTTTCTATCTCGAGAAGTATGGAATTTCCGCCATAATTCCAAAAATAGCAGTCTACAAAGTATAGATTATTATATAAAATGGTCTTCTGTGTATAAATATAGGAGAAAAACTGGAAAAAATAAAATAGCACGCTACAAAAACTAGCATAAACGTTACAAAATGACCCCCGCAAACATCAATTTTTGGAAATTGCATAAATAGCACATTTCATAAAACCCCAAAATTCTAATAAAAAAAATATACATAGCATAAATTTATAAAGTCGTAGGCCACAAAATCTTTTAAGGAATAGCGTCATTTTCCGTAGGTAATGCAGAGTAACTTACAATATAAATTACTATTAATCATACTTAAAAAATAGCGAAGAATAGCATTTCCTTTAACAAACAAAGTAATTCACAGCATAAATTACCATTAGCGCTTCCTTATTGAGTGAAATGTATAATGATAACATACCGTTTTTCATAAATTATATAAAAATTCTTTCCTTCTAAGGGGTAGAAACAGGGATTGGGGGAATCGGGAGATACAATTGTTTCAATATATTCGAGTAAAGCGCGCTGGAGGCCTGATTCTACAAATGTTATCTGCAATAAACCGTAGAGATTCTTTTCATTTCGAAAGAAGAAGGAGAAGAAGGTTCTAAACAATGCTCTTGATTTCAACTATAATACCAACAAAACTAAGGAATGCAATAGACAGGAATGCTGCTAAGTTATTTTGATTGGTTCCAGGAATTTCCTCCAAGTACAGAGTTTGACCATGATTTGTTTTTTAATTAAAACTTTTAAGAATTAAATTCGTAATCTTAAATTCGAAAATTTATCTTAATAAAAGCTTTTAAACACAATTTTCTTTTGTAATTTACACAGATTATTCGATTAACCCCCCTCCTCCTCCTTGTAAGCTGGCAAACGAACCGACACCCTCCCCACTTTGTAAACGATATCCATTTACTAAAATAGATCAACGGTTCAAAATTATGGACTATTAACTTATTTTTAATTCCGTTTTATTATATTACTAATTTAAATTAAGATAATTAAAGCAATTAAATTGAATTTTTCCCCCTTGATGTTAACCCGCGTATAACACCACACTTTGCGCCAAGATTCCTGAAGATCGGTACGTTGCAGCAAAATTCCGAAAGTAGAGGAAACAAACTCCGAAATCTCTCTAACTAACCATAAAATATACATTAATCTACTCCCGATTTTAATCATAATTTAAATAATTTCTTTTTTTCCTTAAATTACGCCGGTAGTAACACCCCCGCACCCCCGCGCGCGCGAGCGTGCGAGTAGGAGCACCACTAAACAGTTTACCAAGAGCGCAGGAAGTATAATATTATTTATATTTACGGTAAGGGAGGTGGTAATTTCGGTAAGTTGAACGGCCGGGGGGATGGTTGCAACTTAAATTACCCACCCGACCTTCCGACCTCCCCCTCCTCCTCCCCCGTTCGCAACTAGGATACGTATCGAAAATGGGACCCTGACTTACCTTTCGCTACTGCTGCTTGGGTAACGATGAAACATATGAATCCATAAAGTAAAGAAATGGTGATCGTATTATGGCTCTCGATGGGTAACACCATGGTATAGAGGTTCACTTAATATTGTTGTAGCTTAAATTACGTGTAAACTGCTACCAGGCAGCTAGCTTCTCCGGACCAGACCTTCCATGCTTTTGCTCTGACACATCGGATGTACCAGTAGAACTCCTTCTCCGACGACATTTATTGGTTAGCGCCGGTGTCAGTTGTCCACTTCCAACAGTCTCCAGCAGGGGGTGTTGTATACCAGACTACTGCTCTTCTTCGATCAATGGTCTCTTGCTCTTTCCTACAGCATCTAGTTAAGGTCTTCGATAATGGGCGATAGTTTAAGGATGAATTTTTTTTCTTATTTTTTTACAAGTTTTTCGAGTTTAATAAACTCGAATCTTCATCTCGATGATGTCCTAACAACTTTTCTTAATAATTTTCTTCTAATTATGCCTTGCAAAGGGGATGAAGTCGGTGTGTGTGTGTATGAAGTGGGTGCCACGTTATGGATTCAATTGGCACGCTGCGTAAAATGTTTTAATTAAAATTTATTTATTTATTTATTTATTTTAATGTTCGCGCGACAATTCTCGTGAGTTACGCTCGTGTTTTTATGCTGTTTTATCTGTTTTTTTTTTGTAAATATTGAAGCATTTTTACGTCACGGCAATTAACGTAAACGTATCTAAGGTGCTTCGTAAGCGTAAAAGTTGGGAAAATACGTTTAAAAAATCACCAGAAAATATAGAAAATAATATTAAAATTAATAAAATATTCCAGTTTTTGTATAGGAAAAATAGCCAGGTGATGAATACCCAATGTATTGAGTTTAAAAATAGTATTAGTAAAGAGAATAAATAATATTTAATTATTTATTTAAAATGATTAATTAAAGAAGAATTAATTATTCTAAAATAAGCTTTAGGTTATTTAAATTATTATATTTTTATCGTATTTATATTATATATATATATTAATCAAATTCTATAATAGCCTAAATTTATAAGTGTTAATAATTAAGTATTAGTGTAATTAATTAATACGTGGATATAATATAATAAAATTTAACTTATTTTTATGAAAATATACGCTGTCGAACCTCTGAAAACGGCCACCTGCCAACGACGGCCACCTGTAAAAAGGTAATTTTTTTCAGAGGGTTTCTTTTCGAAATGCAAACGGAATAACCTGCAAACAACGGCCATTTTTCATCTTGCCATCAGTGACCGTTGTTTACAGGTTTAAGTTTTATATTGTTCTATGTGAGTTATATTGAATAACCTTAATAAAATTCGCTAAAGGTTAGGATAAGTATTAAGTATTATGCACCCAATATTGGGTGCATACATACTTAATACTATAGGGAGGAATATACAGTATGTTTAATACTACATAAAGTATATTTTCGGTTATATATGCATTAATAGATATGTTTATAACACTACAATCTAGTACTATGTATCAAGTTCAGTATATACAGTAATTATTGTACTATACAGAACAGTTTGCCTGTAATTATAGTACTGTGTTATTATACTCGTACAAGCACTGTTATATACAATATACTGTGTACTGTAAATAACAGTAATCTATATAAGACTAAACAGTTATAACACCTATATTGGTATGCTAAAACAAATACTAAAGCAGTTATAGTATAACAATAATGTTATAGTACTGTATAACACTGCATATACAGTTACAGCATTATAATTCAGTATAAATAACTTTAATTATAATACTGACGTCGTCGTTAAAAAATTACAATTAAAAGTAGTCAAATTTTGCCATTTTAAATATATTTTGAAGCAATTTACAAAGGAAAAATTACTTTATAAAGTTAGTATAATTGCTTGTGGTTATTACTGTACTCACGCTACTATAGATTTACATTAATATTAATACTATCAGGATTCAGAGTTACTTAATTAACGTTGTTGCATTAAGTTTCGCAGCTTCTGTTCGAATCAATAGAATCAGTTCTGATAATTTTACATGTGAAATTGTTTTAATAAGATTGGCAACACTGTGATATATAGCGATACTCTAGGATAGTTTGGAAGGTATTATATCTTCCTGCTATTACTAATAGCCTCATAATATTGGGTTTACCTCTCACTGCTACAACAAATACGTCTACTAATAGGACTCTCTTGCTACCACTGTATATCACTAATATAATAGTTATTTTCTTACTACACCAGTAACAATCTTTTATTTAATTTAATATTAAAGTTAAAAGCCGTTTTTAAAGATTTTGGTGTGTAAAATACTACATTAAACCTCCTTTCTGAGTACAGTTTATGCTATTATATTATTAAATGTATCATTGTCAGAGACGTTAACTAACAATTGTAGTAATAAAAGATGTTTTTTTTTTAATCTTTGTGACTTTCCTCGGTTGTCATAAGATCCTAAATACATTTGACAAGATCAGAGTAATTTGTCTTCCGTAATTGCAGCAGGCCCCATATAATTTAGGAAAGATAATGTATGTGATCTGTATTTATGATAGATGCCAGTGGATAAGAATTTTCAAGGTTGCTGAAGTTCGATCCATATATCACTTAATTGAAAAAAAAAAAAAAAAAAAACAGGAGGCAAGCAAGCGCATCTTCCTAAACTTATTAAATTCTAGCTTATATACTAAAATAAAATATCTTAAGCGCTATTACACATCAAAATTTCTATACCCCAAAATATTATTGTGTTTATTTTACTTATATTCCTTACACAGGTCAAGGTTATACCCTTCCTAGTGAGTAATTTGTATGCTATAATTAATAATACAGATGCACCACTACTTATTGTGGCTACTAACAAATTGCCTATTATTTCTGCTTTTACTTGGTCACAATTATTGTTATTAATGCTGGATACTCTCATTAAAGTGTTTGTTTTTACTTACAGGATTATTATTTTGTATAAAATATATACTACGCTCTATCGTCTTGTGTGCATGAATTTATTACAGAGATTCGTATGTTGTTTTGCCTTTGTTATCGAGTTACAAATGCTAGTTAGCATGCAATAGGAGAACTAACAGAGAGTACTGGTGATGCTGGTATCGTAACACTCCTTATTGCTGGCTTGTGAATACTCCTTGTCTTACAAATGATGGTTGCACAGTTCTTGTCATTGACCTTAGTCCATGCAGGAAGGTTGTATATGATTCTATAATGTGGTCTGTTTAACATCCTTTTAATCCTCCTTTAAGTATGTTCTTCCTTTGTTGGGTAATCACATAAACAGAAGATCATTTTTGCATAAATAACTTCAATTTATGTGAGGAAAATATAACAATTTTTAAGGATTTTTACCTAAAATTTAAACTTCACTTCGATATTTTTTAAAATTCCTAATAAAAAAAAAAGAAGGGAGAAAACCTAAGAATTTTCACTTGTTTAGTGTTTCTCTTTAATCACCCATTATTTTTTATTAATAGTTTAGAATTTTTGATTTATAAAATTAGTTTAAACATTAATTTTTGAAATTTATATCGTACTTACAAGCATTAACATTCGTTAATTTAATTTAAAATTAAAAATTGTAATTTTTTACTTCACTAATCTAATTATTTACTACGTATTTCTCTCAATTATTCCCCTGTAAAATCACTTTCTAACATAACATCTAACTTCCTTGTTTTAAAAATCAAATTACTTTTTAATTAAAATTAAAAACATTGTAATTAACAGTACCTAAGTTACATTATTTTTTTAATTGCAATTAAAAGTAAATCCTAATTACAGATAAATTGACATTTAAGTAATGCATCCAATCTAATTAATTATAATCGACTAATTACAATTAATTTTTAAATATATATACAAACATATATCAAAATAAAGGGTGTGTACCAGTAAATGCGCAAATAACTTATTAATTACATGGAATAATTAAAATTACATTAAAGTAGCTTAAATATTTTATAATTTGCTTAATATTTTTATAAATTATTTATAAAATTCCTTTTTAAAAAAACCTTAAATACGCTCGTTTAATGGGAAAAACCGTTTGGTACCGGAGTCGCCATCTGGTGCCGCAGTTTTAAAGTAGACCGTCTCTTATCATTTACATTGTTTAATTGCTATAATTAATTAATTAATTTTTTTTTAGGGATAAATTTGATTTTTTGAAAGGAGGGATTAGATTCTACTTTAAAATAATTGTTCGTATTAATTTATTTGTGTAAGGAAGTGGCACTTTATTTACAGACGAAGTGCAATTCGATTTGAACAAAGGATAAGTAATGAAGGGATTTCATAGAATCGTCAGCTTTGCTTTATACAATAAACGAGAATATCCGCTGTTAGCAATGAAGCATTCAATTGTTGACTGAATTAATCATCTATTGTTATATGGAAATTAGAATGAAAGACAAAATTTGACGAAATTTCATAGAAATAAAAGGCGAAGTATTGAAAAGACATGTTTAATTTCTCATTTGTAAGCTTAGTTATTCCTCAAAACGATAATAATTAGTAAATATCCCTTGTAATAAAACTTTACTGTCAATTGTTGACGATAATTATAATTGTTGATATTGTTCTTGAAATGTAAACCTTCTTTGCTATCGTCATTGTTTTCATACATTTGTTTTTTTACATCGTTAATTCGTAAATAAAATGTACCTGTTTTTGTAGATTTAAACACCAAAATAATGTTAATTGATAGCCAAATTTTCTTTGTTATTGTAATAAATGAAGGTAAGTTAAATTTATGTGTAATTTAAAAAAATTATATGAGAATTTTCTTACTAATTATAGAATCTGATAAAATATCAAGACTATCAGAGCCTTTTCGTGTGAGTTGACTAGAATCCAGACTACTGGAGCCTACTTTTGTATCTTGGCTAAAGCATAGAGTATTGGAGCCTACTTTTGTGTCAGTTGGCTAAAGTATAGACTACTGGAGCCTACTTTTGTGTCAGTTGGCTAAAGTACAAACTACTGGAGACTACTTTTGTGTCAGTTGGCTAGAATACAGAATTATTGGAGCCTATTTCGTGTCAGTTGGCTAAAATATCAAGATTATGGGAGCTTTTCGTAAAATGTGAATTTATGTTAGATTTTTGTTTATTTTTTTAAATGAAATTTGAATTTTCTGACTTTAAAATCTGTATAATAATGAAATATTTTAAAAACAAATAAAAAATTTCGGCTATAACATTGAATTTTGGCTTATATACGGTTTAAGTTAGAAATTTCTACACTTTATATTAGGAATAACTAAGGGACCATTCGAATATTACGTCAGCATTTTATGGGGAATTCGTTTGTATTTGACGATTACTGACGATGGAGGCGGGAGGGTGAGTCTTTGATAACGTAACATTGCACCTGTTATTTATCTTTTCCCCAATCATCACAAAATTATTTGAAAATAATTCATGTATATTTGTAAATGGTTGAAACTTCTGGTCTGATGATATAATTAGAGTGAGGGTGTATCTTGATTTCTGATAATGGAAGATAAAAATTCAGCTAATTTTTGCTAATGTAATATTTCAATGGTCCCTAAAGATTTGATAGATTATCTGTCCATCATGCTCTATAATTTAAATAACATATATAAAACTGAATACGTTTGACTGAAGGTACTGTGTTTTAAACTTCTGTTATGAAGTTTAAAACACAGTACATGGATTTATGATTAAACATTTAATTAATTTCCTTTCGTATTTCTTGTCATTTCCTATATCCTTTGTTATATATCCTTTTGATTTAAAAATTAATTCGTTTATTAAGATAAAATATTACTTGACCTAAATTATATAAAAAATAACAACGTTTCAAGAAGATAAGGGCCATTTAAAATTGTAAACAGATAACAAAAATAATGTAAAATGTAAGATGGAGTCAACTGTAAACAGATACAAATCTAAAAAATAACCAGGAATTTTACTTGGATAAAACAAAAATCCGCTAAATCTCCGTCCAGATAGATAAATAAAAATGTCAGTCTTCAATATAACGATAAACATTATTTTTTTTAATTAAATTAATTAAGTACAGAACAGTCCAAAAGTCAGGAACAAACTCAGTAAATTTTGAGCCTAGATGCATGCGTTTAACACAGGAATTTTTGAAGTACAAACGTTTTATGTACACTTTACAGCTTTTGCCAGTAGGCGGAGCTGTTTACGGAATGAGGCCATTACAGTGGTACCTCAGGATACGAAATTAATCCGTTCCGAAACTGAGATCATATCACGAAAATATCGTAAGGTGGATCATCTTTTCCCATACGATTACATGTAAAACCAAATAATTCGTTCCAACGCAAAAAACATACTCAAATTAAAGCCAAGTAATTCATTTAAAAAAATAACTGTAGTAAGAAAAACAAATGAAAAATGCGAACTAATGTAACGTCGTATGGTGAGTTTTTGTTCGTATCGTGGAGCAAAAATATGTTCGAATTTCATGTCGTATCCTGAAAATTTCGTATGCTGGGGCGTTCGTAACCTGAGGTACCACTGTATTTTNGTTAGTGCTCAAAATTAAAGGATAATCTTCAAAAGGATACAAAATTCACATTGTAAGTATGAAAACGTGAGTAACTTTTGGGCTTTTGTGTACATGAAAACTTAACAATGCAGAAGATAAAAGTGCACCTGCAAATGCATGTCATGGCCCAAAAAGTGCAAATTTCCAATGGGTTAAAAAGTCATGATACCAGGCATAAGTGGTGATGATGCAACCCTAAGTTCAGTTTAGTGATGCATGAAATCTGACACGTCACAAAGATGTGTAGATGATTTTCGAAGGTGGAGAGCCATTGGTAGGTTAGAAGCTGGCCAGTATCACATGAGTGTCCAGAGCTGTAAATATTCTCTTCAGACTCTGGAGACAGCTCCAGGAAAGAGGAGATGTTTGTTATTGACTAGGAAATCATCCTCTGCTATGTCTAAAAGCAAGATGATCCAGGGAGATGACAAATCACTCGAGCTGACAGCAATTACAGTGACAAGATCATCTTCACATATCATGTACAGAAGACTTCAAGAGATGGGCCTTTATTTGAGAAGAAAGTAATTTGTATCCCTTTCATTCCCTTTACCAAAAACTCTTGGTTAACATGGAGCTGTAAACATCACCTTCAGAGTTCTAACAAGTGGGCAAATGTTCTTTTCTTGATTCAGTTTGAATGCAGTACTAAATCTGATATGTTGTCATTTGGAGATATGCAGGGACATTAGGGAAAGATGGCTTTGGTGATGGTGGTATTCTTGTTTAAGCATGGAACATGACAAATGGGTCTGCAGATCTGCACATTTTACGGGATTACATGGTAATTACTCCAAAATAAAGTTGAAATCCTGGGTCATTATGTTAGACTTTCAATGGGAATAATTGCCTCAGATTTTACTTTTTATGCACAACACCCAACCTCATCAGACCCAGTTGGCAGACAGCTTCTTGGATAACTTCTTCAACCCCATCAAGTACCGTGTGGGATGCATTAAGAAGATGCATTGCGACACTGCAACCACCTCTCAGAATCCTCCAGGAGGTTCAACATCACTTGTAAAGAAGTGGGCTTTATTACTTCAGGACTTTGTTAATATTCTTGTCAACAGCATCAGAAATCATTGAGAGCTGTAGACTGTCAGAGGTGATCATACACCATATTAAGCTTTCATGTACTGCTGTATCAAAAAGTGCAAATATTGCAAATATTGCCATCTTCTATGTAATAATATTTATTAAATATTTGATAATAAAGTTTGTCACGTGACACTCAGAATCACATGGATGCTGATGAATGTATATTTCAGAGTACACGTGATTTCATCAAAATTCTGATAGTTGTCATTAAATTAGAGGCTATTAATGGATTAAATTGTACTTTAGGATTATAATTTCCATCTAATAATTGATATTATCATTTTCATTATGGTTAGGCAAATGGTTGTTCCATTTTTATTGAAAAATGCAACTTTTTATCCTCTTCAAAGAATTATGTCAACTCAAGGCTTATTTTATGCTAAAATGCTACATATGACTGCTTTATTTAGACATAAATGTGTAGAAACACAGAAAAATCAGTCATGCATGGCTCTGGTTGTACATAAACCCAAACTATTGAAGGTTAACTGTGGGTATACACTAAGAAACATGTGTACAGAGCTGAATTATCTGCATAATTCATCAAATAAAGTGTTAAATATATTAGAGAATAATAAATTTATCAATGGAGAGAGATTTGATGTCACATCGTTTCTAGATTTGCTATTTAACGAAGAAAATTTGACTGTTAACGAATGGGATACTTTAAAACAGAAGTTACTACATTATAGAAGGTGTAATGAAGTTAATTTTAGTGGTAAGATGATGAATGGCATTTCACTGAAGAAGAATTACACATTAGCCAAATCATTTTTAGAATATCTTCGAGAGAAGAAAATGGAACCTAACGTGGCGACGTTATCCGCTTATCTATATTTGTGTAGTTTTAATGTCGAAGTGTGCGGAGAGGAGACGATTCTGAGTGCCTATAAAAATATTGTAAGCAAAATTAAAATATTGGATTCAATCACAAGGCATAATATCGTGCAAGCATTATCTGTAACTAGTCATTGGATGATTGCATATGATATAATAAATAAAAATGAATTAGTCCCTTCAGAATGTGAGAATTATTGTGCAGTTTCTAGTGCCGCATTTAAACATAATAGAACTGATATTGCTTTAAAACTTGTGCAGCAAATTTTTAGTTTAAGAGGAAAATTGACTGAAAATGTATATGTTAGATGGTTAGAAGCTGCATTAAATAATCCAAGTGAGTTGCACCAATTAATTGAACAGTTACTATCTTACTTAACATCTAGCGAAGCCCTACTTCCAGTAAATTGTGTTGATAAACTTGTAGAATGTTTCAAAAGGTATATATATTCATAAACAATTGATTTATGTTAGTGCTCAAAATTAAAGGATAATCTTCAAAAGGATACAAAATTCACATTGTAAGTATGAAAACGTGAGTAACTTTTGGGCTTTTGTGTACATGAAAACTTAACAATGCAGAAGATAAAAGTGCACCTGCAAATGCATGTCATGGCCCAAAAAGTGCAAATTTCCAATGGGTTAAAAAGTCATGATACCAGGCATAAGTGGTGATGATGCAACCCTAAGTTCAGTTTAGTGATGCATGAAATCTGACACGTCACAAAGACGTGTAGATGATTTTCGAAGGTGGAGAGCCATTGGTAGGTTAGAAGCTGGCCAGTATCACATGAGTGTCCAGAGCTGTAAATATTCTCTTCAGACTCTGGAGACAGCTCCAGGAAAGAGGAGATGTTTGTTATTGACTAGGAAATCATCCTCTGCTATGTCTAAAAGCAAGATGATCCAGGGAGATGACAAATCACTCGAGCTGACAGCAATTACAGTGACAAGATCATCTTCACATATCATGTACAGAAGACTTCAAGAGATGGGCCTTTATTTGAGAAGAAAGTAATTTGTATCCCTTTCATTCCCTTTACCAAAAACTCTTGGTTAACATGGAGCTGTAAACATCACCTTCAGAGTTCTAACAAGTGGGCAAATGTTCTTTTCTTGATTCAGTTTGAATGCAGTACTAAATCTGATATGTTGTCATTTGGAGATATGCAGGGACATTAGGGAAAGATGGCTTTGGTGATGGTGGTATTCTTGTTTAAGCATGGAACATGACAAATGGGTCTGCAGATCTGCACATTTTACGGGATTACATGGTAATTACTCCAAAATAAAGTTGAAATCCTGGGTCATTATGTTAGACTTTCAATGGGAATAATTGCCTCAGATTTTACTTTTTATGCACAACACCCAACCTCATCAGACCCAGTTGGCAGACAGCTTCTTGGATAACTTCTTCAACCCCATCAAGTACCGTGTGGGATGCATTAAGAAGATGCATTGCGACACTGCAACCACCTCTCAGAATCCTCCAGGAGGTTCAACATCACTTGTAAAGAAGTGGGCTTTATTACTTCAGGACTTTGTTAATATTCTTGTCAACAGCATCAGAAATCATTGAGAGCTGTAGACTGTCAGAGGTGATCATACACCATATTAAGCTTTCATGTACTGCTGTATCAAAAAGTGCAAATATTGCAAATATTGCCATCTTCTGTTTCTACAAAACGGACTTTAAATTTCATAACAGTGTTAACATTCATCCCACATTTGATTGAATCATCTAACAATAAATCTATACAACAAATCTTGTTGTGTTAGCCTACTCATAATGTGAATTATGTGTTGTTTTGCATATTATCCTTTAATTTTGAGCACCGGTGACATTGAAAATGTAAATTATAAGTAAAAATATTGGTTTCTTTTAAATTTTTTCTTTATTTTTCTAGCTTAAAGAATGAAAAATGGACAAGTAAATTAGTGAATATAAATAGGTAAATTTTATTTGATTTTTTAATTTACTAATGCGTTAATTGCTGAAGAATTAAAACTTTTTAAGATATTCATAATGAATAGTGTTTTGTAATAGAGTATCGAGCATACAATTTTTATATATAAACAAAGCCCAAAGCCCAACATATTAATATGAACCAGCTGAGTGCCATAGTGGAGGAATGCATAAACCATGGACTTAGAAGTCCTTCCCAATCAGAACCATAGGTAACTGTGGATGGTTATATCAAAGGTTTAAATATGTCTGGAAGCAAAGAGTCACTTGGAGGTCCAGGTGCACTGCATGGTAGGCAGAGGTTGCAGATTCGACTTCCGTTCCAGGCCAATTCTTTTATTCCAGACTGTTCTAAATTATTATTTTCAATGAGAGATGGCATCTAACGTTTCTCTCTCATACTAAATTACTTAATTTTTAATTATTAATTGTTGCATAATGTATCCCAAATAATTAAGGTTGTCGTTTGGTTTCCTACATTTTTTTATCTACGGTATAGCTTTAACATGCTTAAGTTACCAATCCACCAACCTTGTTCAAAAGCTAATTATTAATTAATTAAATTACATAATTTGGTTTAAAGACTACCTTTATAATAAATTCTAGCTTTTAGATATGTTTGGCTATTAAAATTGGGCTATGGTGTATTACAACAAATCTAACAATATTTATATTAATATTAGTTTGGTTATATTTATATTAATATTAGGTTGGTTGTAGTATGTTTATTATACACGTGTGTGGAAAGGTTTCTTAAACTTGATTCATACAAATGTGTACAAAGTTTACCACCCCTACCCATGGAAATATCATTGTAATTACCACCAGCGGTTATTCACTGAAGAGGGACTGGAAAATATTAGACCAGCCCGAAATGCATTTGATGTAGTCTTTACAAAATAAACTTAATTTGCCAATACGATTGCTGTGAGATTGGTCTACCAAGAATAATTTTTGGATTACAGAGACAAAAAACGTAATATTAACTAATATACAGCAAACAATTTATATATATTTTAAATCTAACAACATCTATACAACAAATCTTGTTGTGTTAGCCTACTCATAATGTGAATTATGTGTAGTTTTGCATATCCTTTAATTTTGAGCACCAGTGACATTGAAAATTACATTTTCAATGTCACCGGTTGCTCAAATAAAAAAAAACGATTGAAAATGTGTTTCATTGGTAAATTGCTTTTAGTAATATATTTTACATATTTATTTACTTTAATTAAATACTAGTTTCAACTGTTATTTTTATTTGGTATTGGAATTAAAGAATAGTGGTTTTAGATTGTTTAACAATTTAAAACTTCTTCTAAATATATTGTTCTTGGAGGAACTAATTGTTAAGAGGGCTATGAAGTGATTAAGAATACAAATGGCATCTTCACTCATCCTTTTTTCACACCAGAAACTAATCTAATATGCACTGAGGTTCAACATTTTATTTGAGGCTAATTTCTAAGGTTCCAACCAAGATTTGAACCCAGCTCCTTTAGAATAATAGGCCAACACTTGCCACAAATTCTTAGGTCATAAGACCTATTGCAACAAATGTATGATATAAACATGTGTACAGCAAACTTATGAAGTTCATTACATTTATTAAAGGTTTTTGTATATTGCATTAGTTTAATATTGTTATATCTTTAAATATATTTATATAAGGCACATCAAGAGGAGAGGGAAACTTTGGAGATTATAGTACGGGTCATTGTAAGGAAAAGCTTTATACAAACATTTCCAAACTTATTTCCCTCTCCTCAACTCATCCTGTATAATATATTGTTCAGAATTTAAAATAAATTTTCTTTATTATTAAAACAGGCAGGGTATATGTCCAAATTGTAATCATCGACTGTCTTGTATTGACGTCACTACCGATCAGTTTAACATGCTGAAAGACGCAGTTTTATCTAAATTGATGAAGGATACAGACGTTTATTTGAAAACTACACCAGACGAACTGAACAGATTTCTGAATTTTGTGAAACATACATCGCCATACGATCTTGTCATAGATGGTCTCAATGTGTCTCATTATCAATCCAAGAAAAGTGCTATTGATCGAGCTCTGCAGGTAAGCAAGAATAAACTTTTAATTTCTATATTGTGTACTCTGATATATAAAAGAACCGTTCATATTTAGGTATGCAACGAGTGTCTGTCTAATTTAGTAATGCAATTAAGAGATGAATTACATATAGCTATGTGGGCAATATTAACATAATTATGAAGTAAAATGTCAGAAATTTGAATTATAATTGGTATATTTAAGGAAGATTTGTGATGAATTCCTGAGTTTATACAAATGATTAACTTAAAAAGTGACCATATCTGCACATCTATGGACTCTATATACCATAAGGTTGCACATATGAAATCTCTTGTTACTCTTCTTAACAATATTCTTAATTAAATTTAACATGAGATGGTGACTTAACCACCTACCTCTAGTCCAAATTACTTAGTATCTTAATAACTAATTAACTGTATTATAGCTCGATGATAATCAAATAATATATTAATAGCTGGATTCTTTGGGTTTGGTTTTATATGTAATCAAATTCTTCTTAACCTTTAGTTGAGTTTGTTCTCAACAGGTGTAACTTACTGATGGAGAATGTCTTCAACTGCTTACTCTATTGCTATCTGTGTGTTCCAGTGCACTAATGTTTCAGTGACGTTAGCAACAATCTTGTTCTTTTTGGCTCTGTTGACAAGACTGATAGCAAACAGTGGTGCTAATTTTAGCAATGTGTCACCAATGGCATGTAGGTCCATTGCCACTTCAGTTAAACAAAATGGCGACATCAGTGGATGATGCATGTATTGAAACATTCTCAGTTTAAAGTTGGCAAAACCGTGGCACATCAATTACAAAATAATAATCATCTTATTTTTGGTTGTTTTAGTTATAAAATCAATATAAATGGAATAAATTAGTTTGATAATGCACGATATCCTTATTGTTGTCACCGGATACAATCATATTGCATGCATCAGTTGTGACTGCAGGGCAGTGTTTTCAACAACACCTCTGTTTTGAGTTGAAGGGTGTATGACATCACACATTGCAAAGTGGCTAGCCTCCATAACTGTCTATATTGGTGTACTGGAACATGCAGTATATTATACTTTTACTCTTTTGGAAGTGTTGATCATGCACAGACTTGACTATTACTAAATGATAGGTGTAATAGAAGGGATGATGTGTTCAGGATTATGCACTGGTTTTCCATAAAAGCATTACGAAGTTGGGGTTTATACCTTTATAACATATTGAATTCAATGTTTCTGTTTCCACACATTAAATTTCGTTTCTTAACAGATTTGTCCCTGAGGTTAATGCAGGATTTTGACAAATCTCCCTACATGAAATGACTGGACTTATTTTTGGATCCAGAAATAGCATTTTACCTATAAAGTCAAGCATGTTCTTTATAAAGCGATAAAATAGAAGTGTGTTTCTGACTCTCCTTATTTGAAAAGCACTATTTTCAAATTATCAGGGATGAAGTTTGAGAGATGATTTCTGCATATCAGTTAATATTGATATAAGAATGATCTTGGGATGTTGTTACTCTATTCTGCAGCAGTGTAGTGTCATTTTTCATGAGTGTGAAGATACAGAGGAGCAAGAAATAGGGAATGGGGAATTTCCCATTTGTAAGTCTCGTGGATTATAGACAGGTAATATGAGTAAGAATCAATAATTAGTGCAAGCTGCAATATTTTCAAACTGAAAATATATCTTCCAGATCATCAATGGCACTACACCATTGCTATTCTCCAACTTTGATAAACTTAACTAGATTCTTATTATATTGTTTCTGTAGGACCATTTCCAAACCTCACGAGCTCCTTTTCACGAGGTTTATCATGAAGAGGAGCTCATGAGAATGATCTCTTGGATTCATCAGTAGCTTCATGTAATTTCTGTGAATCTACATGAATCACGTTGGGAAACACTCGAATGTTCAAATAAACATTTTAATTTGATGCAGTCTGAGGTGTGTTAGAATATACAGTAGAAGAAAAGTATATTTTTATACATATCCTTTTATTTTAATCTTCAAAGTCTTGGAAGTTAATCATTTTACATGTTTTTAAGTCAGAAAATGTTTATAAAAGTTTATAGAATCGATACAACTTATACTCCATTGTTATACAAACACCTTTGTTCGTTTATTAAGTTCGTATCTAGTTCAATTATGAGAAAACGACGTTTATTATCCTTATTCATATTAATGAATCTCATTAACAAATCGATCATAATGGTTTCTCCATCATAACAGATTCAGAGCACGAATGTAGGTTAAAGAGAATTGCTTCGACTGAATTTATGATCATCGTAAGGACACACCATGTAAATAAGTATGAATTATTTCATTTCTTGTTAATTTAATTAGTTTAAACTGTGTTAAAAGTTCAAATTAAGGATTGTTGTGGTGATTTCCTAATTTTATGCATCATTTTTTTAGGAGAATAGCAGCAAATCTTTTGAATATGCTTGAAAAAATAGACATATTTAATCTTTGAATGCAGAAAACTTTTTCAAAGCTCAGGATTTAGTAAATTTACTTCAATGTGTGTGTTTTTTGTGGTTATGACATCATTTCACTTTGATAAATACTTTTTACATTTTCAATATGAAATATTCCAAAAAGTTATAATAGAATGCAACAATTACCAAGAATAATTTAGCAAAAAATAATAAATCAAGTGATGCTACATGGCAGATGAATTCTTTCAACCCGTAACTCTATACCTTTCATTCGCAAAAGTTTTGCAAAAGTAGATTCATCTTTACTACTGTGCATTATGTCAGCCTGGCTGAGATTCGTAAAATGTACTTTTCCCTTTTCCTTCATTCTTTGTACAAATTTTAATTTTTCTAATGTTTTTCAAACCCAGGGTTTTATTTTTCAAAACATTTGCATTTTAAATTTTATTATCCAAGACCTCAATTTGCATCTGGGAATTTTCCTGGGCAAACTGTAGTGGATACATTGATCCCGTCTCTCTCACCTGGCCAATTTTGTTGCTGGCTTGGTCATATCCATGATAAATTTGATTTAAAATGTCCTCGTAGTGTCCAGATGAGAAAGTCAAATTTTCTTTCAGACAGTATTCAACTTCATTCATTTAGATTTGTAGACATAAATATCTGTAACAATATTCTTGAACTGATTTCAGGGTTTAGACAATGCGATGCAATTTTTCCAGCTCAAGGTTACTTTTAATGGTGAGTAAGTAATGAATTGTTTGGCACGTGATGTATATGGCACATTAGTGATGTATATTTACATCACTAATGTGTGCTTCTTACAGTCTGTGTTGATGTTTGATCATTAACTTATTAAGTAACTAGCAGATAAGCCCTGCGTTGCTCAGGCAAAAAGTAACGATAGCAAAGATTAGTATTAGTTTATAGCTGATCTTACTTGTTTTCATTGGGTGCAAGAATTAGGTCTCTTCTCTTCCAACACTAATTAGAGAATTTTTAGATATCTGCTTACCACACCAGAATAACGATAATTAAGACTCACTGCAACCACTAACCAGTGTGTAGTACCACTATGTGATGAATAATAAATGTTTTCGTAACTCTTTTTGAGTTCTTCTTCAGACTTACTTAATTCCAAAAATAAGTTGGATCTTCCAGAATCATTCATAAATATAAATTCGAACATAAAATTAAACATTAAGACAAAGAGTTCGAATAAAGCAAACTTATGCGCATGCACTCCCTGTGTCAACTTTAAATATGATGGAACACTAAATATCATTGAGAATTTTTATAAGGGTCTAAAAATATGTTCATTTTCTGCAAAAAAATGGCATCTAAAATAGTATAGTAAAAGCTAAGTTCTCCAGGGTAATCTTAAACTCTCTCCCATGTCCCCGCAGAGGGTATTTCCAAAAAAATTTTTTAGTGCACGTTCTCATAGCATACCCTATTAAAACGCAGTAAAAATGCAAAAATATGCATCTAAAATAGTATAATAGAAGCAGAGTTCTTCAGGTTAAGCGTTAATTCTCACTCTCTCTCCCCTGCAAGGAGGGAGAATTTCAAAAAATCCCTTCTTAGTGTATGTTCTCATAACCCTGTGTACCAAATTTCAACTTTCAACTCCTAACCGTTTGGGCTCTGTGCTTATTATTATTATTATCAACCCATCTTGATTATATATATATAGATTACATAATCATACCTTTACAAATTTATCTTTTTCTTTATAGTTGTATTATGTTGTAAAACATTTTGCAAAAAATAAAAACTTGAAAATTCTAATTTTGGGAAGGAGACACATGAAAAATTGGCCCAGGAAGTATATGGATTCCATTCAACAAATGGCCCATGTATTCTACACAGATAACATGTAAGAAATACTTTTTAAACTTGCACAAAATATGATTTTTGTCATTCATTTCAATGATTACCATTCAGATCACAGGACGATCCATTCATGATTTACGCAGCGGTGTACAGCGGACCGAAAACTTTGGTAATGACGAAGGATCTTTTGCGAAATCACAAATTCTCTCTTCAGGATCCGACTCTAGCCATGTACTTTGAACGCTGGAGGAGTACTCATCAAATGTTTCTAGATCGTGTGTACAAAGAAACCGGAACTGTTAAATATCAGGTAATTATTATATCAGGCATACAGACAAAAGCAGAACTTGCGATAAGTTTGGCCACTCTGAATTGTTACACCGGTAGCTTGCAGTGTTGCAGACTCCTCACAAGTTCTGTTAGATTACTTATTACTATTATTAACAATACTAAATCAGAGACAAAAATGTTTTGATAGGAACCACTTCATCATAGTATTACTGCACAGGGAAGCATGACAGATTCGTGGCACATACCTTACGATAACAACAATGTACAAGGTCCTTACGACATATGTGAACATTGGCTGTGTCTTACAAAAATAAAGTGAAATAATAATTATGGAATTAGTGTTTTCATTTTAACCATTGGCAAGGCTCGAATTAATTTAATGGTAATTATAAATTATTTATTGCTCCAAAAACACAGTATTTTGTATATAGAAGGAATAAATATAACAGATATATACAATATAATTGTTTTTTTGTACTTGAAAATAAATGCCTAACTTACAAAAACTGTAAGATAGAAAATTTGTAAAAACATACAATAATAATATATTAACTTAATATGTTATTAACTAAGCTAACAATAATTTAAAATTGACATGGAATAGTTGAAGATGGCATACTGCTTAAATCAGTCACGTAATGGTCCCATAAAAGCATAAAAATGGTGCAGATTGTGACTTCACTTCACTATAAACGTATTGCTGAAGGTCGATTTAAAGTTATAATTTAAGTATCGAGTAACGTCTGTGGCAGTACTCAAATTACAACTTGACTTTGAAAGAGAAGCTTTGTAAATTACGAAGACAAGTATTTTAAATATAGAAATTGTCAAACAGAACCCGGTTAAGTTTCTAACTGCCCCAATCGAGAGCACGCATAAATTCTTCCTCTGTGAAGTTCAGTGCTTTCGACGCTTCCAGGTGCATCTGAAAATTGATAAATGTTTAAATTATTTATACTGTGATCCAATATAAAATATATAAAAGTCAAATTTTAGACTAAAATCACTGTTAAAATCATTAATTAAAAGATTACTTTACCTGAAATACTAAATGAAAAATTAAAAATTATTTTTGACAGTAGTAAATGATACCTTCATATTTAATTTCAGAACATAAGATCTCTTTGTTTGGGGAGTATCAATGTTTTTTTTGTAATATTATTTCTTTCTAAAGATTATATTTCTTGATATGCGGGGCATCCAATTAGATAATTCATAAACTATCATGTGCAATGCTGTGAAATATGTTAATAGAAAGAAGAGAAATGAATGAATGTGGCAATTAGTTGCAGTAGATACCACAAGGATTCAGGTTTTTCTCAGAATGAAAGTGTCAACTTAATCTTAATTTTTGGAATAGAATGCACCAATCAATCAATTTAGGAATTCCAAGTTCCAGACATTCTTGCCTAGTTCAACTGTAAGAGCTCAGTTACATACACTCACGGCTGGAACCACTCATGCCATTTGGCGATACTCTTGTACACCTGTGCAGGTGTGGTAAAATGAGCTCGAAAGCAGCAACTACAGACAAAACTTTTGGTAAATTCAACAAAATGGAATGCTTTCTCCTCCTGTGTCACCACCATTTTGAGAAAAATCTACACCCTGGCAGTAACCGCTGCAACTAATTTCCACAGAGTAAAAGAGGAACGAAAACTTTTTATTCCTTATTAACATATTTCACACCACTCTATGTGACGTTACAAAAATTCATATTTCATAAACTGACTTATGGGACAATCTTTATTTTGGAAAATGAATAAAATGCATAAAGCCATTTCAGTACATTACAATAATCGTTCTTCCATCCAGGACCACAGAGGGGGAGCTGGGGAATTTTTCCCAGGCACAGAGGAAACTAAGGGCTGTAGTGGTTCCTAATGCTTCTTTATTAAGAGAAAAATCTTTTTGCTTTTTTTTTTTGAACAAATGAAATACATAAAAACGTCCACTCTAGTCTGGTTCCATCAATTTTTTACAGATGAATACACTAACATTAAATCAGTTTGTATCTATTTGGGATTATTGGTGCATTCTGTGCATTAATAATTGATTATCCATTACTTATTAGTAATGGATAATCAATTTTTTTCACATAAGGAAAGATTCAACTTTGATAAAATCAATATCTGTGATAATGATTCGACAATGAAGAACTTTGGAAACAACATCTAATTAGTTTAAAACTTGGCAGAACTCATAATTCTGTATAATTTTATAGTCAAGTCAAAACAAAAATGTATTCTGCTATAAAATTTGTTAATTTTGGATGTTACACGTAAAATCCTAAACTTGCCCAAGATTTTAGCCACCGAGATTATCTGATCTCACACCTTTTTAGATTTGTTTTTCTATGAGGTTTTGTGTCTTCTGTTTATTGATTTTTCTAAGAGTTTCAAAGTTACATCACATCAACCTATCACCCAAATTTACAAAATATACATTGCAGGAAGCATGTCATGAATTTGATTACCACATTCATGAGTGTGGTTTTAGATATTGAAAGTTTGAAATATACTGTTAAAACCTCAATAATTACGCTTTCACTTGATAACTATATAGCTTCTCTAAAAAAAAAATATGTTTTAATAATGTGTCACGATAGCCCACATATATATATATACAAAGATATCCGAAAAGTCTAGAGTCGCAGAAGAAACTTACTTCCAAGAATTATGTTCAATGCATTTATGTTTGACAATCAAATATCTTTAAAGTCATAGTACCATGTTTCTATTCAAGGAGCACATTAGGATCAATATCTTGATAGATAATAGTAATTCACTGCAAGTCTTAATGACCCGACTTTCTGGACATCTTACACATAATAATAATAATAATAATAATAGTTGAATTGTGTATTGTATAGAGAAAAAGTTTACTATGAACCATTTTGCAAATGATGGAATTTCAAATGGACTGTATATTGTATTCTCCATTTTAAGAGTGGATTATCACCAAAGAGAAGAATGGGGTCTTGTAGAAAAGCAAAAATTCTAACAAAAGCCAAGTTGGAAGGATTGAAGAGAATCTTTGAAGAAGTCATAAGGTTCTCTTTCAATCTGTAGCCCCAAAACTGAAAATTTCACTTGGTTAACTCCATGAGGCTTTGAAAATGAAAAAGAATACTAAATATCAAAAGTAGTGGGTAATTCTGGACAGACCAGACATGCAGTGATCACTGATAAAGAAAGTGCATAAGGCTATTGTCAAAATTCTCTGAAAAGTTCCTCATTTTGGATGACAAATCTTTCTTCACCTTTTCACACTTGAAGATGAATGGTAATGTAGATTTTATACCAGTAATATTGCCTCTACACTTACAGATATAAAGATTTTCCGAGAAAAAGAAATTTGAGGGCAAAATTTAAGTTTGAATTGCAATGGGATTGAAAGGATTGAGTCAAACACTTTGTTCAAATCAAGCTTTGTTATCAAGTCCAGCGATATTTAAATGAATGTATATGACGTCACTCAATTCCATACATTCAAAAGAACTATTCTCAAGCAGTATGTCTTCTGTCCAGATCAAGCAAGTTCTCATTACACTAAAACCATACTGGATTACTTACGACAAGAAAACATCACATTGAGGAGGACAACCCTGCAAGACATGCCAGAAATTAGGCCAAATTGAGGATTTTGGGCAACAGTCAGGACAGCCATCTACAAAAGTGTGGAAAGTAAAAACAAAATGGATCAACTGATCAATTGCATAAAGTGCTGTCTAAAGACGTGAACCAAAGTCTTGTACAGAAACTTGCACTGCACACTCAAAGTCAAATTGATTGTGTTTGAAGATAGGAAATGCAGAATTACAAAAATAATGTACAGCTTTTCAAATAACTATTTAGTTCATAGAGTTGTCTTGTTTCTAAGGTAAAAACTATATTACACAAATTATGTAAGAAGAAGATGGTAGCTATAACATCACAGCTACCATCATCTTACCACTTTCAACAAGCTTGGAATAAAAGGCACCAAGTACAGATTTGGATTTATATTTTCATTTTAAAAATCCTGTGACTTCCAGTCCAGATCATAAGTTTGTATATGTGTAATCAGAGCCTCCGGCCCCTAAGCTTTCCATTTCTAGTCTCAGTTTTCATCTATTTAACTCCATTCTCAAGAAAATTTTGAATTAAAATCACATGACTCCCGATTGGAAGTTCATATACAGTTAATCAGGTTTGCAGCCCCTAAGTTTCCATATCTAATCTCAATTATTATCTATCTATGTTGAGATTAAGAAAGGACGGACGACAGTGCAAATCTATAGGTCTGCAATTTGAAAATTACAGACCAAAAAATAGTTATTTTACTAATACTGAAAACAGTGATAAGATGCAGTTGATTAAATAAGAAATATATCATAAATTGTATTGAAAATTCTTGTTTTTAACTCCACAAAAGAGGGAAAAGCCAGGATGACTGTTATATCCCAAGAGGGGGAATGAGAACTGAAAGTGGAGAGAAAATGAAGAAGTAAAACAGGAAAAGTGAAAGATAATGGAGACTTCAGTGGGATCTCTGAGTAAGATAGGTGTAGTCCTTGTGACATCAGCACACCACCAAAGCAGTACTCAAGCATCGTTCTGAGTCACACACTCCATTCTATTGATGGCAAAATTATGGCACAGAAAAGTTATACAGTAATATAAACAATACAAATACAGGAATGAACATTAAGGAAAAAAGCAATGAAATATACAAAAGTATATAGAGGTGATGAAAAATACTTGAAATGCACATGTAATGCCTTTAAACCACAGTATCGTCTCTTCTTCATTTTATAACGGACAAACAAAATTTTTTCTAAATTAAGTTAATTCTATATAATTATCTTAAAAAATACCCAATACAAGAAAAACTGATAAAGTAATATTGTATTGTACTAACTTTATATATGTGTCATTGTTTTCTAAACATAGAATACATTAAAACGCCTTTACGTATTCCACAATAACAGATCTCATTTACGTTATTACTTTTTATAATTAAATAATTGCAGAACTCCTATATAAAAGTGAACGACAAAAACATTGCTTCAAAAATTTTGTATTCAGAAACCACTTTACAGTTCCCAATGTGTTCATTTAATTCACTTGCATGAGTATACATGAATATTTAAATATTCATTTTTAATTTTTGTTGTTTGATTTAGGAAGTATTTATATCATACAATTCACAATGCAAGCATTTGTAATTTATTCAAATTATATTACAAGTGCTTGCATTGTTAATTTAGTCACTGCGATTCTAGACAATTGAAATTTTGCATAGAATATTGCACCAAAAAGTTTTTTTGGTTTACATATCATGAAAGAAATAAGAGAACTTGTTTTATATCTCTTTGAATTATTAAATGGTACAGTTTTTCATAACACAGGAATATTGATCATTGCTATTGCATATGTTACTCTCATCTGTTGTGTTGAGATTCCAAATATATTTAAATGTATGCAACAGAATGCACTATATTACTAAGGATTTAATCCTTAACCATTACCAAATAGGTAATATTCTGGGCTGGCAACAAATATAGTGCATCTTACGCAAAACCAGACCTCCTTAAATGATGAAACATTGGTTATGCGACTTTCTGTAATGTCTTGGGAATAAAGCTTAGTTTTCAAAGAGTTTCTAATTGTATTTTGTCCCATATTTTTTCCATAATGTAAATTGCAATAGTTTCCTTAACTGGTGAATGGGACTTGTTTCAAGTGGAACATCCTGTACTATTGTATTATGCATATTTGCTACCAGCTTGACATTTTTCAAACATTTATTTGTTTACGGATTAAGAAAAATTAATTAAATTTTAAATAGTACCTTCTGTTTTTTCAAAACATCTATTAATTTCATCTGTTTCTTAAATGCATTCAAAAGCTCGCTCTTTTGTTTTTCCATTTGCCTATTTTCGGCCATTACTTCTTCGATTTTCTTTTTCTCTAAATCCGAGTGGCTCTAAAAAATGATGCCAAATAAATTATCAAAATTTAAGAGAAATGTAATATTTAATTATATCGAAAATAATTTAAATTCTGAGTATTAAATTACTTTATATTCTTGTCTTGCTTGTTTCAATTCTGTTCTTAATCTGTCCATCTCTTCTAGTGTGCGATGAAGTCGCGACTCTGTGGTACCTTTAATAGCTACTGCCTGTTTCTGACCGTGTCTGAGAATTTCAACTTCCTTGAAAAAATAAATTAACTGACATTTTCTCATGTTAATTTTTTTTAAATACAAACTTGTTCTTTCATACCTTTCGCAAGGAAATATTTTCTGCTTCCAAATCATCAAGCTTATTCCTAGCATCGTCGGCTAGGTGTTGATATTTGTCAGCCTGCATTTGTTTAATGCTGAAATCCTTTTGTAATCTTGCTCTCTCTTGTTCTACTTCTTTTAGTATTTCTTCTAACTGCTTTATTCTTTCATCCTAAATTAAATCAAAATAATATTTAAAAATTTATCCTTTTGTAATCTTGCTCTCTCTTGTTCTACTTCTTTTAGTATTTCTTCTAACTGCTTTATTCTTTCATCCTGTATTAAATCAAAATAATATTTTGAATATCCAGAAACTTGACTTCTTTTCCTTGGTGTTTGGTGTCAACAGTGTATTGATTTTCAAAATAGAATGAAGATGTTCATCTGTAAGTCTTGAACGATATTTACATTTATTAATCTTAATTGTTGAAAGCAACTGTTCACACATATATGAACTTCCAAACATGCTTAAAATGCAGACAGCATGATTCCTTAAGTTGGGATAGCTATTTTGATTTTTGAAGTACTTTGTATAAAATGCCAAAATGTCAACTTCATTAAATTTGCTTTTTAAAACAGTATCACACTGCAAATCTATTAGTTCCATTTGCAAGTAAGTCAGTGCTTTACCAACATTGAACGTAAACAGATCATTAAAAATTAAATGAAATGTGTAGAAATAAATTCTACGCATTTCATTTATTCAAGAAAGCTCAATACCTACTATTTTCCTCTTTTTAATGATCTGTTTACTTTCAACGTTGGTAAAGCACTGACTTACTTGCAAATGGAACTAATAGATTTGCAGTGTGATACTGCTTTAAAAAGGCAAGTTTAATGAAGTTGACATTTTGGCATTTTATACAAAGTACTTCAAAAATCAAAATAGCTATCCCAACTTAAGGAATCATGCTGTCTGCATTTTATGCATGTTTGGAAGTTCATATATGAAATGCATAGAAATAAATTCTATGCATTTAATTTATTCAAAAAAGTCTAAATGGACTTCTATCCTCAGGCTCCATACAANCATTTAATATATATGTATAATTTTTCTTACTTTCTCAACACTTTCTTGAATAAGCTGATGTAATTCTTCTTGCAAAACATTCACTTTGGCCTTAAGAATTCTTGCTGCAACATCTAAATGGATGGGAAAAAGCAGGTATACAATGCAGGGACTTCCAAAGATAATGCTACCAATTTGAATTACTGTAATTGTGTTAATCATTATGAGAACATTGTATTGTACATTAAAACATAGGCAAATTTCTTAGACAGTTTTCCAATTATAATTTCTCGATGTGTGCAACTCGTGTTAAATGGTACATATCCAACTGATACTCCAAATTTTTCTAACTCGCTGCATTATATCTGTCGTCACTCCTCCCGTAGCAGGCCACAATTCTATGGCTCCTGCAGATTACTCATTTTTCATGATGACGAACAATTCTGACTTTGCAAACTGTCAAACACAAAACCCCTTCTCTAGTTGCTATTTTCATTTACTGCACTTCCTGGAGGTAGTAATCAACGAAATGTTTGAATACAGACGAAACCCAGACAGTTACTCTAACGATTGGAGTATGTGGCATTTTTTCTCAGATAATAACATAATTACAATAATTTAAAGACCCTGTATACAAAATTTGTCTCAAAACCAGTTTTTAGATCCAATAACTCATTATGCAGCAATGTTGAGGACATACTTTCAGAAATCAAATCCCTGATAGCAATAAAAATAGCTAGGACATCACATACCTGAATTGATTAAATCACCTTCTGTAAAGAAACTTTCTTCCGGAAGCAAGTCTCTTAATGACGAGTCAAGTTCTTTCAGACCTAATATGGGTGATAGTGAATTTGGCCTGTTTCCAGATGGCCAATCCCTTTTCTGATCCTGAGACATTCTTATACGATTTAAGACATTTGATCTTCCGACAAATCGTCTGGACGGTCTAATCGAAACAGCATTTGGCTGCCAATAAAAAATTAATTAATTAATTTAATTATTCTCTACTCAGTTTAAGAACGAAGATTATCAATGATTTTACCTTTCTATCTTTAACGTATTCGAGTATGTTTTGGTTATATCTTGGAGGGCTAAATTACAAAAGTTTATATTTGTACATACCAATAATCACATAAGAATCAATCATTTTAATAGAAAAATAATACCTCCATTTCTTTCCGCCATTAAGCTTTTTTTGATGATTTTCTGCTGCTTCGTTTTCGTACTGTTGCTAGTAAAAAGAGCACACACATATATATATATAATAGCTACATTAATACTCAATAAGTTAATTAATGATGTCAAATCGTACAGTCCATACCAAAGCTTGTTCCTCATCTTCGGCCAATGACGAAGCTTTGCCATCTTGGTCTTCACTGTTTATGACAAAATAACAATTAGAATAGGTGTGTAGGTAGTTAACTATTCAAATGGTGCAAACTACTTGAAAACATAGTATTTATAATGGTATAATAAACCCAAAATGAACTTAGCTACTCTAAAAGCATAATTATATTCTGTGCAGTTTCAAATTAAGTGATAAAGTGATGAGTGTGATTTCGAGCATCTTGCCTGTTTTCTTCCTCTTTCTCTGCCACTTCTTTATTTGTATCCGAGCTCTCTCGTTCTGTCGGCCGTCTTCCTCGTTTACTCTTTCCTTTAGCCGCGTTCATTTGTCTAACGGTAAGTATTTTGTTAAATTCTTAACAATTGCACAACATACATCATTACATTTTACAATCATCTATTGATACACGATTTAAAATAGAAGCGCGATGTTGAGTTTTCTAGTAGTGTGGCAGGTGTTTTCCGGATAAAGCATGTTATTATCGAAGGAAATCTTTATCGGAAAATCACGTTACACCCAAATGTAACTGAACCATTTCATTTCTTAATAAATTATGCCCTGCATGAATCATAGCGAGTAGTCACGGAACAAAACTGATCAATATTATCACACAAAAAACAATTTTATTAGCAGGAAGTGAAAAATCTTTCTATTTTATTTCATTTTTTTTCCTATTTCCAAGAGTTACAGGAACAGCTTCTATTTTAGATATGTTAATTCAATTACTGATAAAAATCTTCCCATAAAAAAAAAGTGATCTAATTTAACAATAAAATTATTAATAAAAACTCTATTATATTTATATTAAAAGCGTGAATTTTACCAACTTTTAATTAAATTTCTAAATCGAGCCGATCAATGACGCGCCCATTTATTTAATTGCATCTGGGAATAGAAGTTTCATTTTCCGGATCAAATTTTGCCGCGGGACTTATAATTATAACATCTGTTGCCGAGTAAATTTGAACATGGCATTTCGGGAATTTAGGATATAGATTTTTATTTGACGGAAACAAAAAACCAGGCAATATTGATTTTAAAACTGCTAGCTTATGACCCGAATATGATTGATGCAGACTAAAATAAATCAAATTAACTGGTGTAAACCAATTAGCTCTTTAATAATCTAAATATATGAGCTCAAAATTTCAAAATAATACAACTTTAATAATTTACTGGTGATACTCTGTTTGTTATTAATGATACAAAATATTGTGTGAGGGGCACATTATTAAAATAAGTGAGTTTAACCTAAAATATGTACAGTATACATATATCTACATGAATGTATGTCATACCATATCAAGTTATTTATAAAATAGAGTAAATATTAGAAAACTTTGAGTACTTAATATTTTCTAGTTTCAATTATAAAAATCTCTTCTGACAGGTAATTATTTGGGTGTTTGCAGAATAATGATTACGATAATGCTCTCTAACTGGAGGTTTAGCAGGAGGAGGGGAATTAAATGAGAAAAGACACTATGAACTCTCTTAATAAACAATGACAATTAATAAAAAAAAGTTAATTGAAGACACAGACTGACCAAAAAATAACTTTTACAAAATTAACTTTTACAAAATTAATATCATCCGACGAAAGTTCAAAATTAATAAAAAATTAAATGTTATGTTACTATTAATAAATTAAAAACTCTTATATCTTTATGTACAGTGTACCATCGATACATGCTGTTAAAATATATAGTAGTCCCTCCGTTTATGTGAGTAATTGGTTCCACAAAAATGGTTCATAAATGAAAAACCACTCAAGTAGAGCACAGAAAACTGTTTAAAATTGGTCTGATCCATATTCTCAAATAGAGTATTTTACTCATACTAGGTAGAAAGGTTTCAACTAAAGTAAATTTACATGTATATAAGAGATTATTTCACACAGTGAAAGAGTAGATAGGAACCAATCTGAATTATTTATGAATTAACTTACATTTTGTATTATTAATTATGTGTTTAAAATATCTTTGACATCTTAATATTCAAATAAATATAAATCGTACGCGATGTAATGCAGTAAACTTGCGGTGCATCATAAAATAGTCATCCATATAGGAATATGCAGTTCCGTATTTAAGCTTATTGATGCATGTAATGAATCAAACATTATTTTGATCTTTAAAACGATTAAATTCAAATTGCAAAGTATAAAAGTTATTTTAAATTTAAAGTGTTTAAACTTGCTGTCATTAATGATAGCCAAGGCAATATATGTCTGTAGCTCTAGAGGTATTGAGTAAATGAGATGGACTTAAGTCCATTATCTTATACAGTTGTATTAAAGTAACTTTACCAGACAACACATCCATTGACAGAAGTTCAACTTGAACCTGAGAAATTTTCGGGGATGTATGACCAGGATATGGCGAGTCTCATATTTCACCATCCGAACAGCCTTATTCGGAGAGTGGCAAACTCATAATATGTTTGCAAAATTCACTATCATTAACTGATTATTATTAAGATGTAGACTAAAGCAGTCAAATTTTATAATACAGCATTTGAAAAACATGCAAAGGTGTGTGTAGATCTCAAATCAAGTGATTTTGCTATCAGAATGAAACAAATTAATATTGCAATAATGGTTGAGCATCACTAACAACAACAGTCTCCAACAATTTGGGCAACTGACACTTTATGAAAGATTTAAGGGCTGTAAAAACATTTTTGACAGGATCAAGGAAAGGAGTATGAGGAAGGAATTTGATATTGTGATTGGATGAAGGATCATTAACATGAATGTGTGGCTGGACATTGTATAAAGTTAAAAATGCTTCATTGACAATTGCTGAAAGGATGGCAAGGAAATCCTAAACAATTTCTGTTGTCATTCTATCTGCAGATATTTCATAACAAACATCCTGTCATATTTAATATTGTGACAATAATTGTAACAATAAGACATTGCTGCCCAGTATGATTCTTGTGCACTTTATTTCCTTTTTCTGACCATCCACATCTTTGTTATGTATTCAAATTAAATCCAATTTCATTTACATAAATCTTGCAGGGGAAAGATAGCAAATGTGGTCCACCGGCGGACTGCAAGCAACTTTTGGAGTGACTCTGCCTGTAATATTTCAAATTTGGTGATGCTTTTTTTTTTCTATTTGCTGGTTTTTCAGAATCTGCATAAATTTGCATTATTTCACATTATAATNATAATTTTAGAGGAATTATCTACAGTTTTTAACTGATTTATTGTAATTATAACGTGAAAAAAACTGTACCCTGATGATAAAATGCTTCTTAATATAAAACAATCCTCCAACAGATAAACCTATGGGATATCTGCCAAATCTCTTCATGAAATTTAGTATCTGATTTAAAAATCATTAATTATTAATTAAACATGTTAAAATTAACTTAATTCAATAGAAGAGAGGGTGCTTCTAACAATTAAGTGGCAAAAAGTTCAGTAATCTGCTTTCTGTCTTCGTTGGGTGTAAAATAACTAGGCGTTAGAAATCGCTATAATTTTTGTAATAATAACTCAGTCGTGATGAAATTTATGTGTACATGTACAATGATTAATGGATTTATATAATATTTTATCTGTATGGACAGTGAGAGAGGGCGGCTTCATGCATAGTGGAAAAAATGATGGGCGACCGCTTGTCGGTTCAAGAGCGAGCGCATATTGCTACACACTATGGGGTGTGTAAATCAGTGTTGCTGTGTAGAAATGATGGCGTACGGTAAATGGACGTCATGCCACAAACCGTCCGGAAACAATCAAGAATTGTCATTCGAAGCTAAAATAACCATAGATTGTAGACGCTCAGACAAGTAGCCGTCATCCACATCACAACATGAGAAAAACTTGTTGTTGGTGAACGGCGCCGGTGCCTACATTAAATTTTAAGGTATACATCCGTATTTCCATTTAACAATGTACACATGAAATAAGTTTCATTACCTTTACTTCACAATTATAAAAATTATAATGACTTTTCAATGCCTAGTTACTTTCCGCCAAACCTGTAAAAACACCCAATATTACCTTCAATTTCTCTTTCAATGTTCCATCGATTGAAGACAATATGTTTACTTGTATAAAATTTCCATAAAGCTGTAACATACCAAAAGTTAATTATGTAAGATGCAAATAATAAAAGATATAGCATGAAATTTTACCTTTGCAATCAAACGGGAAGAAGCGTATGCTGAAGAAATGACAAGTAAAAAATAAAATATACACGTTGTCAACATAAAAATCTTCCATGACATATCTGAAAATAAGATTACGTATACAAAAAAAGAAATTATGTATATAACAAAAGCATAAAACAGAGGTAAAGAAATTTCTGCAACATGATTTATGTGCCAAAAACAATCTAAGATTTCAGTATGTTTAGGTATTACATTTTCAAGTAGCATATGTATGCTTCTAAAATGATTAGTAATATCACTAACAATTTCACATAAGCAATTTAATCTTATATAAAGTATTATTCCAAGATAAATTACTTGAATTGCCATGATGAATATTATTACAAATGATAGAATTACTTTCCAGCTCAAGAAAACAGTGCAGAATGATGCTTCAATGTTGGATCCATTGATATTCAGAATAGGAAAAAGAAATATTTCAGCAAATAAATTGGTAATGCAAACACTAACAATAAATATAAAGCAAAGTATTATAGAAATTATTTCAGATTTTTTCATGAAATCTATTTCTTGTATATAATCACTGCTCTTTTTATAAGAGAAATCAATTTTTTTCCTCTTGAAGATGCTGAACTGAGTAGCAATGTGTGTATAAAATAACATAAACACATATCTAAGATGGTTCAATTCGTTTCCAAATAGAAGCATCCAATCCTTACAAATTACATCTACTTCTATGGCATCTAGCGTGGATCTTACAACAGCAAACCACCAAAATATTTCCATAAAATCTAAGTAAATCTTATAGAATTTTGGTAAAATTTGTCCAAATCTTCCTCCTTGTATTGAATTTCTTATACAGTTACAATCAGAGATAATATTAAATCCAAAAATTTTGCAAGCTTGTAGATATGGAGAGAGCAGGCATGCAGGGCATCCATTGTATATATGAATATCCATCTTTATCATAGAATTATTCGTGTAAAATATATTTTAAATTACAATAGACCCATATAAGATTTATTAAAATATCAGTTCAGATTCTTCAGACTGCTTCAAAGGAAGGTATAATAAGCTCCTAAAATAAAAGAGATGCTGCAAAGCGTGTAATGAAGATCACAATAAAGAAGGTTGTTCGTCTAATTTCCTGTTACATAAGGCGCAATAAAGGAAAGAATGTTAATGTTGTAAACAATAAATGAAGGTAAATGAAAATTTTTAGAATTTTTTTGAAAATAATAATTAAGAAATTTCTTATTTCAATAATTTAATGGCATTTTCTCATGGAAATTAGTTAAATTATTCATTAACTTAATGGTTGAGTACACAATGCAAACGTTACGAAACAAGGCGATTTATGTGCCTTATTATATCATTAAATTACATTTATTGATCTAATATGGCGTTTAAATATTACACAATATAATTATATAATTCTATTAAATATAATTTAAGTTATTAAATGTATAAGGTGGCATAAAAGTCAGTTAACCATTGTAAAAATTCTTCGTGTTGATACACAAATTACAACGTTTTAACAAATTCAACTTACGATTCGTGCCTATAAGGTGTTATCTGAAATACACAAAGTAAAATATGGTTAAATGATTTTTGGGCTAACCTGTATTTAGAATTAAAGGTTATTAAACTGACGTCAGGATGGCCGAAACGGTTAAGGCATTGGCCTACGTTTGTGGGGAATCCAAGATCGAATTCCGTCAGGCATTAGAATTATTCATACGCAGTGGTCCCGGATATATCAGGTCCCGTTTCTCATCATTCAGTCATCCCCATTGTGGGTCTGTCCAAACCTACGATGAATATAGAAAAAGGTTTCCTCGGTACCAAAAGATACCAACAGGGCGGAAAGAGTCGCAAATGGGGGGAAAACAGAATTTTGAAATGATAACCTATGTTACAACGATAAATTCCTGCAAAATTCACAAAATAGAATTATATCAATCATGTCTGCAAGGAATCACCAGTGGCCGAGTTGATAAAATCACTGAACACTGGTCGTGGGTTCATGCCTCTCCAAAGGGCGTGAACCCACGACCTTTCCCGAGATATCTCCCTCTTCGGCAGATCGCCTACGTGTCGCATTTCCGCATACAAACAAGAACAATTCTTTAAGAATTTATTTCAAACATGCATATTGAAGGTATATCAGTAATATTTTCTAGAAATTGGTTTGGTTTGATGAGATCTGGCAACGCAATACACGTGCTATCTGCCAAAAAGGGATACCACCCGAGAGGACTTTCTAAGCGAAATTTGCCCGTTACATACATATATACGTACACGAAAGACATCGGCTGTACACAAGGTGTTTAGCCGGCGAAAAAGAGGGTAAGGGAAGAGGGGAGAGGAGATACACAGTAGAGAAAGGTAGGATTCCTCTGAACAGCATACATATGGCTACTGTACCCTCTACGTTTGTTGCTGGCAAGCAGTTTTTAGACTGCAAGAAAACCGGAGTGTAGCGAACACCAATAGTTGAGTGCCGCCACGAATTGCTAAGTGTAGAAGTTAGTGCCAAGTGACTGTTAGTAGGAAGACTTATATCTACTTAATACTAATAAAAGTGAACAAGAGCGCGAATCTCAATAATATTAATTAACAGCTAGATAGACAGTGTGAAAACAAACGAACACAATGACAAAATAGACAAGACAAATGGACCGACAGAAGACAAACGAGCAAGACCCCATTTTTTGTATTTTTATTTATTTATTTTAAACATTAACTTACTCACTAACCTACCAAAACCTAGGACGAACCTAACCAGACGACTAAAGCTAACAAACCCTAATCTAATTTAACCCGGAAACCAAGCTGAGTCCCTAATCTAACGATTAATAACGAAGTTATTTTTATTACGTGTCTTGTGTTTGTAAATTTTTGTTCATTGTCGGTTTGTTTTATTGAATTATGACAATGCGACACGTGGATGATCTGTTGAAGGAGGATCCTTTCCGACAAGACTTTCACGTGGTCAGCTTGTTGTCTTATCCAATCGACCACTGGTGGGCTATTTTTTATAATCAAGCTGTATTTAAGACACAAGTTTCTGTCAGTTTTATTATTTTGTCGAATGCGGCAGTTTACACGGAAAATTAACTGTTAGATCAGGATAAAAGTACACAGCTGCATAGAAGCTGAACAAATAAGGAAATCGCGTGAATCTCCAAACTCTTTGAACATTGGTAAACATGCAGAAGGAACATCACTCGAAGCTCATTGGTGGAAGCGTGTGGAGTAATCGTATATAAAAGCTGCAACTAAATTAAGTAGAGCATAATTCACCGAAGAAGCAATCGAAGAAAATGATGAAAATCGTAGTTTTCCTGTTTCTTCTTTTTGCAGTTGCCCATGCCAATGTGGGAGAAGGAATCGGGGCTGCCGCAGGAGGAGCCGATGGTGGACAGAAGGCAGGCCACGACGCTGCTAAAGCTGGACTTGGAGCAAGCGAAGGAATGTCAAGTGCTGCCATCAAAATTGGCGAGACCATGGGAAAATCTGCAGCAGCTGGTGCTTCAGAATCTGCTGGTAAAAAATAAAGTAAAAATTCTCCGATATTTCCAAAATTGCAATGAATTATTTGTGATACACCATTTAAAAAATGTAATTAATGAATAAGTTGAAATTGTTCCAATAAACTATAAATGAAGCATGAAAAAAATCTGTTGTTTGTAGAAATGTTTTTATTCTCTAAAATGTCTTTTAAATTTGTGTTCGATTGGTTCGGTTTATTTGTATACAGCAGTGGCGTGCGGTGACATTTCATGATAGGGAAGCTTGCCGGCCCTGGATAGAATCATTGAAAGCGTTATACATTTGTCCGTCTGGATATGTTGGGCTACGTCCCTCACCACCCGGCCGCCCCATTGTGGGCTTGGCCAAACCCATATTTTGTTTTTTAGAGGGCATATTTTGCTTTTTAGATTTGCCATATTAAGAAGGGCTTTTTCCAGCAATCCCAAGGAGATTGATGAAAAAAGGCCCTCTTAATTAATGCCCACAGGGCAAAAAGAGTATATAGAAAAAACATGCACACGAGCGTCGTTCACCTCAGCCCGAAAAATCAAACCTCTTGAATCTGATAGACGTCGAATGGGCCGTCTACTTTTCATCGAAGAGTATGGATATACTTCCATCAAAAAAGAACGAGATAAAATTTGACATAAAGTGACGTTGAGTCGATGACCAGCAACCGATGGCCATCAAGCGGGCGATTATCGAACGAATTTGCTTTGACCAGTTTGCGGAGGCCTTAAGGGAAAACTGTCCCTTGCTTAGGTGTTACAAACGTGAAGAAAATTCAGAAAATTCCACATGGCCAACCCCTTTGTCCAGGCGCTAACCCGTGACCAACTACTATTGTTCAGTGGTTTAATCCACTCGATAAGATTGCTATTGTATATTCGAATGTTAGTGGCGAAATGGAAGTGCTGTATTGTCATCTTCCAAACAACCAGATTATACTCATTCGCGTATGCGCTTTACAGAGCACCAACCTCACCCGGTTTAGTTAGTGGAAGCTACACACATATAACGCTTCCAATTCTGTTCTGGGCTGTTAGCCGCCTGCCCCCCTAGATATTTGGCCGCCCTCGCCCGGTTACGTGAATTACGAGTAGATTTATAACTTAACCCAACCGATAAGAATTTACGGGTATGATGCTTTTATGATAGTTCTGTATAGTTGACAGGAGTTTTAAAAATTCCATTAAAATATTTGATATTATTATTCCCCTTTCCAATCTTATATTACTTACGGATTTCAATGTTAAACCAGTGATATTACGATTTCGTATGTCCAACTGTAAGGGGATGTATGAAAAAAAACGTGTACAATTCTTGTATAATGTTAAAAAATTAACTGTTACTTTGACAGCATCATTTACAACTAAATTTAATGAATGAGAGAGATGCACGAGGTACAGAAAAAGCTCTAGAATTTATTTTCCTTAAGATTTAAAAAGTAAAGATTTTATGTTATTTTTATATACGTTTCTTTACAAAGTTATACTTAATTATAATTTTCTTTAAAAGTATATTCATACAATTGAAGAATATTTTGTACCAGGCATGTATATCCACCACGCATTTTATTTTACCAAGTTTTTATTATTTTTTTTTAATTTTAGCCCTTATATTGTGGCTAGCGATTAGGAATGTAATTGTGATATTACAAATACATTTAGAGAAGTCTACAGTTTTTATTGGCTTATCGAATAAACGATACGAATGGACCTAGACCAACGATTCCCAACCCGTGGTACGCTTACCCCTGGGGGGTACGCGATAGGTTGTTTAAGGCAGTGTTCTGCAACCTTTTTCTACTCGCGGCACACCTCTGACTCGATATGACTCAACACGGCACACCAAAATGTTATTCCCCTCAAAAATGTATGATATGATACTATTAGTAGAATTTCGTAATGCCATAAATCTATTATTATTATTATTATGTTGAGTTTCGTGAGTTACACTCGGTTGACACCGATGGCTGTGTATTACGCCGGACACAGCATAGTAACCAAAACAAGACAAAAATTAAATAAGTGTGTCAGTGTGTGTCTGTATTTAGGAATTTCCTAACAATATGACATGTATTCAATATAGTGGCCTTCTGTAGCGTGATGTATGTGTTTCTATTCAAATTTAATGTTTCCAGGCTTATGTGTAGCGTGTGTGGTATGACACCTGTAGAGGAGAGAACCCTATCTATCCTCCATAGATGCCTTATTTCCTGGGCGAGTTCTGTGTACTTGCTGATTTTTTCATTGCATGTATAGTGCATTGTGAGTGTTTGGAACAGATATGTCTATAATTTATGTGATTTTATTGTGTTTGTAAATGAGACGTAAGGTAAGTACTATTGTGGTAAATTGTTTTATCTGTGATTATGGCTGTCGTAGTACATTTTGTGCGCGTTGTTTTCCAATACTGTCTGTGGAATGTAGTTGTAATATTGTTCGTGGATGTTTAATAATTTGATGTTTCTTTGCAAGCTCTTGATGTATTTGCTACTTCATTATATCTATGTAAATTATCTGTCTGTGCCAAGAGCTTGCAACCAGAAGTGATGTGTTGTATAGTTTCTGGCATGATGTGACATTTTCTGCATGTGTCATTTGTGAGTGTTGTATCTTTGAGTATGTGTTTTCTGTAGTTTTTAGTATTTATGATCTGATCCTCTGTATGGCAATCATGAATCCTTCCGTCTCCCCAAAGAGGCATCCTCGAGCTAACCAGCTATTTGACGCAGTTTTGTTAACAAAATCCTGGGCCAGGTCGTAAGGATGTCTGCCATGGAGTTCCTTTTGAGCCCACGATTGTTTTTCCTTCTTCCTTCTTTTTCTTCTTATTTCGGCTGATATGGAGATGCTAGCCGTGTAGGCTCTTCCCACGATTGCGTAACGATGTCTATGCTATTTATATGTTGTGTCGTGTCCATACGTTGTGAATGTAAATCTAATGGTGTATTATTTGAGTCTGCTAGAGTTACTGCTTTATGCAACTGTAATGTTTGTTGTTTTTAGTAGAAAAACTCTCTCAATGTCTGTATTTTTTTGTAGTGGAGGTTAACTATGTCGATCAGGCCACGTCCGCCATCTTTACATGGAATGGTTAATCTTTCTATGACAGATTTAGGATGATGTTGTTTATGCTTAGTAAGTGTTCTTGTTTTCATTTGGAGTTGCTCAAGATCTGTGTGAGTCCAATGTATAACTCCAAAAGAATAAGTGAATACTGGGACGACATACGTGTTTATTGCTTTAACATTATCTTATTTCATCAGTGAATGAAATACAAGCATAATAAACATAACAAAGCTTGAGACTAATAGAATATGTAAAAGTTCATGTCACACCTTTCACCTTGTGACGGCACACCGGTCGCGGAACACTGCCCTAGACCATCACTAACGCGCAATTAACTGATTGCCCCTGGAAGTCGGCTTCTTACAGAAACACAGCTTCCCTATCATCGAATGTCACAGCACGCTACTGGTAGGCAGCAAACTTAGCCACTCGCCCATTCGGCCAACACATAAATAGCAATATTATCAAATTTTTCTCAGATTCAAATCCATTAATTAAATTACATAAGTATTAAAAATTGACATAAATAAATGAACAGCAAACTAATACAAAATTTTAGAGACTGATTCACAGTCAAGGGGGCCTACCAGTGGCCAATCGGTTCAGTTCTCTGAACACTAGGAATTCGGTCATGTGTTCGAGCCTCGCCAGGACAGGCTGGCCATGTGAAGTTTTTCGGGTTTTCTCCACGTCTGTAAATCCTGAATAGGGGCCAGTTATCTTTTAAAAAACCTTCCGGAAGGCATCCCAGTCATATCGCCACGTGTTACATTGCCATAACTTAACTAAACAAACAAACACAGTGGAAGGATTGCGTGATTATTCTTTGTGTGATAGTCGATAACGTGAGATTCTTTTATTTATCCGGAAGTACATAAATTTGCAATGATTATTCAGCTTTATTTCGTGAAAAAAGAAACACATTCTATATATAAATCCATAAACAAGAAAACCGTAACTTGTGCGGAATTTCTATTAATTAAAGTAGCCATGTATGTGTCAGATTATTTTCATTATTTAAATTATTTTATATAAATACATACTCTGACATGGGCATGACAGACTGGCCATATTGAGGACAGGTTTGTCCGATGAAAAAGTTTCAACCTGGATTCAAATCTGGGTTTGTGAGAGCAGCAGATTGACCCTTTGGCCCTCCTAACGTTGGATAAGAAGATAGTTTACTCACTATTATGGAACTTTAGCTTTGGTTTTAGTTTCGTTTATTTGTATACGCCAAATGGTCCCTTTTATGAGGAATTAACGCCTACTATTTAGGTGTTGCTAACGCGAAGAAAACCTGAAAAACTCTACGTAGCCAATCCGTTGGCGAGGCACAAACCTACGACCAAATACCAGTGTTTGATGGTTTTATCCACTCGGCCACTGATGGAATTGGGGCACTTCAAGCAGCAGCTTCCAGTGCTTGTATGATGCCCGAAGGTAGAGTGGATCCCTTTTTGCCTTTTGTTTGAGAAACAAATAGAATGTTTCTTTATTAAAACAGTCTTAGAGCTTTCATTTTTAGTTAGTAAAAGGAACATTAATTTATAAGGGTTATCAGTACAGGCCCCTAAGTTTTCTTCTGGCCAAAGGAAAAATCTTCACCTCTCTGTTCTGATGACCTTGTGTTTAGAAAACATATTATTGGGCCCATTCGAAAAGTCAGAAATCTAAGTTTGTTTGACTGAAACGTGTTTGTAAAGTCAGATATGAGAAATCATGGCGCTCCTTGACGTCAACCGAACGCATTAGAAAATGCATACCTGACTGTAATGTTTTCTCAGTCATGTTTCAGTTGTCTGAGTTATGTCACATGATGGAGAGCAACATTGAGAGTATATCTAATTGGCCAATTCTTCGATCACAAATAGAAATAATAAGTTCAACAACTTCGGCGAAATTCGTAAGAAAAGATTATTCAAATCATCTTGTGAGTTGAGATCAATAAAGTTTCTTTAGACGTCACTCAGACAGATCTGAGCCGTGTTCAGTATCGCAGAATTCTTGCAAATTGTTTGGTCTGTGCTAACTTCTATTACTGACGTCATTGTTTTTGTAGCGTTGTGCGATTTTCAAAATGGCTGCACTAAAGATATATTTTATAATCATTATAAAACTGTGATGATTATGCCATCCGCCATTTTTACACACGTTGCTAACTCGGTTCCGACTCAGTACACCATTCAGAACAATTCTTAGTTCCTCTCTTCAAGATGGCCGGATGGTCAAGAGGTTAATGTAGGGGCAGCTGTTTACTTCAAAACCTTTCTAACTGGTAAACCTGAAATAGAAAATATTTTGCAATTTCATACTAAAACAAGCAAATTAATTATTTAACTCTTTCCGCCCTATGGGCACTAAGAAAGCCTTTTTTTTTCTAGCAAGCCAATTATGGGTTCGGCCAGGCCCACAATGGGGCGGCCGGGTGATGAGGGATGGGACCCGNGAAAGAACATTAGAAAAATAGACTGTTTTAAAATTGCAAATATTTTGTTTTCTAATGTTTCCTGTTTATTTTCGTTTGCTTATACCATTGTATTGATAGGACATCATAGATATATTTTGCATGATGTCACCATACACTATAAATTAATGCACTGAGTGCATTGCATGCCAAGCAAGAGTTATCCCGAGCAAGATGGCAGAATGTGATGCATATAATAACACAATATTTGAAAAGTTTTCAAAATAAGATTGTAAAAGATTCAACAAATATTAAAGTAATCTATCTTTTAAACTTTTCTCGGTTGCGGAATCGACATACATTGTTCCTAATTTCCGTTGACACTTTTCTAGAGAAGAATCCATCTTCACACACAGTTTTTACTTTACAGGAATAGTAGTTTCATGTATTAATGAATGGAACAAAAATGCTTGCACTAGCAATGATAAACAGTGGTGCCCAACATTCACTGGTGATGACGAACAGGAAGTGCACAAACAATGCGCATTAGTGTGAGTTTAAAAGAATTCTATCACCATAGTGATAGAATTCTTTTAAACTCACACAATTTATGAATATTCATGGAGGGATTGGATCTTTTATGAAAAAGAACTAACAGATCCCCATGAAAGAACAGATCTTTTTGTGAAAAAAAAACCTTGTGTTCTCAGGATGTCGGTTTTTATTCCTCAGTCACTCATTCCAATTAATCTCAGTCCCACATCCACACTTTCTGATTGGTCTCTACCCGTTTTCAAGTGAAAATCGAGACCAATCAGACCATGAGAGAGGTCAATTGCCAATGTTTAATATGACACCACATTTTAATCCCAACCAGAGGTTGATCTTACATTGTTTATTTCAGTTCTTGTCAAAATATAAACTTTAACTGACAATATTTTATATCCTTTAAATATTTTTAAACAAATTTAGGTGAGGGGTTTGGACCTAGCCTGGAGCCTTACAAGTGCATTTCATGCACCCATGCTGAATGTACTGTACCTTAAATTTCAATAAAACTGAATCATGACACAAATCTAAATATTATATTTTCCAACATAAACTTAAAACTGAAAAAGATGACTCCATTGTTATAATCATTAGGAAAAAAATCTTGTGAGGGTTAACTACAGTGGCTCATTCAACTTTATCTTTAAATAAGCAAATAGGAAGTACTGGTAAAATGGAACAAATAAATGTTCAATAAATTAATTAATTTTAATGTAATAATACTCAAGTTTTATTTAGTTATTTGATAAAATTATCTAATTATTAAAAATTGAATTAAAATTAGTTGTCATTTTATTATTGATATCTCAGTAAAGAAAGTAATTGTAATAAATCTTATCAAGATGGTAAGTCTTGCATGTAATTGATAAATAGGGGATTAGTTTTGGAGATTGTTTTAGGGACCAAATAGTCATACTCACTGTAAAAAGCTAGCAATTTGGCTAAACTAATTGTAATTTTAAATAGTTTACTTCAGCTCAGGATGTACATGTAATAACATATTCAACAACTCAATACTCTCATATTACTGAACGATCTGGTGGATTATTTAGTGGACAGAGATGGCAGCTTAACTGCCTACCTCCAGCCAAATTGCTTTGTATCTAATTATTGAGTGAACGTAATGTAGTCCTATAAATGTCCAGCTGATAATAGTTTACTTCAGTATTTTTTCAACCTTGGACTATACAAAAAAATCTGTTACGGCTGCCAAACATAAGTTTTTAAATCAATAATTTTTTTCAATTTTTAAACAGTTTACACTTAAGTGATTCAAGCCTTTCTTCATTTTTTTTTTTTTTCTAAAATGTATTGATTTATTTAGAATCATTAGCACTGTGCTAATTATAATCTCTGCAGATAAGCTAGTGTTCTGAATACTTGTTGTTGTTATCATTGCATTATTTAATTCTAAAACAAGTTTTTTCTTATAATAATTTATTTTAAAAAATCATTAGAGATAAAACAAATAAAAATGTAGGAAAATCTAGCAACAACATTGCCAACTTTTTTTTTGTTTTGATAAAATGTCTATATATGGGATGTTATAATGGGAAGAAACAGGAAACAATTGAATATTGATTGCTTCTTTAGCAATAGTTAAAGGACTTTTTTTAATAAGTGAAATTGTTTGTTAAATTAATTTATATATATATTTAGCCAGTTTTAAAACTTAAAACAAAAATATATATTAATAATAAAATTTCCTGGAGCAGCTGGAAGAGATTATTATATTATTATTATGTCATAAACAAGCTGTCATTAATTAATAATGTCTTATTATAATTCACATACATTATGAGGAGAATAAATGATATCAGCATAATTTACTTATTAGTAAAAGTTATCTGATGGAATTTGTTTTGGTTAATATACTGTTAGAAAATTTATATGACACGTTTTATAAGAGTTAACTGTTGAAATTTAGGTTTATTAAGGAGTTGATTATAGTTTGCTTTAATTAATCTACAGTTTATTAATATCTATAAAATGATAATGAATTTGAATTAAAGTTACTTTCCTATTAACATCCACATATATTTTTTCCTCTTTCTTCTAAGTGCTTAACCTCATGTTATTTGTATAGCAATACAAATATTTTGAGGTGTACATATATACTGTATTTGGTGAGATTATTTGCTGAACAAGTTTATATTACGTAACACTCAACATATTCATGTTGCGTACATGCCAGGCCTGGGACTTTTAGCACACCAAATGCTAAAGGCCAAACATGCTTAAACAGCCTTAAAACAGCAAAAATTTTAATAACTTTAACATTTTCAACAATCTTCCACAAGTAAAATATACAATGGAATGCCAACATTCTAGTAAATGTTTGCTGTGTTTTAAGATTGCTGGGAGTGTGTTTACTTTACTCGGCAGCTGTGAATTAGTTGCTAAAAGCCCCAGATAATAATGTATTCATTAACACTTTTGCTCATTTTTAAATCAATCTTAACTTGGTAAAGTCATATGCTATATTATTGTCAGATTGATTGAAGTGTGTGTAAACAGATTGGAAGCATACCACAATATGTGCTGGTACAAAATATATAGCAATGTATGCAATGCTTGGATTACATAAAACTTTACAAAAATATCTAATAATGTGGTATTTTCAATAATTCAGCACCGCCGATCCTGTAGTAGCCAGATTAACAAACTTCTACTAAATGATATACCTTATCAGATTAGACATAAAGAAATGTTTTATTTAAATCTTGAAAGGAATCATGTCCTTTTTGATTTTTTGAAGAATTTACAATATAATTAACATGATTTTATAATTAATAAATACCAGATAATGCATTTCGGACTTTTTAAAGTTTGTTAAATTAATTGCAATTAACATTCTTGAAGCATTTATCTAGTATGAATTTATATCAAAACCTAAACAAATAATTTATAGTGCATTTCAAGATTTTGTTAGTACTAAAAGTATATAACAGATTGAATAGAGTAGTTCCAATGATTCTGAGCAAACAAAGAACAGTCGAAATTCTTTCTTGAATGACTTCTCTAAATAAAAACTAGATTCAAAAAAAGGTATTTTTCAAATTTATCTTATAATATAAATATTTATGAATTTACTTTAATTAAGAATATAATGGTCTATTAATTTTAGAAATAGATGAGTAACATTCAAAAATTCTAAACTACAAATGTATTAAATATTTAAATTACTTTATTTGTATGTACGAATGTTTATCCTAATGCGGTAAATATATAATCTAGTTCATTATCACATTCAACATGCTTATATATGTTCTCAAATTAAAACTGCACTTACAGCTGGCCGGCCATAAGCAGCTTAGCTGATATAAACAGTCTTGTAGCAGTTTTTTTTAATCTCATAAACAAACAAACAAAAACAATTTTATCGACAATATTAATCTGTAAAAATACGAAAAAGTTTTATACACGAAAAGGACTTATCTTCAATTTAGTGCAAGATAAAAATATTCCAAGATAAATATTTTCGGTCGTCTACTTTTTATTTAATTAATTAATGATTGCATGTTTCGATTTAAATATTTAAAGAACTTTTATTCAGTTTTAAAATAAAATAAAGGTTCTACCATTTTCATTATTTATTACATTACTAATGATGAAGCAACAGTGTTTTTATGTATAATTTATCCTCTCACTTCCTCGTCTTAAATTATAATCATCTAAGGATGTTTTTTTTTTTTTTTTGGCAGTTTGTTTACAAAACTTGTATAGATAAATTTTTTGGGTGATGGCTTTCTTAAAATTAATTTTTAAGGGGAGGATCTAAAACTATGTGGGAATAGACGATGATAATAAAACTGTGCACTTGAAATCTTATCACTCGCTAAATAATTTTGTGTAGATTAGATTACTTGTAATGTTTAGACTTAATATCCTATACTTTATATATAAACATTACTAGGAAGATTAACTGTAAATAATTTACTAGTAGTAAATAGTTGAAGCTGTGATTTTTTTAATACTTTATTAAATAATCATTGCTCAAATACATAAATGTGTGACAATATTTATGGTAACTTGCTGTAAATTTCCTAAAATTTGACTTGGTAGCATACATAATTATTATTTCACTCTCTGAAGGTTAAAATTGATTTATTCTAATGACGTTAGTCTGACCAATACAATAAAATGATTTGGCTTTGTTCAGTGGCGAATAAATGCAGCCTATTGTATGTGTTTAATTCTTCAATCATTCGTAAGGAAGTTAAATTAAGCTACTAACTTGTGAGTCTCAGGTATAAATTTTTTCAATTCTTGAAATGAAATGAATTCATTTGTTTAGTTTAAAGCCATATGACATCTGCGTAATTGTAAATCTGTTTTTAGCATTAACGTAAAGATTAAAATCAACTTGTAATTTTTATTATTAAATTTTATTGTAAAAATTATTTGAATAAATATAAATCAAATCAAAATATGATCAATAAAATATTTTCTTTTTATTTTACAGTAACGAATCAAAAAAGAAAATTTTAAATTTGCTTGTAAGTATTTTACATTTAAGATTTTATGTTGTTGTGAAGATTGATTTAATCTAAAAAAATTCTAGCACACATTTATTTTAACTTTTATCTATTTTTATCACAAACAAACTATTTAAAAAAATATAATTTTATATTTTTTTAGTAAGTACTGTATTTTTTTTTTACAGCATATAACTCAAGATTCACTCCCATTCTAGCATAGAATATATAGGAAAAAAGTAGTTAGTGTACTTAATTTAAGATACCTTTTATCTTTGGCACTTACTCCTAAATGTATTTTACTGTATCCCGGTTAAAAAAAGTAAAATTAGAATGCACACTTTTCTTTTAAACTCTCCTTTTTTTTTCTGATAAATAAGGCATTGACAGTTAATTACCATTAAAATATTTTACATTAATGCATGAAAATGTTGCTTAGCTATGGCAAATAATAGTAATAATATGCTTAATTAAATAATAATGTGTTATTAATTAAAGTGTCTAATTAATAACACAATCTTGTGTTATTAATTAGACACTTGGTTTTTTCCATCTTTATTCAGTGTTTAATTAATAACACAATCTTGTGTTCAACAGTCAATAAATACTAAAACATGGTTTCAGAAAACAAATCAAATGACATTTTCATTAAATAATATTTTTATTCAAGAGTTGGGCTAGGTTCGTGTTACTGTAGCCTAAGGAATACTGTTTGGGAAATTAATTAGCCTATGGGAGATCACAACTTCACATATAAGATGCAATTCTCCCCTCAGCCTTTTTCTAGATAAAAGCTACATTTTACTGTAAAATACAGTAGCTTTTTATAGTGTAGTATAATAATTACAAGTAAATATTAATAATATATACAACAAGCTCCATAATTAATACATACACACATACCTCTTACATAAAACAAAATGACTTTAAGTCACAAATGGAACTATATTTAAGTATATTGTACATACAAATGTAGCTGATTCTTTAAAATACATTAATTACATTTGTCTTGTAGAAACACTGATTTAAAAATTTGCTATATTACGATAAAATTCTTTATTAACAATTAGGAATATGATTTGTTTAGAAGATTAAAACATTACATTATACAAACAAAAGTATGAAAATAAATAACAATATAATTTGAACCATTACTTTTTGAATTGTACCAATTTCTTGATGAACATTTAAAATTTATTAACAAGAAAAACCTTAAACACTCTTCCAGCAAGATAACATTTCTGGCCCTTGGAAAGAGGCCAAAAATGTTCACCATTCTTGTTTGGATTAAAACATTATCTTGCTGTAAGAATGTTTAAGGTTTTTCTTGTTAATGTGTGGCAGTTCCAGCTTTAGAAGTTTACAGAAATCATAAAACCAAAGATGATTTATAAAAATCTAAAAAATTATGTTTAGTATAAAAATAGAAGAATGAAAAATTAGAGATTATGCTTATTGTTTACTAGTATTATGCTTCTGTAAGAGAAATTAAAGTACTGTCAAAAGAATTTAACATAAATATTAATTACAAAATTAGAAAGGAAATTGTTTTGAATTCTCTTTTATGCCCAAATATATCTTAATAATTTTTTGAAATGCTCTAAAGAAGCATAAAAGAAACTGGTTATGAAATTTGATTTATTTCAATTAGCATTATAAAAAATTCTGTCTAGTCTTAATGAAATTTATCTGCTGTTTAAAAAATAAAATTATCATTTTAGATACTATGTTTTAAGATATTTTCAAATGATAAAAATTATATTTTTCTTCCACTTATTACTTTTTCTATTGACAAATTTTTAGAGCATGAAATATACTCCAGAAATTTACAGGAATCAAAATTTAGTTTGATTTAAAATACAGTAGAACCTCGAAAACTCAGCTCTCGATAACCCGGCACTCCGGATAACTCGGCCACACCCTGGCAGGGCAAAAAAATCCTTAGTTAATTAATTTTCATTATAGACAGCTTTATAAAAGTATAAAAGCTCTCATAAAGTATTTTTCTGAGGTCTGTCTTATCAGGTAAATTACTGTACACNGAATCAAAATCTTGATTATGTTATTATTTTACAGGCAAATTTTCATGCAATTAAATTGAAATACATTAGAGCAATGATTCTTGACTCAAAATGTATCATGGACTGATGGATTTACAAAATATTTTACCAGGTATTGGTAAAAAAAATTATTTTCATTTTTTATAAATAAAACTAATTAACAAGCTTGCTGCCAATTGACAGCAAAGGTCACGACACAAAATCGTGTCATGTAAATAAATTGGCATATTTGATAAGTAAAAGCATAATCAGTTAATCAAACAAGAAAAATGTGATAAAATTTTTAAATTTTGATAGAAACAAACACTTTATACTATAATTATTTGCAGTACATTAAAAAAACTCCACAGACCAGTGTCAAACCATGGACTAGCAATTGAAAAACGATGGTTAGATATTATTTTTAAAATTTTATTTCAATATTACAAAAATAAAAGTATTGAAAATTGTAATTCTTAATGCTGTAAATTTGAAAGTTAGCAGGTTTGCTTATAAAATCCATATTTTGTAATATTATTCAAATTTTTACAGGATGAAGTTGGGCAGCTTTCTGATCTTGAAAAATTGTTTTTATATGTACAGCTTCCTACAGGATCAACTCCAAATATTGACGTAACAAGACAGTAAGTATACTTTGAAAACATTTCTTATGTATTATTAGAAAACCAGAATTAAATCTATTTAAACTTACAAATAGTTAAAAGAAGAAAAAAAGCATTTTTCTATCATTGTTTAGAAATTTCTATAATTGTAATCAAAATTTCTCTTTTAAATTACAATTTAGGAAGTAAAAAGTGTCTTACAGAGCAATTCTTTATTGAAAATAATTTAATTCAGTCCATAAGTTTTACAAAATATGTTGTTATACAGTCAAACCATGGGTTTTGAACAGTTCAGTTTACAAACAAAATTTTGAACACTATATTTGACCCTGGTTGCCATACAATAACTCAATTGCTGAACAAGCAAGAGCCAGCCAAAGATTAGAGAGACACAGACAATCAACTCCATATACTTCCTGTGTTAAAGAAAGTTGATGGCTCAACCAATCAATGACAGGACTACTAATTCAGAAGTTAGTGGTGCGAAGATTGCCTCTCGTCATTAGACGTCACAACACAAATCATCAATGATGATGATATTCAAATTAGATTTCAATGCCCTTGTGGGTAAGATACTATTACCATTTTTTGGTATTCATCAAAATTGAATTTAAATCAAATTAATTTATAAAAACCACATAAATTGACATTTGTGTAATATAAACATCTGTGAATCCATGTTTAAAGGTGATTAACTCAAATTTAAATCAAATCAATTGAAACATAATATATCAGAAAGTGTGGATAAAGTACTTGTTGTCCATCTGGATTGATTTAGTTATATTTTATCCAGACAGAGTAGAGTCTCTATTAATAGCACTTTTTTGTAAAGTGATAGTTTCAGTCAGTTGGCGGTGATGGAATATTTTGCTTTTAATATATACATAAAATAGATATAGATAATATTATATTGCATTTGTAGGCATTTTTATGCATAAAATGCTGCTAAAAAGGTAAAAACAAAAAGCTTTGTTTTGGGGATCAGGAATGGATTAATTCTTTTTGTATTGTTTCTTATGGGAAAATTTGTTTTGATTTGAGAATAAATCAGTTTTCAAACAACTTTTAGGAACAAATTAAGTTTGAAACCTGAGGTGTGACTGTATATGGAATTTTTTTTACGATACTAACTTTGTATGGAATGTGTCTGGTCATTTACTTGTTCATTCAATGCCAATAAAATACAGTCGACCCCCCCATAACATGGTAGATACATTCCTGTTTTTATGAATTCATTTTCTACGAGTCCAGCCAATCACAGCCCGGCACATATGCAGTTTATGGACTACGGCTGTTTGAAAGGTTTCTTCCATAAAATTAATCGATTCTAGACTAATTCAACTCAACATTTCCAAAATATGTATAATTTTTTGGGAATAATCCATATAAACTATGCTATAAACAAAAAATTGTAGGATTACTTACCGAGTGTGCACTGTTTGACTACGCCATTGCTTAAGCATGTTTTCGTTGTGGAGCTTGTCATCGAATGGTGCTCACGTGCTTCCTGATAAATTTTTTTTTTTTTGCGAAAAATTCGCTGAACTTTGGAGACATCATTAATATAAATATAATTTTTATGGCCGTTAAATAATAAATGGTTTTTAGTAGGTCTGCTGCTCGTTTAAACTCAGCGGTTTGTGCAATATCTGCTATTGGTCTAGATTCAACCAATCCTGTCACGACACGAGTCGGCGATGACGTTTTACCGAATTATAGGAGTTTTTTTTAGCATGTTTGCACGAATACTGTTGCAATTTTTTCGCTGTGATATAGGAATCCAAACTATAGGAACCCGTGTTATATGGGGGTCGACTGTACATCATAAAATTACACTTTGAAATTTTGCAAAAATTCAAATTAAAACCAAAAATACACTTTAGCTGATTATATATCCTTTTTGTGGATTGTTTTTGGCAAAATTAGAAATTTACATACTGGTTGTATGTAGACCAGAATTGTTGAATGAATCTTTGATAACTTATAAATTTTAGGTATATTCTTTTTAAAAATTAAAAATTACATAAAATATAAAATGGATAGAAATTCATTAAATAGAAAAAATTGCCAACACCCAAACTGTCATCAAAAATTTTTTTTTTTTTTTGTTATGTAGAAATCATTTATCTTTTATGACTTGATCTGAAGAGTTCAATGAATATTTCAGTATACTTTTTATAAATTTTGGGCAGAATTTTTATGAAAAATTTCTACTTAAGATGCCTTTCCTGATAGCACATTTCTGTCTCATCACAAACATCTCAGTATTGTACAAGCAATGTTACATTATACATATCACGCTACCTTTTTACGTATCCTTTAATGATCATCATAAAATAATAATCATAAAATACATGAATGTAAAAGTTTTAAGTTATGAAAAAGATAACTATTGTAGGAAATTTAACAAAAGCTGTTTTACATCCAAAACAGGAAATAATTTAAATAGAAACACCATGTTTAGTACAAAAGGATAGAACAATTTGTTGTAGGTAAAAAGGTGGTATGATATGTATAATATACCATCATAATGCTTGTAGCTTGTACAATATTTAGTGATGATAAGTCTCAGACACAGTCTTGATAACACTACCATAATATTAAGTCTTAGATACAGAAAGAATATCTCTCATCAGTTGCTACAAAATACATACTTTTGTGACTTGCTTCAAGACAGGCTATAAAATATGCAATTTTGAGAAACTGATGAGGGGCATTCTATCTGAAATAAATATTGTGGAAAAAGTGCCTTTATATAAGTTTCACATCTGATTTCTTTTGTGAAACTTATAAATTGAATTAAATTATTTTCAATAAAGAATTGCTCTGTAAGACAACATTTTAGTTCCTGAGTTGGAAGAAAATATTAAAAACATGGAAACAAGAAGACAAATGTAACCAAAAATTTGTTTTCGTAATTATGTTTGGAAAATTAATTCTAAACATTTCTACTAATACTATTTTACTAAACATGCTTTATTTCTAATATTTAAATTTTAAAATGAAATAATTAGAATTTGCTTAAGAGGTACTGTACTTTACTTATTGTTATAACCCACATCATAAATTTCAGTTGCTGGTATGTTAATTCTGGGTGGGTCTTCTATGACATGTTGCATGTTTGGACTTTTCTGCTAAATACAGAGAAAAATGGAATGGTCAGTGAAAGAAAATGATATGATACTTTTTATATTAAACAGATCTAGGCACATGATAAATATGATAGTCAAGTCATGAAAACCAATAGATATCAGATAGAGATTGGACAACATGTTCATTGAATTCAACAATCAAATAAAATCAGGAATCTAACTTTAGAAATCTTATCTGTAAATAAGATACACTGTTTTGTTTACAGTCTCTCTTGTTTACAGATTCAGTACAGATTTTTTATGATTTCTAGTTATATGTCAGATGCCAAGGACTGAAAACTTATCAGAATATTATATTAGTCATTTACTATAATACCTTACCTGCAAAAAATGTTTTCATTACACCAACTGTGTACATCGTACCATGATTTTCATTTACAGTAATGAGAATATTTGTCAGATTGTTTCTTATACAGGATCTTCCAAAAAGAATATAGTAAGTTAAACTGGTAGGAATTACAATAATTATTACCTGAGAAGTATGAGTTTTACATTTTTTTATGCTGCCTCTAGGAAGCACTATAAACAAAAATGGTGACTGCAACAGAGTGCCATTTTGTGTTGTGCAGTTCACAAAGTTGGATTCAGTAAGCATTGTGCAACATGCAAACATGATCCACAGACAGTTTCAAAGTGATCCATCATGTAAGATAAACATTCTTGTTGCACTTTGATGGCTGATTCCAAGTTTGCAAACTGCAGAAGACAAAACACAAACACCTTCTCTGTTGTGGAATCAACATTTCTGTGTATGGTCCTTCCTAGAGGCAGTAGACAAAAAGATGTTTGAGTGCAGATGGTAGATGAAACTAGAACAGTTACACTATCAATTGGCACACAATGCACACTTCTCAAGTAATAATTAACATAATTACAGTAATTTAAAATGGTAGCATTCTTTTTTGTAAGACTCTGTATATCAAATAGAACCATTACCTGCCATACTTGAATTTAGAATATTTTGGATACATTATGAAAATATTTGTTTATAATGTTTTACTCTAGTCTTTAAAGTTATTTTCCTTGAAATATGAATGACATCTTATTAATTCAAATAATAAATTATTATTATCAGTAATTAGCCTATTGACTAATTACTGATATTAAACAATGATTGTGTGACTATTTATTAATTTCATTTATCTTAATCATAATTTCAGAAGATACTTGAGTAATCCTCTGGGTAAGAAAGGAGACATAGAAGTTGCACAAACTTACACATGGATTCAGAGTCATCTGGAAGAAGATCCTGATATTTCACTTCCAAAACATGAAGTATATGAAGAATATAGGTAAAAATCTTCTTACTGTAGGGAAAAAAAATAACCATGCATTCATTTATTTATCTTCGAAATTTGCACTCTAGTGTTAATATGAAATATGCAGTGGCAAATTGCAAACTTTCAAATTTGTACGATAATGAGATGTCTTAAAATGGAAGCAAGAGAAATCAAATTCCAGAACCACTGCATCTCCATGCATTACTTGCTAAATTTGGGCAATAATTACAATAATGTTAAGTGTTAATTGTTGACTTTCTTCAATGCAGAAACTATTTTGAAGCAAATAAGCTAGATCCTCTGTGTGCGGCCGATTTCGGGAAGGTGATGAAACATGTCTTCCCATCCGTCAAACCGAGAAGACTTGGAACCCGAGGAAATTCCAGGCTAGTAATCAGAATCTTGTGTACTTTGAACAGATTTTATTAAAGAATAAACTGGTTTTTTCGTTCTAGATATTGTTATAGTGGACTCAAAAAGAAACTTAACATTAAGCCACCATCTTTACAGGATTTTAATATTGGGGAAGATTTATATGTGTGTTTTGTTTTTAATTATAGTAATAGTTGATTACAATATTCATTCATCCATTTCATTTGTTATTTTATAGGATAATTCTAACAAAACAGAATCAAATGAAGTCAATGAAGCAGCTTGCCACATAATATTTGAATGGGCGGAAAAATTACTTTCGAAAAAGTTTTTCTCAATAAAAGAACTGGCGAAACATTTAGTTGAAAACTTTTACATTGGTAAGCCTTCAGTTACAGCACTTTCACTGCTATCTCTGCCTTCCACTAAAAACAAAGATACAGGTAAATATTCAATATTTATATTTCATTTCAGATGTACAAGAGTTTAATATGGTTTACTTTTGCAGGTAGTACATCAAATACTTTTAATAAAAAAAGAAAACAAAATCCACTTCAGTATCAAAAGAAGATTCAGGAATGTAATAAGGGGCAAAAGAGGAAAAATAAATTGCAATGCATTGACGACACTTGTCTTAAAATTGGAATGACAGAAAATGGAATCTGTTCAAATACGCAGCTAACAAATGTTCAGGAACTGAATGTATTGAACACACAAAAGATAACATCTGCAGATACTCAAAATATTACATCCATTGAACCTGTAAATAATTCTCAATCATCATCTGTTATGCCAGTAACTTCCCAAGCTTTGCTTACTGTTACTAAACAACTTTCTAATAATCTTAATGGGTTGAATGCATCTCATTTTTCTATATCAACTAATGATGATGTTAAAAATGAAAATATAAATAATAATTATAATATTTCTAAAGAAAAATGTATCCAAAAATATCAAAGAAGTAAGTCTGTAGAATTTAAAAAATTAGATTATGAAAGTGCAATTTATAATCTTTTTAATCAGTGCGATAACCTATGTAATGAAAGTTTATCAATCCATAAAAAAGAATATTTTAAACATGATCTCTCTACGGAATTAAATACAAAAAGACCTCGAATGAATGAATTTGCTTCTAATATTAACTCGAATGCTATCTCATCGGCTTGTGATTCAAAAAGTTCTAATAACATTTCTCAAATATCAACTGCTGAAGCTGAATCTTCATCAAGCAAAATTAATTCTTTAGATACTTATATTGAATCAGAAAGTCTAAATCTCCAGCATTCCACAAATTCAAATGAAAACAAGATTATGGATTCTTCTCAGTTACGAATGCTTCTTGAGAAAGATTTTTCCATTCCAGTTAACCAGTCAAAATTGCTTGAAGGGAATAAGGCTCCAGGATTGATACCACAACAGGAAAATCAAAAAAATGTACAGGATATTCAACTAAATAAACCAGAATTGATGAAATTTCCTTTCCCTAATACAGGTGATCAATGGAAAAAAGATAATTTTCATTCTACTAAATTATCCCTCTTAGCTGAAACATATAACAGATCACTTAAGCAGTCTGAATACATTCAAGAATTAAATAATGACAAGATTCACCCTGATTCAGTTTTGTCACTGTCAAGTAATAATTCTACTCTTACAAAATTACTTATTCCAGATAACAATATATCTAATATTAATCAGATAAGCAACACTATGTCTTCTCAGAGATCTTTTAATTTAATGCCAGTATCCATTAAACAAGATGATAGGAAGCGTAATTTCAATGTGTCAAATCAGTTGCAAATGCCTCGTGAAAATTTTAAGTCTGTTATGTTAAATAACCAGGAGACACTGATTCCTGTTTTAAATGACAGTCATGAAAACTACAGCTCTCCCAAATCACCTTTCTTGTTTCCACAACAAGCATCAACATCTGTGAGCAGATTAAGGCACCACTCTAGTCACAATATAGGTCAAGTCAGAAACTATAACAGATATCCATTTGGATCGAGATCTAGGCACTTTTCTGGCCCAACATATTCCAAACATGATAAATCACTTGAGATGTACAATTTCAGCAGTGATCCAACTTTGGGAAATCGAACCAGTAGCGTTCATTCTTCATTTTCTCCAGTTCATACCCTTGATTTGCCCCCAAATTTAATTTGCATTCAAGAAATGCAAAACAAAATACCTGAATCTTTTACAGAATCAATTTCTCAAGAATTGAATACAGGAAATCCTAACATAATCTGTCAGTTAAATAATGCAGAAAGTATGGAAGCTAACATGAATCAAAATTCTTCATTAATGGCTTCCAGTCAAGCATTCAAAACTGAATTAACAGATGATTTTTCTCAAAATATGCAGCATTTTCATCCTATCAGACAATCTGGTTTGAATGAAAATCGATGCCAGTCCGTTCCACCTCACAAAATGCTACAGATGTTGATAGATCAGAATTCTCCTGTCAATTCTCCGGTAATATCAAAGTCATATCCGACCACACCCGTCGTAAACCAAATATTTCATTTTCCGGTCTCTCAATCTTACCAATACGAGTCCGACATGTCTCAGATGGAACCGAGCAAACTGTTATCTCAAAGTACACAGCAAAATATGCCCGAAGTTTTGATGGGAGGTTGGAATTCTTCTGACGAGGTGTGTCATACCTCGATGACTGAACTATTAGAACAGCCACTGGACGATCTACAGACCACGCTGGATGATCTTAAAGAGTGTGACGAATTCTCAAAATTTGCTTGACATCTCTCGACTATCCGCAGAAAGACAGTAGTTAACTGTGTTTATAAGTAGAGAAATAATCTTGCTGTTAAATTTCTCAATATTTCAAATTATAAAACTCAATTTGAGCTTTAAAGTCGATGCCGCTGGTGTGCCATAATTGCGTCAAATACATAATAATCTTGTCTGTGTGAAAATTGTCATGCGTGCATCAGAATTAACTTTTCACTGTTTGCATAATAGCAAATGACTATATTTTTTTTCTTTCATTTTATCCAAAATACAGGGTCCAAATAATTGCATATTTTAAATATGAAATTTTAACTGAAAATTAAATTTTCACTTTTTATCTTTACATGTACCAAGATAGTTAAAATATATACATACGTACATACACATACATATATATATATAAATATATATACATGATATTCTTTCTTATATTTTGTTATTTTGCTTATATGCTATATTTTAAAAAGCACAATCATATCCGTGCAATCAGGAGAATACAGGAACGACCATTGCTCGAATACTTCAAAAATAAAGCATTTCAAGTGATGCCATTATCTAATAATTACAATACATTAAGATAGGAGATGAGGATGAAATTTTATCAAACAATACAAAAACGTGCAAATTTTATATTAAAAATCAAAGTGTCATTTGCAAATTGGAGTTTAAAAAGTAAATGGAGTTCATGTTGTATATAGGAATTTAAGCATTTATGTAATTTTTAAAGAAAAATTACATAAATGTAAAACATGAATAAATAATGTATATTTTCATTAAAAGTGATATATTTAGCTGTTTTCTACATTGCAAGCTTCGGTATTTATTTTTGAAATAATTTTTTACCATTGAAACAAAGAAAACTTGTACTTGGCAATGGAGAAATCATCCAATATGTTAAAATAATAAGCATTTTACTTTTAAAGAATAAGAATATTATGTGACATTTTTTTTTCTAATATCTTAAAGTAATTAGTCTTTATACTTGTAGACTAAGTTTTTTTGAATCAAAATCTTGATTATGTTATTATTTTACAGGCAAATTTTCATGCAATTAAATTGAAATACATTAGAGCAATGATTCTTGACTCAAAATGTATCATGGACTGATGGATTTACAAAATATTTTACCATGTATTGGTAAAAAAAATTATTTTCATTTTTTATAAATAAAACTAATTAACAAGCTTGCTGCCAATTGACAGCAAAGGTCACGACACAAAATCGTGTCATGTAAATAAATTGGCATATTTAATAAGTAAAAGCATAATCAGTTAATCAAACAAGAAAAATGTGATAAAATTTTTAAATTTTGATAGAAACAAACACTTTATACTATAATTATTTGCAGTACATTAAAAAAACTCCACAGACCAGTGTCAAACCATGGACTAGCAATTGAAAAACGATGGTTTAGTTTAGGTTTTCAGACCAATGCAATTTACTGTACTGTATCAATGGTTTTTGTCATCTTGGGATTCATTTGGATTGATTTTTCCATAGATTTTTTATTCACTTTTTATCTGTAATGGGATAAATTGAAGTTTGCGAGATACTTATTATCATCTGAAAGCTTTAACAGTGTAGTTTCTGAATCTTTATGTACTTGAGTAATTAATTTGTGGAAAAATTAACAAAAAATAACATTAAAAACACACCAATTTCCATAGATTGAATGCTGTAAAGGAATAGAAACATCGTCTGGGTTGTAACGTGATGCCAAAATTATTGCTTCTATACAAACAAGTATTAGATAATGATTAGTGATTTCATATATTAGATTGTCGTGTCAATGTTGAAGCTAGTAGAATATATTTTTATATTTGTCAGTACGCGGCAATTTAGTTTGACGTCAAGCAAATCAAACTCAACCCTTCACTAGTTTAACACACAACTGACTGTAGCTACCCAGTATTGTGGATTGTGTAGAACAGGATACTTAATTTCTATTTGAGTGACTGTCGTTCCTTTGTTCTTCCCATTTCAAGTGAGGCATCTGATGCAGTCCGAGCCAACATTTTTAAATATTTTAATTAGATGAGGTAAAATATATATATATTTTTATGTTTTAAATTACAAAATATGTGATAATGTTATCGATTTTAAGATCTCTATTATTTGAAATACTGTACATCAGTTATGTTTCAAATGAATGATTATTGCCAAGTTTTGTCTGCTGTGTCGGACTGAGTATATTTCTGCAATGCAGATAAATGTATATGTCTATATTAATATAATAAAGATGTTTGTTTGTTAATTGCCAAACCCTTTCTTTTCAAGGTTGTACTTGAATTGATGCAGAACATCAATTGAATCAGTTATATCTTGCATGTATATACACATACTAAAATGATTTACATGTAAACAATCACAAGATTAACCGTTGCAAGTAACTTAAGGCATACTATATGCAAATTTAATGAAAATACATATGTCGGCACGCTGCTTTTGATGATGGAAAAATGCAGATAATGTAATTTCTGAAATAAGTTTTAATATACATCAATATTTAACATGCAAATAAACATCAATCGTGAGGTTGCTGAGAAAGCAGTAACAAATTACTCAGATTTGGAGCATGGTACTTAATAGCAGTGGTTACAATGATTGATACATGAAAAGCCAAACAAAATTTTTTTAATCATAATCTTCAGAAATTCCTTCTCTCTGATCTCCATTCGATACACCCCTTAAAGGCAACCCTAGAGAAAACACATTGATGCCAAGGTTGAGAGGTTGTCTGCAAACTCTCTCATCATCCAGTTAGCCCCACAAGTCCCTATTCACTAAGGTACCAAAAGGGTATACAAATACTTTATACCATTTACTTTTTATTGACAAAATTGGGTACAAACCATATGTGGAATGAGTAATGAAAACGTAGAGATTTGTCATTAATGGAGTTGTGTGTTCAATATGATGCCGTCCGTTTTCACAGCCTCTTGGAGGTTCCCAGTTGCATTGGCAATCACTCAAATGATGTATGGCTCAACTTCATGATTTGATATCTCATCTCTGTTTGAGAGCTCTTCTCTTAGGCTGTGTACACACTAGGCGTTTTTAAACGCGCGTTTTAAAGAACCAAGAGTTCTGCATAGGCATACACACTCAAACGCGCATTTATAGATTTTTCTTAAAACGCGCATTTTGCGGGCATCAGCTGAGCACTTTGAGATATATGTGCTGCCATGTTACTATACATTCAATCACGCGTTTTCGGGTAGAGTGGACGTATGTTGGCCGAAATGGAGAACGATCATTTCAATCTATTTATTGATGAAATCTAAGAGACCAATCATTGTCAAAGGATTTTATAGATATTTTAAAAGAATTAAAAAACTTGGGTTTATTTTATCTTAGTTTTGGATGCAATGTCGCAAACATTCCATGCATCAGTCTATCTCGTAATATTGGGTGCACCCAAAATTCTCTTTGCCTCTGCCATCGTCTTTTATAGCGACGATGGAGGAGGAGCACATAAGCAATTACTTTCACATCCATTTCCAAACTGAGCCAGTGCATATGCTCCACTAAACGCTCTTCTAATGCCGAGCTAACGCGTGTTTAACGCAATGCAAAATGCCTAGTGTGTACACAGCCTTAAAGCAATTCCTAGAGAAAAATTGTACAGATTGATGTCAGAGCTGCGACACTGTCTGCAAACTGCCCTCATAGTGGCAAAACATAGCCACTCTACAGTCTGACTTCAGTCTGTGGTTTCCTCCTCTAGTTTCCTTTAAGAGATGTACCAATGGCAATCAGAGCCAAAATCATGCAATTGTGCCAAATTTTCTGATGGTTACAAATGCAAATGTGCACCTCCAAGAGGATGCAAGAAGAAACATCATACTAAACATGTAGATCCATTAATAACAAATCTCTGGGCTTTGAGATTCATTTCACATATGGTTGTATGCAAATTTATTGTTAAAACACTGCATCACAAAGTATATTAATCCTGGATAATGTGATTTTATACTTGACATGTTTTAATTAAATCACACAATATTATAATTTTATTACATGCTGTAGACATTTAATGTATCAATAAGTATTAAAAAAAGTCGGTATGTATTATGTTGCAAATGTAATTCAAGAAGTCTCTCTCTGCTGCATAACGTCCAATTGACAGAGCGTGCGTGCGACTATTTTCCGAGATCTGGGTGTCAGCATACTACTAACGGCGAGGACTAGCTCATGAGAGAGCCGTTCCGGAGATGTTTTGATCAGTTGTGGCACTAGACTAAGCGGCATGAACTGTAGTATGATGTAAGCTTGGTCTTTAGCACAGAGAATTACTTGTTCTAAAAATACAAGAGGGAAGACTGATTTCTGACTGATGGTAGAATCTGCCGCTATCATCATTAACATTCTCATGATGTCAGCGATTGCTTTCTTAATGGGATCAGAAATTACGTTTCGAAGATGATCTTCGCTGCTGGATTGTAAACCGTAAGGAGTATCCTCTAACAATTCCGTGTCATTCACAAGTCTGCGCATCTTACTCGGCCTTCCACGATCTATTTCAATTTCTTCTATTTCCATATCTCTATAGCTGTGTTTTCTAATGTATTTTCTATTAGCATATGTTGAACTCTGTCTTACTTGCAATGCTGCGTAAGTTGTCATGACTACTAAACGTGCAAGTGCAGAGCCTCGTGGTTCCGCCAACATCTCCTGGCGCACTTCGTTGTGTAGATACGATGGCAAAACATGTACTAATAAAGCCAGTGCACATTCCTCGATATCGAGATGAAATAAACCAAAAACCAAATCGATTGCTCTGTGCAAATCGTCTAGATGTTCGAATCTGAGTGCAAATCTGACTAAAGTATCGCAGAACCACTGTCCTCCTCCCACACACAATAAAGTGTCCAGATTGTGTATGGCTTTTAAATCCAACCATCCATGACTGTGCGCGGTCCAGAAAATACCATCCACAATGTCCCACATTGGTGTTCGGCTCGTTAAACCGTGCGGAATGACGGGCATTCCCTTTGCTTTCGTCTGAGTGGGAGGATGCAAATCGTACATCATTTTCTTTATCATGCCAGCCATTAAAGTGGAACGCTCTTTGTAAAAAATATTACTCTGGTCTTGACTCGTTTGCTGTGGCGTTTGTCTTCCGCTCGATGTGCTTCCGGTTCCAGTTATGCCCTCGGCTGTTGCACCAGAATCGACCGATAGTGGCGTCATGAACTGTTGGAGCATATTCATTGGTTTAAGTCTTTCTTCATGATGTAGAACGTTGATATAATTGCAAAGCCAGGTAGAGATACAAACTGGAAGGCAGCACATTCGGCTTTTAACATTGTCCAGAATCATTTTAACATTATCGGTCGAAAGAGCTCCGTACTCCCAAGCAATTAAGATTTCTTTAATTGCCATCGGAGCATTGATGCAAACTTCGTGCCATTTCACCAGATTCGTTTTGAAATCAGCATCCGGATTGGTAAACTGAGATAATAAGTTGTCCACTTTAATCGGATCACACTTTGAAAGCATCATGTCCGGACATTTATACTTTCCCCCTTCTACCCAACATTCCGAGATCCACATGGCAAAAAATGAATCCTTTGTCTCGACACTCATTGTTACAATTTCGCTTCCATAATGCTGAACAATATGACTCAACATGAGAAAAGTAATGTCGAACAAGAGAGCCCGTGTCTGAGAAGCTTTTGCATTTTCTTCTCTACTATGCTTATTATATTCGTTAAATTTAATGAGTTTCGTAGCAAAATCATGCAATTTACCCGTCGCGGCTGCCGCGGATAAGATCAGTTCAAAGTTCTTACCGGGTACCATGTGGCATAACACTCCTAACAGAGCTTCCTGAATTTTAGAGTAATCGGAATCCAGAGATTTCAGGATGCTGATCACTGTCGGTTCCGCACGAAGGATCAAATTTGCTCCCGCCTGAGTGGTCTGCTGTTCGGAACGAGGCAAATTCTGTCTCTGCGATTCGCTCTGCCTGTGCAGTAATATTTTATCTACCTGTGGCGGCGTGATGAGTTTCACTTTGCATAATTCGGTAAGTAGGTATTGTAAACAATCGCAGTTACTTTTAGTATCCGTAAGATCTAGAAGAGGAGTAAAATACAATAGTTTTTCGATACCCTGTTCTAACTCCACGCTTCCTTTATTACTCGGCTGAGGGTTTTGTCCCCACTGAGTGTTATGAATCTGTAAAATTAAGTGTGGAACTTTAAGAAAAGTAAATGCTGCCCACTTCAAATCTTCCGAACTACCGGCGGCATCCACCAGACCCATAAAACAGGCTTGAATGATTCTGCAATATAGTTCCGGTAATGTCAGATTTTGGAGCGTCTGCAAGAGCAGCAACTGATCAACGCACGACTGTATGTCGCTGGCCGGATTCAATATAGCATCGATGGCAATCATGGCATTCAGACTACACAACAACAACTGCTTTTTCGGCAAGCTGCTGTACATATTCTGGCTGGCAATGCACGGCAAATTATCCACGGCCTTTATCAGTCCCAGACCGGTCTCGAGCACCTCCTTCGAGATTACAAAATTCTGTATCTGGCCGATCTTACTCTCTAGCTCCTGGTGCTTGTACAACAACTGGTTGTACATTCCCTGATCCTCAAATTTACCGACATAGAGCAGAGCCTTCATGAAGGTCGAGTTGCAGACGTACTTGAGGGCGTCGCAGGACTTCTCCATGATGGAGACGTGTTCGGGGCTCTGTTTCAATTCTGCCAACTTGGCCAAGGAATGGTGGAGGCACGAGTAGAGCCAGTGAGAGATGCTCACCATGGCCTTGCATAGCGTGATGCACTCTTCGTCGTTTCCTCTGCAACTAACTCTCGGCTGGATGTTCTTCAGCAGGTCCAACATGCTGAGGATGCAGTACGGTTTGTAGAAACTCTGACAGCGGCTGATGCTCAGCAGCACCGCGCCATAGGACACGATATGCGAACTCAAGCAGTGCGTTAGGTAGGAGAGGAACAAATGATTGGGTCCGGATCCAACTAAGGCTTGTTGCAATATACAATCTGCCAAATCGTATACATCTCCGCTTACACCTCGAGGAAGGACTCTCTTAATGTGGATCCCCCATTGGACATCGCTCCATCTTTCCTTCCATGCTTCTAATAGTAACAACTTGATACTGCTGGTCTTACTAGTATCCATATTCGATTTAAACAACTTTAATACGCAAAAAGAATCTTCAAGAACTTATCAAAATTATTTTATTGGTCCAGTCGTACCCTCCTGACAATCAGCATGACTTATTTACAAAACGGCGCTTCCAGACTAGTGTTGCCAACTCATCACTCTAATCGACGTTAATCTGGCGGCATTCGTACACCGTTGCCAACTTATTACTCTAATCGAATTTAATCTGGAAGAATGCTTGATTACTCATTTAAAAATTTTTGTTATTAATTAAAATTATAAATTAAAGCAGTTATTTAGATAATGGTTCTTATCGCGTGACGCGCATCATCCGTCGCGTAGCTTACGAAACTATGACTTGAGAAAACAATCGCTAATAATTTTTTAATATCGCGCGCTGTTATGCAAATTAGTCTTTCCATTAGAGGAGAATGGATGATTTATTCAAACTTCCACGAAATTCGAGCATTGAAGTTATATTTTCAGAAGGAAAAATCCGTAGTGGAGGAGTCGTGTTGGTAATATTTCAGCAAAATCTTTATGGTTAATTTTAAATGTTAATTTTGTATTTATGGATTGCGTGTTGTTTCGTCTCTGACGCGATGGACGCTAGCGATTGGTACGCGACGCGATACGTGGGGCTATAACCGAACCATTTTCATGATGCAATTGCAGATGGAAGGGATTTTAACAGAGCTGTAGACAAGTCATTAGAAGTTAATGCATTTATTCTTTGTTATAGGCACTAGTCGCCGTTATGGCGCCCAGTGCCACATGCAAACATGACGTCCGCAAGCAAGATGGCGATCGGAACTGCCGTTGAGATTCCGTATTTGCAAGCAAATATCTCGCGAAGGTTGGCATGTAGAGGCATAGTTTCTTTGATCATGCTGTTATTGATACGGTCTACAGCTCTGTTAAAGTCCCAACAGTGCAATTTTACCATATCCGTGTTGTTTTTTAGAATCAAGAACAAGAATTCTTCGAAGTATCCATATTCTCTTATTTCGTTATCTTGTGCATCAACTCATATCCATACCCGACCAGACTACCAGTGGCCCCGATTGGATAAAAACCACCGAATACTGGTAGTTGCCCTATTCAACAGGTTGTCACGTGAAGTTTTCCCGGTTTTATTCGCCTAATTAGGGGCCAGTTTTCCATAGGAATTCCTCTAGAGGCATTTCCTCCTGGCTGATAGCCCAAATGTCGCGTTGCCATATACGAATAAAACCAAGCCATACCCGTCTATGTTTTCATAGAATTTCATCCACTGCTCATTACTATTTTTGTTCCTTATTAATTAATCGCTAATCGTGAGAGATGGGCCTCACTTCTTGCAAAAACCTGAAGTTCCGTGCTGTCATCATAATGCCTCCTCAAATATGCTACCATCACCCACAAACTGGCCTTTTCCCACAATGTTCATGGGACTAAATGGTTTTTCTCGTTTTCTCCCGTGTTTTTTTTCGCCTAGTGGGCACTAAGACGACCTCTTCAGCAAGCCCATTGTGTGTTCGGCCAGGCCCACAATGGATTGGATGGGTGGAGTAAGGGTAAGGCTTTCTATAGGAAGGTAGGTGTTAAACAAGTGAAGAAAACTCGGTAAACTCCACGTGGTCATCCCATCGGTGAGGTACAGTACGATGGTGAGGGAGGGTCCCACCGTCTCAACATATCCGGGACAGACCGTCGATAAAAGAAATTTCTGTCTTTGATTACAACTTTTTCTAATGTATAAAATAGGGCCCCAGTCGCCCTCATTGTGGGGCACCAAATCCGCGAAAGGTATGATTAAAAGGCCCTCTTACGGCCGTATTCACAATCGTGGATCAAGAGTTAAAAGTCAACCAATTACCATTCATTTATTTTTAGCAGATATCACTTACTTGACCAATGGCATAGCCCATTACATTTGAAACGGGCCCGTTATGGAGCCCGAGAGTAGAGCGGAACCCTTTTACTTTCTTCAACAAACGAAATGTGTAATTACTTTGTTGTTGTTATTATTATTATTATTATTAATCATTACGCATAACACTGATATATACGCTAAACTCGCATACGCTTGGCGTAACCGAGTCTACACGGTAACTCTAAGGGAAGTTACGCGAAATGTAAGGGAGTAGCGTAACAGTATGTATTCTTAGTAGGCATTTATCAGGTTACTTTACCTTATCGTAACGTAACAGATCTATGAACGAGTGTGTCGTAACACGAAATGGTCACACGTAAACAACAGGAAAGTGTATAAACTCCAGGCATTTTAGTGTTACGTAAGCTTTATTGTGCCATTTATTATGCAACTTAGAATATTTTCACGTAACCATTTCTCGAAAATGAAGGGGGAAAAAACCCCCTAAAATATTGTTACTTTCCTAGAAGCGTAACTTGAAAAATTTCTCTTAATTTAAAGGAAGAAATTCTACCTAAACCTGTTAATTGTAATGAACACGCAAGACTCGATTTTTAATTAAATTTTACTTATAAAATTGCAATCGAACCGCCAACCTCTCAATAACGGACACCGACAAACGGCGCCCATTTTTTTTTTTTTAAACCAAGAACGTTCCTTTTCGGAATGCAAACGAAGTAACCTCCTAACAACGGCCGAATTTTTGCGTTCCCTTTCGGGTGTCCGTTGTTGAGAGGTTTTAGTGTATTAATGTCTGGTACAGTTGATCAATACACTCCTATAAAATACCGTAAAGTTTCTCTGTGTGTGTGTGTGTGTGTGTGTGTGTGTAATTTAGAAGGAAACACCAGCGAGTGTAATTCCTACAAATGATATTTCTTGGAAGAATTGACGCGTGTAACGGGCTTTGTTAGAGGTTGCTTTCACTTTTATTACTACATTATCCTTTGTAATAATTACCCTTGGAAACACTGGCCTACATAAAAGGCAATTTTTAATAATAGAGATTAAAATACAGAGAAGAATGTAAGTTTCCCCCCCCCCACTCCTCTTCTGTATAACAATTGTACAGTTCTTGGAAACACGGCAAAAATCAAGCAAGTTACTATGGAATTAATTCGTAATTTTAGAATACATTCGACAGTGGAGAAGAATGTAAATGGAAGGGTGGCCCAAAAGTCGGTTGACCAAATAACTGGACAATTTTTGAGGGTGCCGGGGCGTCGGATAATCGAAGAAACACGTAAAAAAAACTCGCATACATAAAAGAAAACTTCGAGGAAATAACGAAAGGGTCATCGACCTGCATGTAAAGACCAGGGGTCTTTCACTCTTTTCTGCATGCAAAATACCACTTGATTCTTCTTCTAACGCCAAAGTTATTGATGTATTCCGCATGTAAGATAAATATATATCAATGGAGAACAGATGTCGCCATCAAGTTTCCGTTAACGCGGCTGATAAATCGAATTCTCTTCTGTCATTTCCTGTGTTTTCGTCACAAAAATAACCGGATAATAATTAAAGTTTCACCGCTCGATCGAAAGTCATAAATTAAATAATACAAGATTTTACCATAAAATCACCTCAAAATACCATTTAAAAAGTAAGGCCTTTCGGGTGCAGGGAGAGGACTGACAAAAAAAGGCCCTTTATAAGTGATTTTTTCAACACCAGATTGCCATATAATTATTGGAAAAAGTTAGAAATAATCTTTGTATAAAGTACGGTCGAACCTCTCAACAACGGCAACCCGTAAATGGCGGCCATATTTCTATAGTCGGGCACTTTATACGGTGTTTTCGACGCTATATTGCGATATAACAATTGAAAAACCTTAAATTACAATCAAACCTGTTAACAACGGCCACCTGTAAATGGCAACTACATTTTCACGAATTTTTATCTTTAAATGCGTATAAAATAATATCCAAACAGCGGTGGCTTTTTAAAAGATGTTTCCAGGAAATGGCCGTTGTTAACAGGTTCGACTTAATTATAATTTCCTTTATTAAAATGTACGAAATTTTTACAGAGTAATCCAGCCGACTACAACTTCACTGTATTCGACATCATACTACTATGGCAAGCGTCCTTTCTGTCCGTGCATTGCCTGTTCATCGGAAACAGGTTGAAAACCTATCTGAAGAGTTTGGACGCCTACTCGATCAGCCAGCGAAACGAGAACCTGAGCAAGGCGGAACTGACGGCCACCGTCATCGCTTTCGCCAATCAGCAGAGTACAAACTTCCGCACCTCTTACGGACGGACGGTCGAACTTGACGACTTGCATCCCCGGACGGATCACATATACAAAACGAGCAAGAAGTGGTGCATGCTATTATCCATCGTGTCCTGTGTTACAGTTTTGTGTGTCATCGTACAAAATATATGGTCCGAAATGGAGGACAAACAATACACCTCGCCCCTCGTTAGTGTCGCTCATTATATCTCTAAGACAGGTTCGTCTGTAACGTGGAAGACATTCCTATCCACCATAGTTAGTTGCCTTTCACTTCTATATAACGTTCTGCCCCACGCTTTATTCGTGGGTTGTGCCATACCCCTTATGGCGTTCATACAGAACTTCAACGACAGAGCCGAGCTCTCGGCTCAGAACACCCTTAACACGGACAAAGTGAGCGAAGTACATTACAAGTTGAGATACTTGATGAGACTACTCGACGACTGCTTTTCCAGTATTATCTTCACCACTATAGCGGGTGAGTGACCTTGCGTGCCTTACGTGATTAAAGGCCATTTTACTATTGTTTATTCTTAATGCCCTAATTAAAAAAAAAAATCGATGGTTCTGGTGTACGAATTACTCTGGATCCACTTACCATAGTGGACTAGTTTCATCATGATTTACTACCATTTTGTTTTCGTTTTTATTAAATGTAGGTCAACCTGTTTACGGGGCATTTAAAACACAAGATTTCACGTGAAAAATTCCGCTCTAGTCAGGTTATTTTGTGCAGTTGGCTGACAAAAGTTTTTTCCGTTTCCGCGTTAGACAGGTTTCGTTCCTGGATTTATTCTTCGTTTTACAGAGTCCGTTTTAGACGGGTTTTACCTTAACAGAAATTGGTTTCTTTTTTATCAGTTCGAAAGGTTTTATATATTTAATTAAACATTGAAAGAAGGGATCTGTCAGATTCTTCACCAGAATGCCAAAAAAGGATCCATGGCGTAAAAACTTGAGCCGTATTCAGGTCGATGTACCATCTCTGTACCAAGATTTCACTTTTTTTAAAAGGTATTTTTATTATTCACTTCACTGTCACGAAAAACAGAGGAAGGTAACGTAAACTTGTTTAAAGAGCATAAATCCACAATGGCCGAGTGGTACCACTTGGATCGCGCCCCACCAACAAGGAGTTTTCAGGATTCCCTTCACATTTATAACACCTAAATAGGGGCCAGTTTTTTCTGTAGAAAGTCCTCCTGGGTTGCACCTCCCTCCTGGAAGATCACCCACGTGTTGTGCATTGCCTTATGGTAGTGTTCTTCGACCATTTTCTAATAGTGGCACCCCCCCCGACTTGATTTAATTTTTTATCGCGGTACCCCTACTTCATCAATGCAATTTTTTTGTAGTTTTTTTTTGTAATACACGCGAGTGTTAAGGCACTGTATTTTAGTGACACCCTAGTGTGTTCATGGCACCCAGGTCGAAGACCCCTGCCTCGTGCCACCAATTCAGTGGGAGAGTACCTGATTTACTTTATCTAAATCGTGTTTTGCTTTCTCTCGGGCAGAAATCCTGTGTCATGCAGCAAGGGTGCCACGTCACTTAAAAGGATGATCCCGTTTCAGAGTATGGCACACGGGTGTGACGTGTCTAAAATGCAGATAAACCCGCATAACAGATTTATATCTATTTTTTACTTTCACTTTTTAACTTCGTCTCATTTGAATCCCTCGCTATAAATCTGTATTATCAACCCGCATTGAAAGTAATAATACGGGTTACACGCAAACCTCGTTCTTGCGTGTAACTTATGACTTGGCAACCGGGTGATTTAAAATAAACGTAAATGATGTAATTTCGACGTCATAGTATGTATTTCCTTCCCTCTTTTCTTACAGGGGACTTCTGCCAGGTCGTCTTCGGCACATTTTTGGAATTGATGGATTGTTCCGTGGAAGGTATGGATGCGAAGTGCAGTCGATACTTTGCAAGGCACATTATGCTAATACTGCGCTTATGTTTGACAGTAGGGATGTGTGTATCCCTACAGGAGAAGGTGTGCAGCCGATTTTCTTAGAATTTTCCCCCAAACAATGCATTCGTTAACACGTAACTTAATCATTTCAGATCCAGGGCCTGCTACCGACCATGGAGGAATATTCTTCTAAATCGTTACTCAATACCGAAAAATTAAAGGTAAATACAGTTAAATCTATATCAAACGGTGTTTTTCTCCCCCCTTTAAAAAAAAAAAAAAAAATCGGATCGTTCGTAAAATGGGCGAGGGCGATCTAAATCTCAAAAATATTCTAAACAGGCGGAGTAGTAAGGCACGCGAATTACAATTCATACCTTAAAGATAAAAACCAGGTTTATGTGTATAATTAATAATTTCAGGAAAATTGAAACTTATAATACAGGATTTCCAGTTTTTAATTACGTGAATATCGTACTTAAAATGTCACGTACGGGCCTGTAATTTTCATATTTTACGGTCGTTGTGTCCTTCGGCGAAGGGGGTGTTCTTTATTGATGTTACTGCAACAATATATCATTAATTACTGTATTCTACAGAAAGATATTTGCCGTGTGATCCTCTGTTTTGGTTGCTTAATCCATTTGTTTTTTTCCAAGATGACGTAAATTTACATCTACCCTTTGTCACGTTGGTATTGATGAATGGCGATTTGTCACGCTATCGAATTTTTTTCCTAGTTTCCTACGTTATTTAATAATTATCCTTTTCTTAAATAACTTAATTGACATAGACATAACACACGGATGATTACCTTATGCAGGTTTCACCTGTTATCAATACAATAACCTTTTATATAACGTTGCAGTACGTTGTATAAAGGTTATAATTGATTTCCTCCTCTTATATTATAATGTACAATTTTATGCAGTGTTTATATATATATGTAATTCCCAATAGAATACGTAAATACAGAGCATTGTGTGTTACAATGGCGGGGGTTTATAAATACAGTACACAAGTATCAAAATTCATTAAAGACGTGTTTCGTGACGTAGCACACGTGAATGTGACAAGAAAATTAATTTCCATCTTCCGATAAGAGTTGAGGCTTTTTAAATATTCAATAATTCTCTCTTTTTATTTCGTGGTGGGAATTACAATGTTATAGAATGCAGAACAAAATGGCGGTCGTGTAATACACTGTGTCATTTTTTTTTATGGTTTTTTTTTTCTTTAATGAAATTTTCAGAAGGAAGAATATGATTTGTTGTATTAAAAAAAGTACAGTATTAATTAAAAATTCATGAGAAGTTTCTGTTTAAAAATGGCAACTAACTAGATTATAAATTGTAGGTTATCTAGCGATTCGACTCTGGCAGCCATTTTTGAATTTAGAAAATAAATTCTTTTGACCCATTAACGGTATACTCGGAAGAAAAATTTAAATATTTTATTTTGAACTGATTATTTTTATTATTTATAGTAAACGGTTATGTAAGAATTTGCCCGAATGTGACCATACTAGCATGCCCCTTTACACAGAAACACCATAAATAAATTGACTTTCAGAGGTGCAGCGGGGCATACACGTATACATTTTTGATTAAAGGGAAGCATAAGCCTTCAGGAAAAAAAAACGCCCATAAAAATGGTTGCTGTTTATATTACTTGTGATATTGATTGTATAACATTAAAGTCAACCAATGGGCATGATCCGTTTCGTACGAAACCGGCAAGCAAACCAATGGCGTAGTGTTTCGTGCGAAACGGATTATGCCATTGGTTGGCTCGCTTAAACACTTGCTACTTGAGTACCCCATAATTAAATTTTTAATAATTGGGTTCTTTTTCTATATTTTTCAGCTTTTAACATTGATCCAGTCGCTGCCTTCCTGTGGAATTAGCGCTTCTTCGTTTTTTCTTATAACGCGCGGTTTTGCCGTAAAGGTAATGGTTTTTTTTCCCTTTTCCCCTTAGGTTTTTAAGATTTAACAATTATTTTAACAATTAAAAAATAAACACTCAGATGGCGGCCGCTTGTTTGGCTTACGGAGTTTTGATATGGAAACTGTCCCAGCGTTAATTTGGGGTACGGAGGAAGATGGAGTTGTGTAATAAAGAACAAATGTGATAAATAAAACTTTTTAACACGAAATTAAAAGTATTTTGTATGTTAAAAATTAGTTACGAAGCTATACAGGCCGCCCCAAATGTCGGTTAACCGAGATGCATTATTTTTTTTTAAAGCTAAATTCTATGTCGGAATAGCATACACGCAGCTGTTTTTAACCGTTGTCGGAGAAAAATGCCGCGGTTAACCGACTTTTGCGACACTGAATAACATTCTGAAAAAACAAATGCGTTTACAATTACGGTTACAATATCGAAGGAGGGGTTTTATTACATCAAAACCGGTATTTCGGTGAATCTCTCAAGACTGGAGTACCGGTATTGAAACCTGTATTTGGATCCATAGTGCGGGGATTGGGTTGTTGGGTAATTTATCAAGGAGGGTGCCTTGATTTTACTTGTAAACAAGTAAAATCATCATTAGCATTCATAATGTTCTATAAAACCCACCCCTACCCTCAAAATTAAGATTTTTGCTATTTTGTAATAGTTATGATGATATAGTTTTTTAAATAAAATAACAGATGGCGCCACCTAATGTTACCTGGAAAGTTAAACAACTCGTTGCTGGATTTTTATATTAGCAAGCAAAATACTGAAAGACCAGTATCAGTATAGCACTGCCGGTATTTCAATTTTGGGAATTCGAGCTGAAAACCAGTGTAATAACCGATATTGCAATCCGTAGTCATACACCATGATGTCATTTTATAGTGTTATTCATGGTGAAATATTACACATAATCTTCATGTCATAGCCCGTACTCTGACAGCCAGATATGACACGAAGATTAGGTGTAGTCTGCAATAACGTACTGTACCGTACCGGCGATTGCATCCCACGACAGCTGTGAAACCTCCACAGTTGACACCTCCAATTTTGTTAAAATTCCACAGTAAGATAGATTAGGGCTTTGAACTAAGATATGCTTCATATTAAATATGAACATTGTGGTTTCCAAGCAGTGGAGAAGAGTGGAGGTTGCTTCACTCTTTTCCACGTGTGACACACAGATTATCAGCACAAAACCTTTCTCACTAATTTCTAGCCTTATTAACAAGAGTACAAACGTTTTCGGCCTTTTTAATAGGCTTTCCTTGTACCCGAGGAAGGCTTATTAAGAAGGCCGAAAACGTTTGTACTCTTGTTAATAAGGCTAGAAATTAGTGAGAAAGGNTTTATTACCACATGAATAATTAATAGGTAAAGTCTTGATCTTTCTGATTTGCAGAGATATGCTGAAGTAAACATGTTCCCTAGGCTGATCTGTACCAATTTTGAAGAGAAAATATCTCTAAATGGTTTGGAGTTTTTCTTTTTGGAACCATAACAAAGAGCATCTTTTCCTCTATCAGAATTTTGTTTCCAATCTTTGTCCTAGCCTCCCAAGGAAAAAGGATCACTTCAAAACTGTGACATTTGGTATATCAAATCATTACATTTTGCTAAATATTAGCATCATAGTGAACAAAACATTATAAATCAATACTAAGATATTTCTTGCACTGATCCATGGTAGCAAGAGGTGCCTACAGACTATACAAAAGGGCAACACACATTGAATCATAGTTTGTGTAAAATTGGATCAGCATTCCTACAAGGTAACACTGGTTGCAACCAGGGCTAACTTAACTTGGCCTTGAAAGCAAGGAACATTCCTTGCTTTCAAGGCCAAGTTAGAATTTTCTGGTGTTTGTTGATAATGGAATTTGGGGCCCCCTTTTGGATTAGGTAAAGGACAACACAGACTGTCCCAAGTGCCCCAATGTATGGATGCCCCTAATAATGGCACCAATTTGGCAAATTTACAACCTTATTCGAAGGGGCTATCCTCAGCAACTTGTGATCTTATCTTTAATTAGTAGGTATTCAGATGTAGTTTTTCAAACTCTGCTATGAAATGCTCGAATGAAGAACAAACTTAAATTTACCCTTAACTGAGTAATGTGCTGATGGCATGTGACACTCAATTTCTGATTTATTTCCAATTTAAATTGTGCATAGCCTTTTCCCCATTATTAAACCCAAGAAACAAAAAAATGCACTAAAAACGTACAATGTCAAAAGAGGCTGATTCTTACATAACACAAATAGAAAACCAGAAAAACAAACTAAAGAAAAGCACACACAGTAAATACTACTTGAAGTCATCATTCTTCCATTTGGGAGGCTGAGACAAATATTGGAAACAAGACTTCTTACAGAAGAAAATATGCTCTTTTTAATGGTCCCTAAAAATAATGAGATGACCCATTCGGAAAGATTTGCCCTTCAAAAACAGTACAAGTCAGCTTTGGGATAGGTTCACTTAAGCATATCTCAAATGAAAAAAAAACAACCCTTCTTACCTTATATTTCTAAAGCCTACCTATCTGGGGTTGGTTTACCTGTTAATTATTCACATAACAGATTAACCAATGCAGGAAAGGCTTTAGAAGTAGTTGTAAGTTGTTAAAGTAACATGCCAGTTTTACATGACTGAAGACAATTTTTTGCTGTATATGCAGCTGTGATAACCTAGCATAACTTTTCCTTCACCAAATTTGAAAATGCACGCTAGGACAAATTTGATCATTTGTGTAACGTGCACGTGATTTGGAAATCATTCCACCCTTCTCTGAGGGCTCAGAATCGCAGAAAAATATTTTAATAGCTTGAACTAAGATCTGCAAAATATCATACTGTGTGAGTTTAAACAAAATTGGAGGGAGTCAAACATGGAGGTTTGCACAGTTGGCTTGAAATGACCCATTGGATCTTTAAAAACACATGAAGTAAACCCATAGACATTGAGTTTTAAAATCACATACAAACCAAAGCAATGATAACACATCTTCAGTTACTCCAACACAGTATTTTAATGTAACAAAACTGTTTTTGATCGATTTATGGATCTTTCTCAGTTGCTGAATACACAGATTCAAAATGATTTAAAAATAAGAACATGTATTTATTTTGTTTACTAACAAAAAATTCAAACAACAATCCCAACAAAAAACCTTTGACAGCTTGTTATTTTAATATTTAGTTATTTCACCTTTGGCTTGTATAACAGCGTATGTATGATCATTGTATTAACAAGAACCTGGCAGTCATCAGGAGTGATTTTTAGTCCAAATTTGCTTGTTTTGCTTTAAACCATCCACATTTCCAATAGGAGAAAGGTCATGACTGATTGATGGCCATTTTAATGTGTTAATTGGGCTAGGCCAGACAAGTATTGGTGGTTTTAGCAGTACAGCAAATTCAACCATCCTTCTGGATAATAATATGTGCATGATATTGTAATTTTTCTAATGACGGTAGCAGGTTTTCCTTGAGGATCTGTTGATATTTTGCTGCATATACTGATCCCTTAACAAAATGCAAATTTCTCACACTTTGGGCTGATGTTCAACCCCACACCATAATGTCTGCTGGAATTTTACAGTGTGCTAAAGACAGTCACAATGGAATGCTTCTTTTTTGTTTTCTGATGACTTTTTCTACTGCCACCAAAAAAAAACTCAAAACTTTGCCTCATCAATAAAAACAACCTGCTTCTACGGTTGTTTTGTCAGGCATCGGTGCTCTTTGGCCCACTTCAGTTGGTTTTTTTATTTGTGTTTTTGTGAGAAGTGCTTTTGCTTTGTCTAAGTAAATAGATCACATGTCACAATAGTTAAGAGAAATTGCAAAAGAATTAAAAATTGGCAAATCCACAGCTATCAGATAAGTAAATGATACTGTTTTTACTTACGATTTGCTCTCCGTATGGAAGGTGAGAATTACTTCACACACACGTCAATGCAATCCTACCAGGTGCCAGTTTCATTAAACAAGTACACCCCAATAAAATTAATATGGAAGAAATTGTAAATATGTAAATTGTACTAATATGTGACATTTGCAAACAGGTCATTTAATGTTCCAAGTATGTTTTTTCGGAAATGGCTCTCTCCAAGCTTTTTTTTTTTTTTCTGACTACTTGTAACACTATGCTGGGTCTCCTAGTTAGGAACTATCTTGATAGCAAATTAGAGTGAGTGAATATTATTTACTATTTATTAACCAAAAGGAAACACTCAGTTGACATAAGAATATTTACGTTTTTATTTTTCTTCAATAAAGAAATTCAATGACTAGTACAAAATGTAACTGAATTGTTGTATATTATAATATTTTACATCTTGACCCCAATGCTGTAACCATAAATTACAAAATCTTTGCTTTTGAGCAATAATAAATTCTAATTTACCACTGTAAAAAAGTAAGATCAACACCAATTAAACCGGTGCTAATTCCGGATCGACAGTATGAGGTGTCGATAACGCGACAATGGACGCAGACTTAAAAAGTGCAGTATGCATAATGCAATCGTACGACATACTTTTAAAATACTGAGCAATTGCAGTGTTGCTGCCCTGTCACGAGAAACATTTGAACATTTGTAGGTTCCACTCTACAAATGTTCAAATGTTTATCATGCTTCTTTGCCGTAACTCTCAAGTACTTTCAAACCTTTAGGCCCATCATAAAAACTTTGTAGACACTAGGACCAAAGCAGTGGCATAACTACTATTACACACAGTTAAGTGATGGTTAAGAGACCACAAATAAAGGGGACCAGACCACATCTTATAAATATATTTTTTGTGACTAGGAATGATTAATTTTAGAGTTTTATAGTTTATTTTTTCTGATTACACTTATCATATTGTTTTGAAAAAGTGCAGTGGTCTGATAGTAATTAATAACATGGCTGTATAATGGAATCTCTTATATGATATATGAAATGTCCATCAAATTTTTTTTGTTAAATAATATGCATCTTAAGATATAAATTTACAGCTAGTATTTATAATAATAATCATGGAAATCACGTAATTCCTATGCGACTTTTTTCCTTTTGACGTAAGCAAATTTAATATTAACTATCTCTATATTTTGTTTAAATTCCCATTTCACGAATGTGGAGGAGCTAGGTCCTAGGCAATGGAAGACTCGTTACCATATTTTGCTTAAGGGACTAATAAAATCTCTAGCTATGCCACTGGCCGAAAGGCTCAAAACTACTTTGTTGGAGATCTTACGGACATTTGCTGTAACTGCAAAATAGGAAAAAATAGACAGAGAATTGGATAAATTAATTTTCAGCTTTAAAAAAAAAAACTAATTCTAAATTACCGTAATTGGTCTTGTATTAGGAATTATTTTTATTAAGTCACTTTTCTTCGTTAAGTTTTGTAGATAATAACGGAATTGTTGACCTAATTTATCTAATACAAAAAATAATCCTACAACTCGGCACTAGAAAAATTCTTCCAGAGAAACGAGTTTCCTCATTAGCAAGTGGAATCTACACCTTCAATCTTTCTACCTTAATCAAATTAAATTTAAGTAAACAATAAGTCATTCTTATAATCAAAAGCATTTTAAAATTAAAAAGTGGACCAACCTGTATTTTCATCAATCCTTTCAGACAAATTCTGATACGTGTGGTGATCGTCTACGTTTTGATATAGATTTAAATTATATGGCAATATGTGTATATTTTTCTCACCTAAACAAAAAAAAAGTATACTACTATGAATTTTTTTTTAATTGATGGCCCGATGTATCTAGATCAACTTAAACTGGGAGTGTACAGTTGGTACACAAAACAGACTATTTTTAGAGCTGCATTAGAAACTCAATAACGGTGAATGGTATCATAAAAAGTAGTATGAAGATGATGAAATGTCTTAAGTCTATAAACAACTCCTCTATAGTTGTCTGTGATTTTTACGAACTTCAACCCCACCCAAAATTTCTCTCGGCTGATCTGGACTGAAACCTGGTTCCTCAGAGAGACATGTTAATGCCACTACTGTCTTGCCCATCCTGCTTCAATGACTGAATCAATAAATATTAATTCCAATAAAAAGAAAACATACTAAAGGACAATTACAATTATATAATCTTACTCTCATTCTAAGAGTTAATTAAATATAACCTTTATAGACTAATATTTAGGAATGGCAAAAAAGAATATTACATTCAAAATAAAAAAGAGGAAACAAGTTTTTCCTTCTGTCCTGTAGGTACTATGAATTTTCTTCTATTCTATATTGTTTCCATTGTGAACCTGACAAAACCCGTAAAGTAATGGGGGATGAACAGACACCAAAATATCCCAGTAGTTGGCCTCCAGAGCAGTCAACAAGTAGGCCAATGCCTTGGGCATCTGGCCGTCAACAAGTTACAATATAGAAGCGTGGACCAGATGTAATAGTATACATATTCAATCTGTCGAGACATTAATCATGATGCTAAATCAAGGAATCGGAGCCTTGGTGGTTGAAAAGTACATACTACAAATGGGACAATATTTCAATAGGTGAGAGAACATTTGACTTTTTCTTTAAAAAACTTATGGCATCTTTCCTTATAATATAATGCTCAAATATTGTTTTAAATTTAAACAATATTTGAGCACTATATTAATGTTCCTTAATCCCAATATCAAGGAACATTATTAAAAAATGCTGAATTTTTAATGTTTTTTCTTAATGAATTAACAATACATAAAGATTAACAGCTGCTGCTTTGAAAGTCTCAATACAGATGATATTAACATATTGCTGCTTTATGAAAAGTTATTATGGTGAAGTTTTTAACCTACTTAAACTGTTAAAAAATTTCAAAAACATGTCACTTTTTGTTTTGATTATGCACACTAACACTTAAAATCTTCAGATTTTTGAAAAGAAAACTTGAAAGCTCTAAGACATACTGTTTTATTGAGATATTAAAATAAAGCAATCTTTTAGGTATGTTTTTAGTTAGCAGTGATTATGGTCTCAACACCAGCATGTGACTATTCTTTTATATTATAATAAAACTAAAGCATTAATGTATTAAAAATTGTAGAACTATTTTAAATCTTTCAGTTAAGTGTACTTAATTTCTTTTTTCAAGTGATTAATTTAGATATAACCATAATGGTTAATTAGTAGCTCTGGAAGCAAAGATAAGATGGAGTTCTAGGTAGTATAACTGGCAATGCAACTGCATGGCAAGCAGCAGTTGTGGGTTAGAATCCTGCTCAGAGTTAATCTTTTCTTCCAGAATATTAAATTTAGTAATTTTTGTAAAAGATGATGGCTTAACTGCCTACCTCTAAGCTAAATTGCTTTGTTTCCAATCATTAAAACTAGCCATAATTTAGCTTGATAGAATTTTCAAATAATCTGCTAGATTTTTAACATATCAGGTTGGTTGTTGTTTATATATATTAAGTTTTAGCTATTTAACAAAAAAATTAATTAGCTGAATGGTCAAGGCAGTTAGGTCCTGGGTCCACCAGAATAGTAGGCTGACACCCTAATCTGGGCAAGCAACAGAGGAATTTTTTTGTCTTGGATACGTCGAGCCCATTTCTCAATGATTGACAACAGAAAAAAAAAACCTCTTAGTGTCCATAGTGTGTAAAGAGTTAAAATGATCCATGAATTATATCAAACTATTAATATATCTGAAATTAGCATTTGGAACATTTTGATATGTTTGGATTATCAGTACTCTGCATAGGTTTATACACAAAATTTTCCAAGGTTTGTATTTGATCATTACAATATTTCACTATCAGATGATCAATGAGGTAGGAAGGCAGTAATCATTGTTGTGCAGTCTGCATTAGTGTAACGTCATATTCTTTATTGATAAACACAGCTCATTCGCAAGCATGGCCTGTTATTTTGTTACTTTTTTTGAACGTCACTCTATGCCTATATTGTGCTTAAAAAGAAAGAATAGAACTCTACGTTTGAAACTATGTCACCGAATATCAAACAAATTATAAACTACCACAGCAATTTATTTCAAATTTTATACTTTCATTTTATTTTTTACAGGGGAGTGTAGTTCATTTGGTATATCTAATAAACATCTATGTTGCTACAGGAGGCAAGATACCCAAGAAGAGTAGGCCTTATCAGACCTGAAATCCTGCAGATATATCTAATGTCTGAAGATTTAAGGCTTTGACACCTTTCTTCTCAAAATAATAGATCAATCTATTACAATAGTAAATAGTAAATCAAATAGTAGATCAAAGAATTGTCTTGTCTTATCTGCTCCATGTTTTTATATTGTAACTTATTCACTTTCATTCTCTAAATTTTATTATGTATTTTAACTTATTTCCTAAATTTAATCATTTACAAATGTCTTAAATAACTTTTTTTTTATCAAAACAACAGTTTAAAAAGATACATACTTGTAGTCGATTCACGCCGCTCTTCCTCGTAACATTTTGCTTTCTCGATGTTGTTTGTCTTCTTTTCGGAAGTTTTATTCTCCCCCGTTTCGACAATGTTATTTGGCACATTATATTCTTGATTTCCATACAAAGGGTTATCAAAGTGGCTATTGTCTATTAGTGAATAATCAATTTTAATTAGAGAGTTAGCAAGTTGTAGTTATTAAACTAATTTTAAATACTTACTATCTATTGGAGGCTCGACGCTATAACTGAAAATAAAAACATTTCGATACTTGAGATTGTAACAGGAAATTTAAGTTTGTTTTATATTGAAATTTTGAAACTTACGCCGCATACGACAAATCTTTTTTCAATTTCCTGACTTTTCTTTTATAGTACAGAACTATAACAATTATGATAATTAATAACAGAACGGTGATGCAAATTCCAATAATAAATCCAATGTTTGTATTTGAAGTATGAGTTTGTATCACGGCTTGCGTTTCTGAATAAGTTTCAGCTGAAATGAAAATTAAGTATAAAAAGTAATTAAAATTCTTAAATGTTTTCATTATATTTAGTTTAAAAACTAATAATAAAGTAAGTGGAAAATTGGAGCAGCAAAAACTTTTTGTTAAGTATACAATGATACAGAATATTCTTAATGTGATTTCCAATGTGAGGAGGTCCACAAGTGCCAGCTTCAACTTTTTTAAGGAGGCAAAGGGATATACTCCCACTATCATAATTATTACTTAATCAAGCTCATATCAGGTAATTTACTGTACTACTGAATGAGGAAGAGGATAGAATTTTCCAACACTCTTTAAAGAATTAATTATTGAATTCCAGCTTCCAAACCCACTCGCCGTCAGAAAGACTGATCCAGTGGGAGCAAATGAGGCATTATCCTCACAGCAACTTGCCTGTCTCAACAAAATAATCAGGAGAATTTTTAAATATTAGTCTCATATTAAGAGTAAATCTGGTATTCCTATATCTAACTTTAGCAGGATTTGTGATTAGCAGGATGGCCAAGGTAGTAAAGGCATCTGTCTGCCACTCTGAGCAATCCAGATTTGAGTCAGATCAGAGATCTCAAGAATTATTTATGAGAAGTTAATCCCAAATATATTAGGTTCCATCCCTCGAGCCTGGCCAAATCCATAAAAAGCATGGAAACAGGCCCTCTTAGTACCATTGAAGCAGAAGGTGTAGTACAGTAAATACAAGGTGTTCAATAAGTCATGCAACCTGTGGGAATAAACATTTTGTTTCTCATTTATGAGCTTTAATTATTTTTTATTTTTAGTAATTGTTACTAAAATTTACATAGGTGAGCCATTAATAAAGCAGATTTTTATTAATTTACAGAATTGAAGTTAAAAAACTACTAATTTCTTAATTATAATGAATATATTTAAAAATACTAATTTAATGACAGCAGTATCATAAGANATATCAATTCAAGGAAGTAGAATAATAAAAAGAAAGTAACTGTTACCCGAAGGGAAATGTGCCATATGGAAAAAATCGATTGCACATTTTCTTCTCGGTTTTCTACTTTTAATAATAACAGAGTAAGCCTTTTTATCGCTATTTTCTTCCCCCGCAAATGTGGAAACGTTACGCTAAAAATAACCCAGAAGTCGTAACTGATTTTTCGTAACGTGGTTACGAAGAGCGTATAAAACATGGCTAAAGAATAACACGCGTATTCGAGGCTTTATATTTAATTTCCTCCCCCACCCCAGTTATAACTTCGTGGGGCCCAGGCGAACTCGAATGAGGGGGCACCAAGTACGTGTGGGTGTATCTGTCTGTGTTTGTGTTGACTTCTGATATTTTTTTCGTGGAATGTTTTCCTATAAAGGATTGATTTGGGGCCTCTTATCAATAGAGGCCCTAGGAAATTGCCCCCTTTTTTTGTCCACAGGATAACGCGTGTTACTTTCTCGCTTTCTTGTGTGCTTTCTGTTTATGTATCTGTTCGGGCCGTAATCTGTGACACGTAACGGGCCATCTCCCTCCACCGATTGATAAAAAATGCGAGGCCCGAAGCTGTAGACTCAACGCGAGGCCCTAAGCTGCAGCTTGTTTAGCTTACGTGCAAATCCGGCTCTGGTTTAAGGTGGTTTAGGGCCTCGTCTTACAGTTTATTCCTCATATTATTGCACTAGATAACGCGTGTAAAGAAATTATTCGGAGGCCTCAAAACAGATTAAAATCGCCCTTTATTTTCTGTTTTTTGGGTGTATTCGCGCGTTTTTAGACACACTTGCCCATTCCTATACATTTCTCAGGGCCAATTGTTATTCATAAAATATTTTCTGCCGGGGGGTTTATGCGTGAATCATGTGACTGACGCTAAGTTACTGGAGTGTAATTTATTTTCCACGTGTTATTTACACGCCTAATGGCGACAGAACAATACAAACAATAAGGTGTGCTAACCCCCCGCATATCAAGTGTTGGTAGCGAACGGAGGGGGGGGGGAACCAGCGAGCAAAGACACTAAATTATTATGCCTATAGAGGGAGTTACGCAACCTATCACGTGACCAGGGCATTATCGCGAAATCGAGCTCTGGTGTTTTCCAGGTGCTGTGTAAGAGGAAGTGCTGTGCCGTGCGCGAGGGGAAACCCGCACTCAGGTAACAAAAAAAAAAAAGGTGAAATATGCCCTCGTGTCCTCCTTTTATCGGAAGATGTTTCGTGTGGCCAACGTCCCTTCGATCAACGTAGAATCGGGGGTGGAGAAAAACAGCCCAGTTCTGTATAGGAGAAAGGTGAGGGCCACCGAAATTGTTTCCTCCGTCGTCACGGTTGTCAGGACTTTCGGGTTGTTTCCTTCGTGTTTAAATGAAGCGGAAAGAACGGAGCGTGAAGTGGAAGACGGGAGGGATGTCAGGTGTCATCGCATCTACCACGTTTTACTTTTCGTCTATTCCCTTTTTACCTGCGGCCTGTGTTTGACGTTTGCCATTTCGGGCCTGTTTTTTATAGTGTTGGGTAAGGTGAGTGCGATCTTTTCCAGTAAATCTCGGTTAAAATACGTTGTAAACGGGTTCCGAAAATCTCGTGCGTTTCCGGTGACGTTTAAACGTTATAAACGGGTAATTCGAAATTCGAAAGTTGCCGAGGTCGCGCGTTACGTTGAAAAGTAAACACGTGAAACTAGTGTCGACGGTTGTATTAATCTAGTGTTAGATGTTTCCGTTTAAAACAAATGTTACGCTAAGGTTAGGTGTGTTGTATCGTTACGCATAACACTGATATATACGCTAAACTCGCATACGCTTGGCGTAACCGAGTCTACACGGTAACTCTAAGGGAAGTTACGCGAAATGTAAGGTAATAGCGTAACAGTATGTATTCTTAGGAGGCATTTATCAGGTTACTTTACCTTATCGTAACGTAACAGATCTATGAACGAGTGTGTCGTAACACGAAATGGTCACACGTAAACAACAGGAAAGTGTATAAACTCCAGGCATTTTAGTGTTACGTAAGCTTTATTGTGCCATTTATTATGCAACTTAGAATATTTTCACGTAACCATTTCTCGAAAATGAAGGGGGAAAAAACCCCCTAAAATATTGTTACTTTCCTAGAAGCGTAACTTGAAAAATTTCTCTTAATTTAAAGGAAGAAATTCTACCTAAACCTGTTAATTGTAATGAACACGCAAGACTCGATTTTTAATTAAATTTTACTTATAAAATTGCAATCGAACCGCCAACCTCTCAATAACGGACACCGACAAACGGCGCCCATTTTTTTTTTAAACCAAGAACGTTCCTTTTCGGAATGCAAACGAAGTAACCTCCTAACAACGGCCGAATTTTTGCGTTCCCTTTCGGGTGTCCGTTGTTGAGAGGTTTTAGTGTATTAATGTCTGGTACAGTTGATCAATACACTCCTATAAAATACCGTAAAGTTTCTCTGTGTGTGTGTGTGTGTGTGTGTGTGTGTAATTTAGAAGGAAACACCAGCGAGTGTAATTCCTACAAATGATATTTCTTGGAAGAATTGACGCGTGTAACGGGCTTTGTTAGAGGTTGCTTTCACTTTTATTACTACATTATCCTTTGTAATAATTACCCTTGGAAACACTGGCCTACATAAAAGGCAATTTTTAATAATAGAGATTAAAATACAGAGAAGAATGTAAGTTTCCCCCCCCCCACTCCTCTTCTGTATAACAATTGTACAGTTCTTGGAAACACGGCAAAAATCAAGCAAGTTACTATGGAATTAATTCGTAATTTTAGAATACATTCGACAGTGGAGAAGAATGTAAATGGAAGGGTGGCCCAAAAGTCGGTTGACCAAATAACTGGACAATTTTTGAGGGTGCCGGGGCGTCGGATAATCGAAGAAACACGTAAAAAAAACTCGCATACATAAAAGAAAACTTCGAGGAAATAACGAAAGGGTCATCGACCTGCATGTAAAGACCAGGGGTCTTTCACTCTTTTCTGCATGCAAAATATCGCTTGATTCTTCTTCTAACGCCAAAGTTATTGATGTATTCCGCATGTAAGATAAATATATATCAATGGAGAACAGATGTCGCCATCAAGTTTCCGTTAACGCGGCTGATAAATCGAATTCTCTTCTGTCATTTCCTGTGTTTTCGTCACAAAAATAACCGGATAATAATTAAAGTTTCACCGCTCGATCGAAAGTCATAAATTAAATAATACAAGATTTTACCATAAAATCACCTCAAAATACCATTTAAAAAGTAAGGCCTTTCGGGTGCAGGGAGAGGACTGACAAAAAAAGGCCCTTTATAAGTGATTTTTCAACACCAGATTGCCATATAATTATTGGAAAAGTTAGAAATAAACTTTGTATAAAGTACGGTCGAACCTCTCAACAACGGCAACCCGTAAATGGCGGCCATATTTCTATAGTCGGGCACTTTATACGGTGTTTTCGACGCTATATTGCGATATAACAATTGAAAAACCTTAAATTACAATCAAACCTGTTAACAACGGCCACCTGTAAATGGCAACTACATTTTCACGAATTTTTATCTTTAAATGCGTATAAAATAATATCCAAACAGCGGCGGCTTTTTAAAAGATGTTTCCAGGAAATGGCCGTTGTTAACAGGTTCGACTTAATTATAATTTCCTTTATTAAAATGTACGAAATTTTTACAGAGTAATCCAGCCGACTACAACTTCACTGTATTCGACATCATACTACTATGGCAAGCGTCCTTTCTGTCCGTGCATTGCCTGTTCATCGGAAACAGGTTGAAAACCTATCTGAAGAGTTTGGACGCCTACTCGATCAGCCAGCGAAACGAGAACCTGAGCAAGGCGGAACTGACGGCCACCGTCATCGCTTTCGCCAATCAGCAGAGTACAAACTTCCGCACCTCTTACGGACGGACGGTCGAACTTGACGACTTGCATCCCCGGACGGATCACATATACAAAACGAGCAAGAAGTGGTGCATGCTATTATCCATCGTGTCCTGTGTTACAGTTTTGTGTGTCATCGTACAAAATATATGGTCCGAAATGGAGGACAAACAATACACCTCGCCCCTCGTTAGTGTCGCTCATTATATCTCTAAGACAGGTTCGTCTGTAACGTGGAAGACATTCCTATCCACCATAGTTAGTTGCCTTTCACTTCTATATAACGTTCTGCCCCACGCTTTATTCGTGGGTTGTGCCATACCCCTTATGGCGTTCATACAGAACTTCAACGACAGAGCCGAGCTCTCGGCTCAGAACACCCTTAACACGGACAAAGTGAGCGAAGTACATTACAAGTTGAGATACTTGATGAGACTACTCGACGACTGCTTTTCCAGTATTATCTTCACCACTATAGCGGGTGAGTGACCTTGCGTGCCTTACGTGATTAAAGGCCATTTTACTATTGTTTATTCTTAATGCCCTAATTAAAAAAAAATCGATGGTTCTGGTGTACGAATTACTCTGGATCCACTTACCATAGTGGACTAGTTTCATCATGATTTACTACCATTTTGTTTTCGTTTTTATTAAATGTAGGTCAACCTGTTTACGGGGCATTTAAAACACAAGATTTCACGTGAAAAATTCCGCTCTAGTCAGGTTATTTTGTGCAGTTGGCTGACAAAAGTTTTTTCCGTTTCCGCGTTAGACAGGTTTCGTTCCTGGATTTATTCTTCGTTTTACAGAGTCCGTTTTACACGGGTTTTACCTTAACAGAAATTGGTTTCTTTTTTATCAGTTCGAAAGGTTTTATATATTTAATTAAACATTGAAAGAAGGGATCTGTCAGATTCTTCACCAGAATGCCAAAAAAGGATCCATGGCGTAAAAACTTGAGCCGTATTCAGGTCGATGTACCATCTCTGTACCAAGATTTCACTTTTTTTAAAAGGTATTTTTATTATTCACTTCACTGTCACGAAAAACAGAGGAAGGTAACGTAAACTTGTTTAAAGAGCATAAATCCACAATGGCCGAGTGGTACCACTTGGATCGCGCCCCACCAACAAGGAGTTTTCAGGATTCCCTTCACATTTATAACACCTAAATAGGGGCCAGTTTTTTCTGTAGAAAGTCCTCCTGGGTTGCACCTCCCTCCTGGAAGATCACCCACGTGTTGTGCATTGCCTTATGGTGGTGTTTTTCGACCATTTTATAATAGTGGCACCCCCCGACTTGATTTAATTTTTTATCGCGGTACCCCTACTTCATCAATGCAATTTTTTTGTAGTTTTTTTTTGTAATACACGCGAGCGTTAAGGCACTGTATTTTAGTGACACCCTAGTGTGTTCATGGCACCCAGGTCGAAGACCCCTGCCTCGTGCCACCAATTCAGTGGGAGAGTACCTGATTTACTTTATCTAAATCGTGTTTTGCTTTCTCTCGGGCAGAAATCCTGTGTCATGCAGCAAGGGTGCCACGTCACTTAAAAGGATGATCCCGTTTCAGAGTATGGCACACGGGTGTGACGTGTCTAAAATGCAGATAAACCCGCATAACAGATTTATATCTATTTTTTACTTTCACTTTTTAACTTCGTCTCATTTGAATCCCTCGCTATAAATCTGTATTATCAACCCGCATTGAAAGTAATAATACGGGTTACACGCAAACCTCGTTCTTGCGTGTAACTTATGACTTGGCAACCGGGTGATTTAAAATAAACGTAAATGATGTAATTTCGACGTCATAGTATGTATTTCCTTCCCTCTTTTCTTACAGGGGACTTCTGCCAGGTCGTCTTCGGCACATTTTTGGAATTGATGGATTGTTCCGTGGAAGGTATGGATGCGAAGTGCAGTCGATACTTTGCAAGGCACATTATGCTAATACTGCGCTTATGTTTGACAGTAGGGATGTGTGTATCCCTACAGGAGAAGGTGTGCAGCCGATTTTCTTAGAATTTTCCCCCAAACAATGCATTCGTTAACACGTAACTTAATCATTTCAGATCCAGGGCCTGCTACCGACTATGGAGGAATATTCTTCTAAATCGTTACTCAATACCGAAAAATTAAAGGTAAATACAGTTAAATCTATATCAAACGGTGTTTTTCTCCCCCCTTTAAAAAAAAAAAAAAAAATCGGATCGTTCGTAAAATGGGCGAGGGCGATCTAAATCTCAAAAATATTCTAAACAGGCGGAGTAGTAAGGCACGCGAATTACAATTCATACCTTAAAGATAAAAACCAGGTTTATGTGTATAATTAATAATTTCAGGAAAATTGAAACTTATAATACAGGATTTCCAGTTTTTAATTACGTGAATATCGTACTTAAAATGTCACGTACGGGCCTGTAATTTTCATATTTTACGGTCGTTGTGTCCTTCGGCGAAGGGGGTGTTCTTTATTGATGTTGCTACAACAATATATCATTAATTACTGTATTCTACAGAAAGATATTTGCCGTGTGATCCTCTGTTTTGGTTGCTTAATCCATTTGTTTTTTTCCAAGATGACGTAAATTTACATCTACCCTTTGTCACGTTGGTATTGATGAATGGCGATTTGTCACGCTATCGAATTTTTTTCCTAGTTTCCTACGTTATTTAATAATTATCCTTTTCTTAAATAACTTAATTGACATAGACATAACACACGGATGATTACCTTATGCAGGTTTCACCTGTTATCAATACAATAACCTTTTATATAACGTTGCAGTACGTTGTATAAAGGTTATAATTGATTTCCTCCTCTTATATTATAATGTACAATTTTATGCAGTGTTTATATATATATGTAATTCCCAATAGAATACGTAAATACAGAGCATTGTGTGTTACAATGGCGGGGGTTTATAAATACAGTACACAAGTATCAAAATTCATTAAAGACGTGTTTCGTGACGTAGCACACGTGAATGTGACAAGAAAATTAATTTCCATCTTCCGATAAGAGTTGAGGCTTTTTAAATATTCAATAATTCTCTCTTTTTATTTCGTGGTGGGAATTACAATGTTATAGAATGCAGAACAAAATGGCGGTCGTGTAATACACTGTGTCATTTTTTTTTATGGTTTTTTTTTTCTTTAATGAAATTTTCAGAAGGAAGAATATGATTTGTTGTATTAAAAAAAGTACAGTATTAATTAAAAATTCATGAGAAGTTTCTGTTTAAAAATGGCAACTAACTAGATTATAAATTGTAGGTTATCTAGCGATTCGACTCTGGCAGCCATTTTTGAATTTAGAAAATAAATTCTTTTGACCCATTAACGGTATACTCGGAAGAAAAATTTAAATATTTTATTTTGAACTGATTATTTTTATTATTTATAGTAAACGGTTATGTAAGAATTTGCCCGAATGTGACCATACTAGCATGCCCCTTTACACAGAAACACCATAAATAAATTGACTTTCAGAGGTGCAGCGGGGCATACACGTATACATTTTTGATTAAAGGGAAGCATAAGCCTTCAGGAAAAAAAAACGCCCATAAAAATGGTTGCTGTTTATATTACTTGTGATATTGATTGTATAACATTAAAGTCAACCAATGGGCATGATCCGTTTCGTACGAAACCGGCAAGCAAACCAATGGCGTAGTGTTTCGTGCGAAACGGATTATGCCATTGGTTGGCTCGCTTAAACACTTGCTACTTGAGTACCCCATAATTAAATTTTTAATAATTGGGTTCTTTTTCTATATTTTTCAGCTTTTAACATTGATCCAGTCGCTGCCTTCCTGTGGAATTAGCGCTTCTTCGTTTTTTCTTATAACGCGCGGTTTTGCCGTAAAGGTAATGGTTTTTTTCCCTTTTCCCCTTAGGTTTTTAAGATTTAACAATTATTTTAACAATTAAAAAATAAACACTCAGATGGCGGCCGCTTGTTTGGCTTACGGAGTTTTGATATGGAAACTGTCCCAGCGTTAATTTGGGGTACGGAGGAAGATGGAGTTGTGTAATAAAGAACAAATGTGATAAATAAAACTTTTTAACACGAAATTAAAAGTATTTTGTATGTTAAAAATTAGTTACGAAGCTATACAGGCCGCCCCAAATGTCGGTTAACCGAGATGCATTATTTTTTTTTAAAGCTAAATTCTATGTCGGAATAGCATACACGCAGCTGTTTTTAACCGTTGTCGGAGAAAAATGCCGCGGTTAACCGACTTTTGCGACACTGAATAACATTCTGAAAAAACAAATGCGTTTACAATTACGGTTACAATATCGAAGGAGGGGTTTTATTACATCAAAACCGGTATTTCGGTGAATCTCTCAAGACTGGAGTACCGGTATTGAAACCTGTATTTGGATCCATAGTGCGGGGATTGGGTTGTTGGGTAATTTATCAAGGAGGGTGCCTTGATTTTACTTGTAAACAAGTAAAATCATCATTAGCATTCATAATGTTCTATAAAACCCACCCCTACCCTCAAAATTAAGATTTTTGCTATTTTGTAATAGTTATGATGATATAGTTTTTTAAATAAAATAACAGATGGCGCCACCTAATGTTACCTGGAAAGTTAAACAACTCGTTGCTGGATTTTTATATTAGCAAGCAAAATACTGAAAGACCAGTATCAGTATAGCACTGCCGGTATTTCAATTTTGGGAATTCGAGCTGAAAACCAGTGTAATAACCGATATTGCAATCCGTAGTCATACACCATGATGTCATTTTATAGTGTTATTCATGGTGAAATATTACACATAATCTTCATGTCATAGCCCGTACTCTGACAGCCAGATATGACACGAAGATTAGGTGTAGTCTGCAATAACGTACTGTACCGTACCGTCGATTGCATCCCATGACAGCTGTGAAACCTCCACAGTTGACACCTCCAATTTTGTTAAAATTCCACAGTAAGATAGATTAGGGCTTTGAACTAAGATATGCTTCATATTAAATATGAACATTGTGGTTTCCAAGCAGTGGAGAAGAGTGGAGGTTGCTTCACTCTTTTCCATGTGTGACACACAGATTATCAGCACAAAACCTTTCTCACTAATTTCTAGCCTTATTAACAAGAGTACAAACGTTTTCGGCCTTTTTAATAGGCTTTCCTTGTACCCGAGGAAGGCTTATTAAGAAGGCCGAAAACGTTTGTACTCTTGTTAATAAGGCTAGAAATTAGTGAGAAAGGTTTTGTGCTGATAATCTTAGAAATAGTTCTAGCTACATATGCATAGTAGTGACACACAGGATGACAAATATGCCTATCTTGTATTACTTTATTACCACATGAATAATTAATAGGTAAAGTCTTGATCTTTCTGATTTGCAGAGATATGCTGAAGTAAACATGTCCCCCTAGGCTGATCTGTACCAATTTTGAAGAGAAAATATCTCTAAATGGTTTGGAGTTTTTCTTTTTGGAACCATAACAAAGAGCATCTTTTCCTCTATCAGAATTTTGTTTCCAATCTTTGTCCTAGCCTCCCAAGGAAAAAGGATCACTTCAAAACTGTGACATTTGGTATATCAAATCATTACATTTTGCTAAATATTAGCATCATAGTGAACAAAACATTATAAATCAATACTAAGATATTTCTTGCACTGATCCATGGTAGCAAGAGGTGCATACAGACTATACAAAAGGGCAACACACATTGAATCATAGTTTGTGTAAAATTGGATCAGCATTCCTACAAGGTAACACTGGTTGCAACCAGGGCTAACTTAACTTGGCCTTGAAAGCAAGGAACATTCCTTGCTTTCAAGGCCAAGTTAGAATTTTCTGGTGTTTGTTGATAATGGAATTTGGGGCCCCCTTTTGGATTAGGTAAAGGACAACACAGACTGTCCCAAGTGCCCCAATGTATGGATGCCCCTAATAATGGCACCAATTTGGCAAATTTACAACCTTATTCGAAGGGGCTATCCTCAGCAACTTGTGATCTTATCTTTAATTAGTAGGTATTCAGATGTAGTTTTTCAAACTCTGCTATGAAATGCTCGAATGAAGAACAAACTTAAATTTACCCTTAACTGAGTAATGTGCTGATGGCATGTGACACTCAATTTCTGATTTATTTCCAATTTAAATTGTGCATAGCCTTTTCCCCATTATTAAACCCAAGAAACAAAAAAATGCACTAAAAACGTACAATGTCAAAAGAGGCTGATTCTTACATAACACAAATAGAAAACCAGAAAAACAAACTAAAGAAAAGCACACACAGTAAATACTACTTGAAGTCATCATTCTTCCATTTGGGAGGCTGAGACAAATATTGGAAACAAGACTTCTTACAGAAGAAAATATGCTCTTTTTAATGGTCCCTAAAAATAATGAGATGACCCATTCGGAAAGATTTGCCCTTCAAAAACAGTACAAGTCAGCTTTGGGATAGGTTCACTTAAGCATATCTCAAATGAAAAAAAAACAACCCTTCTTACCTTATATTTCTAAAGCCTACCTATCTGGGGTTGGTTTACCTGTTAATTATTCACATAACAGATTAACCAATGCAGGAAAGGCTTTAGAAGTAGTTGTAAGTTGTTAAAGTAACATGCCAGTTTTACATGACTGAAGACAATTTTTTGCTGTATATGCAGCTGTGATAACCTAGCATAACTTTTCCTTCACCAAATTTGAAAATGCACGCTAGGACAAATTTGATCATTTGTGTAACGTGCACGTGATTTGGAAATCATTCCACTCTTCTCTGAGGGCTGAGAATCGCAGAACAATATTTAATAGCATGAACAGAGATCTGCAAAATATCATACTGTGTGAGTTTAAACAAAATTGGAGGGAGTCAAACATGGAGGTTTGCACAGTTGACATGAAATGACCCATTGGATCTTTAAAAACACATGAAGTAAACCCATAGACATTGAGTTTTAAAATCACATACAAACCAAAGCAATGATAACACATCTTCAGTTACTCCAACACAGTATTTTAATGTAACAAAACTGTTTTTGATCGATTTATGGATCTTTCTCAGTTGCTGAATACACAGATTCAAAATGATTTAAAAATAAGAACATGTATTTATTTTGTTTACTAACAAAAAATTCAAACAACAATCCCAACAAAAAACCTTTGACAGCTTGTTATTTTAATATTTAGTTATTTCACCTTTGGCTTGTATAACAGCGTATGTATGATCATTGTATTAACAAGAACCTGGCAGTCATCAGGAGTGATTTTTAGTCCAAATTTGCTTGTTTTGCTTTAAACCATCCACATNTTGTTCTGAAAATTCACAATTAATTTTTTTAGTATTTTTCGTGTTCTGACAATTTTTTTAATTTGGTTAATTAATGATCCAAAGCAAAATAATTTAACAGATGGTGCCTAACATCTACCTCTAATACCAAATTTCTTAATATCTAATCATTATTAATAGCAAATTTATAGCCCGATTACTGCGATTGTTCAGTTGAATATCAAGGTATCATGCTTTGAAAAGTTTCATTTGATAAATATAATAATTTAAACTTCTCTCGGTACATTTAAATAAGTTTGTAGAAATGTAGCAAGAGAGAATTTTCAATAGAATAACTAGTAATGAAAATTGCAAGTGCAACTCTAAAATTGATTCTTCTCTTCTTCCTAATCCACTTTTATAGCTGTTTGAGCACTCAATCAAGCTGTTAGGTCAAGATGCAGTGATAGCTACATTAGATTTTCAAATTTTTGCAAAATTTGAAATGATAATAACTTTATTCTGAAACTATTTACTAATTGTTTTAATACCCAGGTAACTTGGAAAAAACACAACAAATGTGCTTTAAACATCTTTTTCACACAGATTTCAATAAATTCTGATCATTATTAATCCATTTGCACCAATTATGATCAGAACTGGAGTAAATCTTGACACATCTTTTCCTCCTTCAACATTATTAGTCTTTTTCCTGATTTAGCTGTGTTTTATGAGCAGATGTCCTCCCTGTCAGCAACTCTTTCTTTTAATCTTAATGTGGGACTGGCCAGAGTCACCAAGTTCTGGGGATTTACACAATAGCACAGATAGCACTCCATTCAGAGAAGACATGATTGTTATATGTTCCTCACCACTTAACTTCAGTGATATGACGAGAACTGTTGTGTTCAGAGAAGACTTACCTATCACTGTGTGTTTAAGGATATACAGGTGAACACCCCCCACTTATGACAAAACCTTTGTAAACAAATGTACTTTCTAGGTTAGATTCCAGAATAACTACATTTTGGTAGTGTTTGATCCTTCAATGTACAGTACTTAATAGAATACTCGCATTTACTCGCTCGCTACCGCGTTGTGAAGGTGAGAAACACATTGGTATTTGCCTTGTCTCATTTGTAATCGAATTGCATTTATTAATTGAAATAAGGGAACAGATAGCAGTCTGCCTTTTATAGAGAACTAGAATGTATTTACATTAATTCCCTGCAACAATTAGTTTTAAGCTGAATTGTGTAATAATTAAGACTATTAATACTTACAAACTAGACAGAGAATGAAGAATGATTAGATAGTATACCAGTAGCTTAGATTGGAGTCCTGATAACGAGGTAATATGGATGATTATCTCAGTATGGATGGTAGATGTTCAATCTGGTTGCATTGGAGTAATGGCTCGAAGTCACTATGCACACGTGGTCCACACTATCTGTGCCTTCCTATCTCTCTAGGCCTGAGTCTTGGCCACTTTTCACTCAGTCTCCCTCACTAGACCTCTTCTCTTGTCAGTGGCAACCCAAAAAGTGATTCTCCTTCACTCCCATTTTCCCAGGTCCCCCTTGGACAGGACCTTTTCTTTTTGTATATTGGCCAATCAGGACTCACGAACAGTAAGGCTCCTGTCATGTGACAGGAAAGGGTTGAAGACAGAAGGAAGAAGAATTACAGAAAAGAAAAAAGGAGTTTCTATTCTATACACAACTATGTTTTTGTATTTCGCAGACAACCACAGCTTAATAGCAGGTTTTTACACCTAATGCACTTAGTAATAGAACCACACTTCTTGCATCTGTGGAAACTAAACCAGGAATTATAAAACTATCCAATGTTAAATTTATGATTAGTGCCCAAAAATGCACTAAAATGTAATAATAAAAGTTTAAAAAATTGTAAACAATAGCAAAAAAACACCATTACTCCAAACCACTTCATGAGCAGTAATGGAATGTCAGAATTCATGTAAAAATGAAATATTCTGATACGCAATAGAAATAAATTTTTAATAAATAAATAATGTGGATTTATTTGTTACTGGCTAAAGACCAACTTCAACACCACCCCACGACCAGCAAGAGAATTTCAGAATCTGCATAAAATTTAAATTTTAGACATGAACTTTCAGATTTACAATCAATTTGACCATAAGTTGAGCTCCTGTAATAGTAGAGAATAGGTCATCATTGCTAAATCTAATTTTTGATAGCACTCAAATCCCTCTTTCCTCAATTAGTAAAATAATTAGAATCAGAATGTTATAAAGTATCAATGTTATAGAATTAACTGCCATATGGATTGTATAGACCATTTTAATTACCTTCTTCGCATTTTGCACCCATCCAGCCAGGAGAACAATGACACATTCCGTCAAAATGTCGACAAGATGCATTATTGTTACAAGAGCACCTGTATTGGCATTGTAAACCGTAGGTTCCATTTGGACATGCTGCAAAAACACAAAAATAAAATATTAAATCTATCAAATATTATCTGGTGTGTTTTCTAACAAATCTGTCTCTTATCTAGCAATTTATACTTACGAACTGAGCAGTCGTCATAAATCCACCCAGGCTGACATGTACAAGAACCAGTTACGTGATCGCATTCTGCCGAATTTTTACAATTACACTCATTCAAACAATCTTGTCCCCATTTGTCATTTGGACATCCTATGATAAAGGATTTAAATTAATCCTCAAACATCAGTAATAGTTATGTAAAAATATTAAAGTATCACTTACTTTCATTACAATTCCAACCAATGTAGCCAGGGAGACAGAATAGTGCTCCGGTAACCGGATCGCAACTTCCGTTGCCATTAGGATATTGAGGACATCTTACGGAACAGTTTATGCCATAATAACCATCTTGACATCCTAAAAATTTTCATAAAATTAAACTTTAATTAAAAAATCTGGCAGATTGATTGTTCTGAAAATTCACAATTAATTTTTTTAGTATTTTTCGTGTTCTGACAATTTTTTTTATTTGGTTAATTAATGATCCAAAGCAAAATATTAGATTATTAATTTAGATAACAGATGATGCCTAAATTAATAATCTAAATTAATAATTATAATTCTGAAATACTCAGCTAACAGATGGTGCCTAACATCTACCTCTAATACCAAATTTCTTAATATCTAATCATTATTAATAGCAAATTTATAGCCCCAATTAATTACAGCGATAGTTTTGTAATTACAATAATACAATATGTTACTGAAACGGAAGTAAGCTGTTACTTCAGTCTATAAGACTTATATACATGTTGGCTGAAGAGGGGCTTAAGAGCCCGAAACGTGTAAAATGTTCACACGTATCAACTAAACAAAGATGAGAAAACCCGCCAAGTGTCTTAATTTATAGCACTTTATTGTGTTAGAAGAATAAATACCTGATTTATCAAATGAATCAAAGAACCTTGAATTATATTTATGATGATGTTATTTCATTTCTGATGTACGATTTTGATCCATTATGATAGCATCACCACTATAAAAGGAGATATTAAATCCATAAAAGAATCTAAGTTAGATATATCCAATCCGATTGAACCTCATGCTGATATGTAATCTTTATTAATATTAAGATCATCATTTTTAATCAAAATGCTAGGAAATAAAATTATTCATTATACTATCTATAAATTGCACAGATAGTGAGTCAAAGTATTAATTGAATATCAAAAGCATGTAATTCTTGGCTAATTCATTCCATCTTACAAATATTAAAATAAATATCCATTATTTTAATTAAATTCAAATTACTTAAATTTTTCAGTATGTCCATATGGTTTCTATGGTGTAAATTGTGTTAATCAATGTGATTGTGGTAATGGAAGCTTTGTTTGCAATCCTGTTGTGGGTTGTATCTGCAGAAGAGGGTATTCAGGAGAAAACTGTGATATTGGTAAGATGTATTGAAATATATTTTTATTAATTTTTAATATATTTAGTATATGGATATGCACACTTAACAACAGGGATCTGTTAAGTAATTAGCATAGTGCACTTAAATAAACCTTATGTGGTGTAGTCTACTACTAATATAGTAGGATGCTGTAAGTTTGTGTATTGTGTTGCATGTTGTTACAGCAGCTATAAATTTGGCTTCATTTTAATCTTATGATACTGCTGTCATTAAATTAGTATTTTTAAATATATTCATTATAATTAAGAAATTAGTAGTTTTTTAACTTCAATTCTGTAAATTAATAAAAATCTGCTTTATTAATGGCTCACCTATGTAAATTTTAGTAACAATTACTAAAAATAAAAAATAATTAAAGCTCATAAATGAGAAACAAAATGTTTATTCCCACAGGTTGCATGACTTATTGAACACCTTGTATTTACTGTACTACACCTTCTGCTTCAATGGTACTAAGAGGGCCTGTTTCCATGCTTTTTATGGATTTGGCCAGGCTCGAGGGATGGAACCTAATATATTTGGGATTAACTTCTCATAAATAATTCTTGAGATCTCTGATCTGACTCAAATCTGGATTGCTCAGAGTGGCAGACAGATGCCTTTACTACCTTGGCCATCCTGCTAATCACAAATCCTGCTAAAGTTAGATATAGGAATACCAGATTTACTCTTAATATGAGACTAATATTTAAAAATTCTCCTGATTATTTTGTTGAGACAGGCAAGTTGCTGTGAGGATAATGCCTCATTTGCTCCCACTGGATCAGTCTTTCTGACGGCGAGTGGGTTTGGAAGCTGGAATTCAATAATTAATTCTTTAAAGAGTGTTGGAAAATTCTATCCTCTTCCTCATTCAGTAGTACAGTAAATTACCTGATATGAGCTTGATTAAGTAATAATTATGATAGTGGGAGTATATCCCTTTGCCTCCTTAAAAAAGTTGAAGCTGGCACTTGTGGACCTCCTCACATTGGAAATCACATTAAGAATATTCTGTATCATTGTATACTTAACAAAAAGTTTTTGCTGCTCCAATTTTCCACTTACTTTATTATTAGTTTTTAAACTAAATATAATGAAAACATTTAAGAATTTTAATTACTTTTTATACTTAATTTTCATTTCAGCTGAAACTTATTCAGAAACGCAAGCCGTGATACAAACTCATACTTCAAATACAAACATTGGATTTATTATTGGAATTTGCATCACTGTTCTGTTATTAATTATCATAATTGTTATAGTTCTGTACTATAAAAGAAAAGTCAGGAAATTGAAAAAAGATTTGTCGTATGCGGCGTAAGTTTCAAAATTTCAATATAAAACAAACTTAAATTTCCTGTTACAATCTCAAGTATCGAAATGTTTTTATTTTCAGTTATAGCGTCGAGCCTCCAATAGATAGTAAGTATTTAAAATTAGTTTAATAACTACAACTTGCTAACTCTCTAATTAAAATTGATTATTCACTAATAGACAATAGCCACTTTGATAACCCTTTGTATGGAAATCAAGAATATAATGTGCCAAATAACATTGTCGAAACGGGGGAGAATAAAACTTCCGAAAAGAAGACAAACAACATCGAGAAAGCAAAATGTTACGAGGAAGAGCGGCGTGAATCGACTACAAGTATGTATCTTTTTAAACTGTTGTTTTGATAAAAAAAAAGTTATTTAAGACATTTGTAAATGATTAAATTTAGGAAATAAGTTAAAATACATAATAAAATTTAGAGAATGAAAGTGAATAAGTTACAATATAAAAACATGGAGCAGATAAGACAAGACAATTCTTTGATCTACTATTTGATTTACTATTTACTATTGTAATAGATTGATCTATTATTTTGAGAAGAAAGGTGTCAAAGCCTTAAATCTTCAGACATTAGATATATCTGCAGGATTTCAGGTCTGATAAGGCCTACTCTTCTTGGGTATCTTGCCTCCTGTAGCAACATAGATGTTTATTAGATATACCAAATGAACTACACTCCCCTGTAAAAAATAAAATGAAAGTATAAAATTTGAAATAAATTGCTGTGGTAGTTTATAATTTGTTTGATATTCGGTGACATAGTTTCAAACGTAGAGTTCTATTCTTTCTTTTTAAGCACAATATAGGCATAGAGTGACGTTCAAAAAAAGTAACAAAATAACAGGCCATGCTTGCGAATGAGCTGTGTTTATCAATAAAGAATATGACGTTACACTAATGCAGACTGCACAACAATGATTACTGCCTTCCTACCTCATTGATCATCTGATAGTGAAATATTGTAATGATCAAATACAAACCTTGGAAAATTTTGTGTATAAACCTATGCAGAGTACTGATAATCCAAACATATCAAAATGTTCCAAATGCTAATTTCAGATATATTAATAGTTTGATATAATTCATGGATCATTTTAACTCTTTACACACTATGGACACTAAGAGGTTTTTTTTTTCTGTTGTCAATCATTGAGAAATGGGCTCGACGTATCCAAGACAAAAAAATTCCACTGTTGCTTGCCCAGATTAGGGTGTCAGCCTACTATTCTGGTGGACCCAGGACCTAACTGCCTTGACCATTCAGCTAATTAATTTTTTTGTTAAATAGCTAAAACTTAATATATATAAACAACAACCAACCTGATATGTTAAAAATCTAGCAGATTATTTGAAAATTCTATCAAGCTAAATTATGGCTAGTTTTAATGATTGGAAACAAAGCAATTTAGCTTAGAGGTAGGCAGTTAAGCCATCATCTTTTACAAAAATTACTAAATTTAATATTCTGGAAGAAAAGATTAACTCTGAGCAGGACTCTAACCCACAACTGCTGCTTGCCATGCAGTTGCATTGCCAGTTATACTACCTAGAACTCCATCTTATCTTTGCTTCCAGAGCTACTAATTAACCATTATGGTTATATCTAAATTAATCACTTGAAAAAAGAAATTAAGTACACTTAACTGAAAGATTTAAAATAGTTCTACAATTTTTAATACATTAATGCTTTAGTTTTATTATAATATAAAAGAATAGTCACATGCTGGTGTTGAGACCATAACTGCTAACTAAAAACATATCTAAAAGACTGCTTTATTTTAATATCTCAATAAAACAGTATGTCTTAGAGCTTTCAAGTTTTCTTTTCAAAAATCTGAAGATTTTAAGTGTTAGTGTGCATAATCAAAACAAAAAGTGACATGTTTTTGAAATTTTTTAACAGTTTAAGTAGGTTAAAAACTTCACCATAATAACTTTTCATAAAGCAGCAATATGTTAATATCATCTGTATTGAGACTTTCAAAGCAGCAGCTGTTAATCTTAATGAATTAACAATACATAAAGAAAAAACATTAAAAATTCAGCATTTTTTAATAATGTTCCTTGATATTGGGATTAAGGAACATTAATATAGTGCTCAAATATTATTTAAATTTAAAACAATATTTGAGCATTATATTATAAGGAAAGATGCCATAAGTTTTTTAAAGAAAAAGTCAAATGTTCTCTCACCTATTGAAATATTGTCCCATTTGTAGTATGTACTTTTCAACCACCAAGGCTCCGATTCCTTGATTTAGCATCATGATTAATGTCTCGACAGATTGAATATGTATACTATTACATCTGGTCCACGCTTCTATATTGTAACTTGTTGACGGCCAGATGCCCAAGGCATTGGCCTACTTGTTGACTGCTCTGGAGGCCAACTACTGGGATATTTTGGTGTCTGTTCATCCCCCANGAAACTGATTATTTGAGTTCTGAGTATAACTAAGGTTCCAGTTTATCCAAGATAAAGCAGCAAGTGTAACATACTACGGTACTTTACTATGATTCATAAAACCATTGCTGTAAATGTACCAAGCACATAAATGCATAGTACTGTACTTTAAACCTCAACTGTACTGCACAAGAGATTGACGAGATAGTGACTGTTGGAATCTGGGCCTAAGCCACTCACCTAGTCCCAACTGCACACATCCTGTATGTTCAGCTATTGTCAGTGTGTTGCTACATCTTTAATTAATAAAACTTACAAGACTTCATTTTGAATATCACAAAGAGACGGAAAAGGAAGTGTGTTGTGGTATCCTTTTAATCCGAAATGGCTGTGGCCGTCTGTTTTATCCAAGCTTTCATTTATCCGAGGGTAGCGTCAGTCCTTATTAGCTCGGATAATCAGGGTTCTACTGTAAATCATTTGAGTATTTTAGGATAGTTCTGAAGGTTAAGATTACATTGAAACTAAACCTGAACTCCAAATATACATAAATCTAAATCCAGGAATAAGTAATAACTATATTAACCTCACAATTTAGGTCTGTAACTTCTATTTTTGGAAATCCAGAAGTGAATAATTTAAAGATTTACACTTAAATCTTTGAATTTTATTTTTATGTTGGAAAATCTAGAAAAATAGTCAGAGCTACAGAGAGCACTGGAGAAAGTACAAAGGGAGAAGAAACGCAGACCAGACTCCCTTCATAATGAAAAAGTTAATAAATTATTTTTCCTATTTCTAGCATTTTTAACTGTGGAATTAACTACAGAGTTAATAGTTTATACATTTTTAATAATCAAATATGAAAGTATTAAAATTTGTAGCGATTTATATTACATTTTACATTGAGAATCCCCTTTATGTTGGATCTAGTTATGCTACTGGTTGAACATAATCACAGATCTTAGGGATAAGACCTTGTGAGTCATCTATACCTTCTGATGGGATGCCCTTGGATTATTACATTTCTGTTTTTCTCTCTTAAACTTATCTAATCTCATGCACATAATTTTCTACGCTTAATTAAAATTCCAGCTTGGTCCTCAGGGATATAGCATCAGCTTCTCCAGCCCTGATTACTGATCTAAATTGTAAAAATTGACACAGTCTTTGTTTATTTCTGAATTTGCTGTTACTCCTCAACAAATCAAAAAAATATATTAATAATGTATGCCATTTGATTAAATCTATTATCATTATAAATCAAAAAAATAAACTTTATAAAGTACATTACATACACATACATTATATTATTATTAAAACTTAAAATATTTCTGTCTTTGAAGGAGTGTATATTTTATAAAAACTTAAAATATAATGCTAAATTTTTACCATTTACTGCTTTAAGAAATTTCCCAAAGTATAAAAGTACAGAAAAATATAGGTCCAGAGTTAATTTTCAGGCTAGATGACAGATTTGACCAAAGTTTTCCAAAGCATATTGACAGATATGACAAATATCAGTTTGTCATATCTATCAATATGCTTTGGAAAACTTTTTAAAGTCCCAATAATATAAAATAAATACAAATAAAATATTGAAGAATGCAGCAATTGATTATTCTACTAAACTTTTGACATTATCTATATATACATAAAAGAAAATTAACATAGATAAATAAATGAATAACTGTATATTCCTATCCAGAAATATATTTCAATTGAAATGCTTATATAAGTTAACAAAATAATGTCCAATTTTATATTCATAGAGATGTAAACAAGCAGAGAGAGAGAGAGGAAAACTTCTCCCAGATGTTTAATGAGAAAGTGCTATGAACTTATTAAACAGTAAATAATAATCATAAATTGTCAATAAAAAATTTAATGTTACGACACAGAACACCATTCATATACTTTTTACTATACAGAACATTAGCATCAATATATTCAAAAATCAATGAGCAATTCTATGTTTACTATTCTCACAAAACAATAAAGCAATAAACTAATAAACTTTCTAGTATTGAATAAAATAGTTAAAGTAATGTGTTGTAGTACATTGGTATAATTTGAAATAAAAATTTTAAAATTTTGAGCACCCCCATGCAAGTTTTCATAACACCTGTGGTCCAATGACAAACATCAGTGTTTAGAAAACTGTTTAGCAGACTAACTTCAAGAAAAATAAAAATATATTTGGAGGATAATGCTAATCTCAGTTCAAAGATTCAAAATTTGCATACTAGAATTCCAAAAGCACTTTCTGAAATATTACAGAGATACCCCAAACTTACGTGATAAGTGGGACCAAGCAATAACCGCGTAAGTCGGGGTATAATTTCGCAATTTGTGTAAAATCCAAGTCGGATGTATGTAAGCTAATAAACGTTCTCGTTAATCTTATCTCGTCTTTTGATTCGTTCATGGTTACAAGAAATCACCACATAAAGTCTCTCGAGTCTCCGTAGATATCACAAACACAGAAATAACACAAAATAAATTGTAGATATGTGTCGATTCCGCGCAACACGTCCGAACATGTAAGCTGAACAATAATGTGAGGGGAGTGAGTAATCAAGAGTTGCATGGCGCTCAAACAAAAGAGGAATCGACGAGATTTGAAAATCACGTAACTCCGGGTTCGCGTAAGTCGAGGTATTACTGTATTTGCCTGGCTTGGCCTGTATTTAAAATACTTTCTTCTCTCTGTACAGTTTTCTGGGGTCTTGTCAAATACTATATGTACTGTACACACGAAAAGCCTTTGTCTCCAACAATGACAGATAGTAGACTTTCTTTAGTTTTGGGTAATTGCTACTCTGGTAGAACACTTATTGTTTTCTTGCCTGTTGCCTAAATTATTAACATTATTTTCAAAAATTTTATCTGAATTTTTACCAGCACACTAATATCTATTGCATGAACTTCTTATCATCCACTAGTGCAGGTAACTCTGTGCTAAGTTTTCATATAACAAAATAGCTGGGACTGATCATTTGCAAGTACTACAGTCAAGATGTTGTTGCCTTCAGTAGTATAGACTACATTTTGAAAATCTCATCATCTGAATATTTTTTGTTCTAAGTTGATCCTCATAGTTTTAATTGGCTCTGGCATATATAAAGATGGAATATTTTCCCACAAAATTTAATATACGTAATATATGATTTCTCATACTCTATTCTTCTAACCAATAACTGAAAGCTAATATGTAATAGGCATGTCAATATAATTTTCTGGTGTAACTGCTGTGAAATTGATTTACGACATATCGGTGAATCCTCTCCTTGTCTTTAGTTGATCTGTGTGTTGAGGAGTAGGACCAGATGTTTTGGAAGCAATTTTAGTTTGGAGTTCTTGAAAAATTTATATATATAAAACTCCAGACTAAAATTGTATAATTACACACTATAGACAAATATAGAATGTATCTTGATAGTACTGCATGTTGTTTGTTGGGTACTTTCAACAATGCTTAGGAGGACTGACTATTCATAAAGCATTTTATGTTGTGTACAAAAACATCTTCAAAAAATTTAGGAATGTGAAACTTCAGTAAAGTATAATGTATACATTCCAAGAATGTTGCATGAAATGCATTGCATATTTTTTTTATAGCAGTAGTTTTCTGATATTGTTGGAAGTGTCTGCATATAACTATCACAAAACCAAAGGCAGTCAGAGTGCAAGTAATACAAAACCAATAAAGTACTAAAAGGAATTGTCTTTTCTCACTCCTTATGGACCTAATTCCCAAACAGAAGACTTGGAATGAAAAACAGATTGCGCAGGTGATGTACCCTATCCCACTGATGATGTTTCTGAACTATCCGAATCCAACAAGTGGACAGCAAAAGAGAAAAGCTACAGCAATAGAAGACAGCACCAGCAAGGTGTCAATTCTAAAAGCCTATTTGAAAAAAAAAAAAAAAAGTGAAAATCAACTATTCGAGATCACCTTACTAACTTCTTTTTGATAATGGCTTAAACTATGCAGTTTCCCAACACAGGACCAAGTGGCAATAAAAGCAAAAGCATTTCAAATAGTAAATGAGGTGGAGATAGGGATTGTTTCCAAAAAATCCGGTCCCACTCCTCAATACATAGATCAACCAAAGACAAGGAGAGGATTCACCGTTACATCGTAAATCAATCCCACGGCAGTTACATCGAAAAATTATATTGATATGCCAATTACATCTTCTGAAGAATTTTCTTCACATGATTTAATTACCTTTGAGTATATACAAATGTAAACCTTAATTTGAAATATTAATAAATAGATTTTTAAAGTTACATATTTTAGTCAAACCGTCAGTCTCTGCTCTGCTTTTATTGCTGAACTCAATTTTGTATATTTCCTGGATAAGTCAGCCTTCAATACATTAAACAGAGATGTGAATTGTTCATGTGTCATCTGAAAATGTTAGAAAAATTTTGCATCTTTCAGCAAATCAGAAAAAAACGCATGAAATTCAATACAGGAGAATCTCATGAGTATTGTGTATTCACATTATTCTTCACTTCTTCCTCTTTTTCCTTTCATCCTCTTATAATAATAACAGCTCACTATCTCTAATTCTTTGTCACTGTTACTCATATTGAAAGAAGCCTCGTCTAAATACTTTCACTCTTTCTTTTGCTCGGCATTCCACTTGATCCGCCACCAAAATTTAGCCAAGTGCATGCATCAAATTCCATCTCAAGTGTATGATTATCTTTCATTGACACTCAGCTAACCTCAAATGCAATTTTGTGAATTTTTTTTTTTTTATAATGATTGTCGCTGCCAATTTGAAGACAAAAAATTAGTTTTTCAATGTTTTTCTGTTGTAAAATGCCTATTGCACTTTACAAATCTGTTGGAGCATTATGTGTGTGAAATAAAAATTTGGATAGAATGTCAGAAATATAAACTATAAGAAAGAAGTGATGAAAATTAGAGAGTAAATAAGTCTTTGCAAAATCTGTTGTAAATGTTAAAAGCTACAGGATATTTGAAATTTTAATTTCCTGTATATTGTGCAAATATGAAAGATTCTCAGGAAATAGTTATTTATATAGCAGGAAGTAGATTTGAATTTGAAGGCTTCGGGTAAATATAAGCAATTTGATTTTTTTTAAAAATAACATCAAGTTATCATTAAACATGCTTTCCTCATGCTTTGCATACTGACATGTCACAGTTCTTTGCACTATATTAATATTCTTGTCTATACTATATTGATGAATATTTAATCAATGGTTGAATATTACAAAGTATATTTTTAAAATTTTAATTTATATAAATGTAAAATGCAGCTTTTTTGTAATTATTAGACTTTAACAAGANAACTCTTGAGAAAATCGCATTCACACCTTTGAGTGCAATTAATGCCGTAATGTCCTGGCTATCAACGTAATTAAAAAATGAAGTAAAATTATTTCTGGGTACTGACAGATTGATAAGTTTTATTCTGAAACTACTTTAAATTATTTATAAACAGTTTTATACAAGTATCCCAGTACTAGAAGTGCTTGCTATCGCCAACCATTCTGAAAGCAAGAGCAAACAAAATTGGTTTTGCCTCGAGTGCAAGTTACCATTGAGCCAGAACTCCCAAAATCAATTATATTAGAGACAATAAAATCAAGGATCATATTTACAAATTACACACAGAAACACTTAATTTGTAAAGAGTAAACTCATACCTGGCATTTCTCTTCACAAAAATCACCAATATAACCAGGTGAACACATACATTTTCCGTGGACATGTTCACAAATGGCACCATTCTGGCATTTACATTTTTCATTACAGTTCTGACCATAGTTTCCTTCAGAGCAAGGCATATTACATCTTGTACCATTCCAACCTTTATAAAATACTTTTATAAGAAACATACATTTTTATGTAACTGTTTCCAAAATATATACTCATTACCTGGCTTGCAGAAGCAATAGCCTGTGGTACGCGAACAGTTGTAGCTGTTTTCACATAAGCAGGTGTTTTCGCAATAGCTACCGTAAGTTCCTTCGGGGCATAACTCGGAACAGCTAAAATACATGTAAATATTCTAAAAAATGAATTTTATAAAACAAGTTTTTATATACTTTTAACTTTATAACAATCTGTATCTACTTTTTCCCAGTGTAACCAGGCGAACAATAACATTCTCCAGTTACATGATTACAGAGAGCACCATTCTGACAATTGCAAGTTTCCGAACATTCGCTTCCATAAGTCGGAGCAGGACAAGCATCTTCACAAAAGTCTCCTGTCCATCCGGGTTTACACTTACACTCTCCGCTATAAGGATGACAGCTGAAAAACAATGTCAGACCAGTCAATTAAATATAATTAATAAATAAATTTGTATAACAAATAAATTGAAACCAACATTACAACACATTACATTACATATCATAATGTGCGAGTGTTACTAAACCAAGCACTGACATTAATATTTGGTTCAGTAAGTCATAAAAATGCTAGTTTTATTGTAATTATCTTTAATTTTACAATAAGTTATGTCAATGTTATTGCCCACTTTAACCCCACTCCAGGCTAACTGTTATCCAGAATTTCCTAAATTATTTAAATTTAAATGTTAATTTTTGATCATTAATCATAGCACAAGATGACCAAATAATCATCTCTCTGACCAAATCCTGTAATTTGAATGATTAAAAATTAGCATAAATATAGCCTGAAAATTCAATTCCTGATTGAGAATGAATCAAAAGACACTCAAAAACTATTTCATAATGTTGAGAAATGTTTTTATTATGTTAGGACAATTACAGCTTTATTAAAATGGCTTTCTGTTAGTTAAAAAAGTTCATAAATTACTCACCTGAGGGAATTCTGTGGAACACACTGACACGTCTTATTGCAATAATCACCGTAATTATTTTCAGAACAAGCTAAATTAAAAGATGAATATATCAGTGATTTGATATACACCAAATATTAGTAGAAAATTTCTTTGTTCTCCCAATCATTTACATAAAATATACCTCTCTGTTCGCAGAAAGTACCGACAAATCCCGAGAAACACAAACAATCTCCGTTGTCTTCTCGACACAGACCATTCTCACACAAGCACACCTAAAAGTAATATTTTAAATTATAAAAAGCATTACATCTAAAATAAGCCTATAAATGATTAAAAGTATTACTTCTGAACAATTAAATCCCCACGTTCCTATCGGACACCTGTATTCACACTTTTCACCAAAAAATCCTGCAGGACAAATACACTCTCCTGTCACCGAATGACAATTGGCATTATTATAACAATCACATTTCTGACTGCAGCTTTCTCCATAAAATCCTTTAGGACAAACATCAGCACAAACAGTTCCCTGCACATTAAAAAATGAAAGTATAAAATGATATAATCCAGTATTCGTTGGCTATGTAAGTAAGTCAGGTTTGTAGATGTTAGTTTGTGTATATTGTATTCTTGTTTTACGTTGGGCTATAATAAGGCTAATTTAATGATTAAACAAAGCAATTTGGCTATAGTTCGGCTGGCGTATAAAATGTAAAAATTTATTTATAGTTATTAAATGATATTCTGGATTGGAAGGATCAGTCCGAAGAAGGACTTGAATCCCCAAGTCCTTCTTACTGTGCAGATGCACTGCCAATTATGCTACCTACAGCCAAATTGCTTTGAATCTATTCATTAAATAAGTTGTATTGTAGCCCAATTAATAACTGAATCGGGTTGTTGTATATAAATAATGAATTTTTTCTCAAACAAAATTGAATAAATGCCAAAGTTTTAAGGGCTGGTGACTTATTCTTAAATGTTTTTTAAGACATTTTATCTCATCTTTAGAGCACCATTAATTAATATTCAGATGACTTCTTTAGTCAAATGATAGTCAATCTTGGCAATTAAGATGAAGCAGTAGAGTTTCCTTAGTAACAAACAACTTCATCATTTAGCTGTCAATTCTTTATTAAAGAAACCAGCTTGTCATTATGGAAGAACTGAGAGGAATCTCACTCAAGTCAGCTTGAGACATTTACGACTTCAAATTTAACCATTGCAAGTCTAACTAAATCCACGACAGTTGAGTAGAAATCAGTTAGTTAAAAAGTTAACAAGTTAATATTTTTTTGGCCCTGTGGACACTATTTTATGTAATAATATAAATTCTATTAATGTTTAATTGCTTTGTCTTCAGAAGTATCAATCTTAAACATACAAAAACAAATGAATTAACACAAAAACACCATTTATACTGAAAGTAACCTATTTTTTTCATTTATAACTAGAATATGCAAAATAATTCATCCAGTTACTTATGTGTAATGGATGTGTCAACTATTTGAATATTCAAAAACAATTAAAAATGCTAATGAAATGTTTAAATATAAACACAATCATATTCTAACATAAACTAATTGGATTTTATAATAATAATTTAAAAAATAAACAATCATTTACCGTATATCCCGGTTGACATGTACATAATCCAGTCACGTGATCGCACGTTCCATTATTTTGACACTGGCATTCTTTGCTGCAATTATAACCATGCAATCCTTCGGGACATTTCTCGCTGCATCTGTTTAAACAACAGTTATAATAAATTTACTTTTATAATATAAAATACTTAAAAAATACTTACAAAGGTCCTTGATAACCTGCTGTGCAATTACAAGCACCCGAAATGTGATGACAAATTGCATTGTTTTCACATCGGCATACTTCCTCGCAAAAATATCCATAAAATCCTACATCACATGGTTTACTGCAATCAGAGCCCGTCCATCCTTTGGAGCAAAAAGTTAATATTTATTACTATTATTTTAATTAAAATATGTTTTTCTTCCTGTGAAATGAAAACAGAAGAATCAACATTTTAAAAATTTTTATTGTTTACTGTTGTTGGTGTTTTTATTTACTGTTTTATTAGTGTTTACATAGTTTTAATTCACAATTACATAGAAGTTTACAGTATGGTTAAAGACTGTGTTAAGACAAGTGTATATTTTTTGACTATTTTGTAAATGTTGAGCATGAACAAATGGTTGAATGGCCCATTCTTTACAGTCATTCAACTGTCAGTTATTACAGAAACCTGAAAGTGCTTTAAAATTGCAATTACAAGCACCAATGGGGCAGATAATTGGACAATAAATATTTGATTTTAAAGTGTAGTAAGTTTGATATTGAATATTTATATACATTGAATATAATTAGAAGGAATTCTTATAAAATGCAGCAGTGTTTTCAATATTGATAAGATGCTTTGCTTCCATTATTTCAAAATAATAATAAATCTAAAAGATTCTATACAAAAATAATCTGACATTTTTTTTTATAAGGATAAATTTATGCTATTTGTGATTGTATAAAGATCTGTAAGATGCATGAGTTAAGCATAGAACCTTTCATTCTTTAATGATGTGAGTGTTACTAACAAAATTACATACAAGTGCTTTTGAATAAGTGGCTCATCTTCAAATACAATCACAAATATAATCACAACATATTCTTAAAACACATTTTGAATTTTATTAGTATTTATGCAGCTCATACTTGTAACCTTCCTTGTTTTATTTAACGTCTGAATAACTAACAGTTTTGAACAAACAGCCATTTTCAAATAAGATACAAAACTAAGAATAGAAAGTTTGGTGTGTTAGCTAGTAAAGCAGCTTTAATACAGCTGGATAAATGAGCCAATGGTAGAGTTCCTTTCAAATGAAATGGGCTGTCATTGACTTACTTATCCAGCTGTATTAAAGCTGCTTTACTAACCAACACACCATCTACTGTACACTATCACCATGATAATTAGAAAGTTCAAATGGAATATCATTTTTTTTAGTGTTTTATCTTATCTTAATGTGTTTCTATTAACATATTTATTTATATTTTTAAAATTCTTAATTAAATTATCATAATAAATAAAATACAATAAAATTAATATACGTAAAATGCTTTCAAAATAAATTTAATCCTATTCACAACAATCTCCATTAACAGAAATATTTTCTACATTTGAAATTTACTTTTTTAAAGTTTAACATATTAAATGAAAAAAATGTATAGACTATCTAAATCCAATTAAGTTCTGTCCCCATAAAAACTTATTATCGACACAAAAACTCATTCCAAATTACTATAAAACATTGCCTACCAGAAATTTAATAGTCTCACCTGTACAAATATCGACCTTTAAATCTATTATCGCTGACATTATTAGTCAAAGAAACTAACGACCAGAAGTCTAATTAGTCAAACAATGTTAATTCTTTTTTCTTGGAAAACAAATTGCATTACAAAGCCATTTCTTTTGTAAATTTTCTTTTGTGCTTACTTAATGAAGTCCCTGGAGAATCATCAGTTGGCAATTTATTTTTTATACCGTTAATCAAGTATATAATCTCATTAGTTCTCACCTCATTAAATATCATATGCTGACAATTTCAAATTTAATAACAACTTTTAAATTAAGCAGGTAGAGTTGATGTAATATGTATTTTGTAATGTTCAATTAATTGAGTATTTGGAACGTAAATTTCTATAACTGGTTTGTACAACAAGTTCTCACTTTGTCATCTTGCCATTATGTTATTTAGGAAAGATACATGAACTGTACATTTGTAATCATTTACAATTATTGTTGAATTTTCTTTATAAACAGTAAAACTGATTCTATGAAATGGAGAATAAATGCTGGAGGTTGCAAACACGATGTATTTACAGGGTGTCGAAGTTACTGTGCAATGGAAAAGGTTTAAGTAAAGTTTTATTAACATACGACGTTGTAGTTTCTCCTAGAGCAGATGCCAGAAATGTTCCCCAGATGCCCCCAAAATATGAGGAAGTGAAATCCAGAGATCTATGAAGCTAAATTCCATAGGAGATTATGCAATCAGCAAAGAACTCTTCCAAAGACTAGGTCCAAAAACCAGAACATCTGTGAGCCATCAGTAATGCCATTTATCGCAAAGTGGAAATGTGGGACATAAAACTTATACGTACGGTATTGCACTTGAGACCCATAACTTTAATGTCATTACAAATTTCTAACTGAGCATACTGTAGAATAATATTAACTGAATTATATCTTGTTTATATCATTAAGTCTATGGTAAAACTGGTTTTGTTATATGTCATTTCAATTAACGATGCAGCTTCTAAGAATCTATTGACAGTGTTACACGAGGCCTTGCCATATTTACTAAATAATCTCAAACTGCTTGTGTGTTTAGATTATTTTATTTAATAAAGCTCAGTATCATTAATGTTTAGATAACTTGGGCAATACATTAAAAGAACCTTCTAAAAATATTTTGTTTACATTTTGTAGGGAACAATTTTGAATGATCCTAAGAGTAATCTGTTATGGAAATTATTACATATTTATATGAGATATAATGTTTAAAATTAGATGAGCAAGTTAGTTACTGTATTAGGAACGATCTAATAATACTTTAAAGAATTAAAATATGCTTTAACAGAGTCTAAATAAACAAAATTAGAGTATAGAGCATTTTCCAACAAGCTGTCCACCTTATAATACAGTTCTTTCAGTCGTTTTTTGGTACACATTTAATAGCACCAGGCATCAGAAAAAAAAAAAGGTAAATATATAAGTAAATACAAAAACATAAAAATAAACTGAACAAATTAATGACAAATAATCAAATTGAATGGGTGTGATAAGAAAATTAACTGATAAAGAATGGCAAATGATAACTACATACAGTGTTTAATTATCAAATGTCTTTAGAATATGACTTTATGTAGAGGAAAGAGATTAGTTTCTATAATAGAAAATAAAACTTCTCAGTGTCATCTTCAGTTTTAATCATCGGACATAATAATTATGTACTATATAACCTGTTTTTTAGGTACTAAATTAGTAAAAACACCACGAAACAAGTTTAAATTCAGTTAACTAATATTAATGACTTTGAGAACATATGATATGTTATTTCAAATGCTAATTAATAGATAAGTACTTCAATAACATACAGTAATGGAAGTAGGATTTTCATTCTGGGAGAGTGGAGGTGAGATGGAATATTGTTCTAGTAGGGTGAATGTTATCTGCATATTTTATCATCAGGCAAACTAATTTTTAAAATTTAGCAATTGATTTTCAAGTAGGTATATAAGAAGAAAAGTTTAGTGAGAATGCATAGTTCATATCTACAGAAACTATCTAATAATGGTCAATATAAATAGACTTATACCATTGAATTATTTCAAAGTGAGCAAGCAGGTGGGTTGGGAAATTTTAGAGTGGGCTGGTGCCCTATAATCTTGCAGCCTGACATTCTGGGAACCCGAGATCAAATCTGAATGGGTTGAAAACCTTGAATTTTTTGGAAATGTTGGGCTCTATCCCTAACCACCCAGTCACACTATTGTGGGACTGGATGAACCATAATGGGCTTGCTAAAAAAAGGCTTTCCTAGTGTCCATAGAATGGAAAAAGTTAAAAAGTACAATGAAACTAATGTCTATTTCTTCTTTGATTTAACAAAGCAGATTTGTTGTTTCTTAATAATTAACAACAACACGGTTTCATCAGAATCAAAAGCAGATTTGTGTTTGAAATTTGAGTGTTAATTAATAACATTTTTTAAACAGCCTAACTTCTTTTCACATTTTATTTTATTATTATTATTAGTAAAAGCATTAAATTTCAGCTTTTTCTCAATAAAATTCATATTAATAAAATGTTTGCTCTCATATAAATACAAAACAATTAATTTGATAGAATTTTATAAGTGCAATATGTTGTAAATGTATGAAAATCAACTTATTACAACATATAGTAAATTCAAAAATGAGAAAAATGATATACAAAACTTACCTCTTGAACATGTACAGTTACCAGTTACAGGATCACACACACCACTATTCTGACATATGCAATCTGCATTACAATTTAATCCCCATTTTCCAGATTCACAAGCTGAAATATTCAACAGTGAACATCAAATAAATTAATAAAACTGCTTTATGATACATGATTATACAACTTACAAGAATCACATGAACTTCCTCTCCATCCTTCTTTACATTCACATTTATCAGGTGCCACACACAATCCGTGTAAACACGGTTGATGGCATATAGCTACAAATAATCACATAAATTAAATTTTGATATCAAAATAATATTTTTAACATGTACAGAACACTTACGAATGCATTTGGATTCAGCCTGAGTGTAGCCAGAACAGCATTCGTTAACGATTCTCTTCTTAACTTCGGCTTCTGTTTTGTAAGCAACATTATATTGTATTCTAAATGAGATAATAATAAAATCAAAAGTCTATATTAACTTTTTCTTTCTAAAATTACATTCTTTAAACAAGCATACTTATATTTAGAACATCTCGGTGGTATATTAAAACACCACGTAAATGTTCTCACTTGGTACGGTCTTCTATATGCAACCCTCTTCGTTACGACGTAACTAAACAGCGCAAAAACACTAAATGGTTAAACGCGCACAATCCGTATTTCATATTAATTAATTAAATAAAATACCTTTCTTCTTTCTTACACACATTTGGCCCATCAGGAAGAGATATCAAGGCATTAACTGTTACTAATGACAGCAAAAATATCACAGATATCACTGCATTTATCTACAAATGAAAATGTTTTAGTATCAGATGTAAAAATGTCTAAAAAATATTTTTGTAATTAGAACTTCTCATATATTTATTGTTTATTAAATGGTTTGAAATATAAACAATTGTTAGTCACGAGAATACAACAGTTAGTAATCTAGCAATGCCTGCTAATTCACATGCTCTAAGCTGATCAATGCTCAGAGGATATTGATATTCTGCACTTGATCAGTATAAAAAATCAGAGTTAAAATTTGATACAAAATTTTATTTTATGATAACTAAGGATTCTGTATACTCAATCAACTACATACGACCTTTATAAACATCTTTCAAAACCCGATTCTTTACTATAAAGCCACACCAACTGCCATATAATATCGGGCTATATTCCAGTGATAATCAGTAATTCAGATTATTATCGCCGGAATATAGCTCAATATTATATGACAGTTGGTGCGGCTTTATACATACAACCTTGTACAGTAGCAAAAATGTTCATTAAATTAACATTTTTGGTCATATTTAATGATGATCATCAGGTAAATTGTTAGATTTTTTGAATAGCAAAAACATTAGCAAAGATGTTGTATGTATTTGAGTGATCTACTGAAGCAGTTATTTTATGAATTATTCTGTATACACTAAGTGTATGCAGAGTACTTATACATGCAAACATAGAAATCCACACTGCTTTTTTTTCAGGTGTGAATTTCAATTTTTACAATGTGATGCAAGGAATTTGCAAAAATTAAGGACGCTTTCTATGCAATAGCATACTTGTATGCAGTATCCAAGTACTGTATTAAGAGCAACTGGATGTGCAAAAATGAATGAAAAAAATGCATCACGGTACACATTATAACGAATAATTTTTAAAGAGGGTATTACTAAGCAAATATAAACTTCTCAAAACTGTGAATGGTTATATCCAAGATTAAATATGTCTGGAAGTGAAGAATTGATTGATAAGCCTGCCATCATCAAGCTACATCATAATTTTGTTCTATAATCAAACTACTGTAGCTTTAATTTACAAGTAACGGTATCAAGAAAACAGTCAGAGTTCTTAGAAATTCATGAGAAACCTATTTTACTGAAGTAACTATCAGTAAACCTCACTTTCTCAAATGTTTTCAGACCAATAAAGAACTGTGTATAATTGTGTTTGTTTCTCTAAAGATGACCTTTACCATCAAAAATTGTAAAAGACTGGGTTTAATGATAATTACACCAATAAAAATAGGCCCCTGAAGAATTTACTATTAAAATTCTTAATACAGTAACAAAAAGTGTTTACTGTATTATGCATCAGTTGTGCTTAAATTATTTCTAAGAGAGACCAGCACAGTGGTGGATTTACCGGGAAACAAAACAAGCAACTGCTTGGGGCTTGGCTCGGAGAGGGACCTTGTCAGGTTGTTTACTTTATTGTTTTTTATTTTAGTTGCAAGGGGCTCCGAAAAATTTAAGTTGCTTGGAGCATCCTTCAGAAAAATAAATCTGACACTGGACCAGGATATAGCCATTTAACCAAACTTAAGAAAAAAAATATAAATGACAAACATTTAAAACAAACTTGCAGCTATCGTAAGAAATTAATAAAAGTTGTTTGCGTGAAATTTAATCAGAATAAACAGCATATCTTATTCAATTACAGATGTAAAGAGTCTATTGGGAGCAGTTATAATATTATTATTAATTTCTTATTTTATTCTTTGTACATAAAAAAAATTAACATTTAAAATCAATCTATGGCATTAAAACACTCAATTTATCTAAAATTAATATTAATTTTTAAATTATTACACACAAACTTTTTGCATCTGTTCACAAAACTGGACACAAAACATTGCTTATAAATAAATTTAAACAAACAGTTCTTAAGAAATGTAAAGACAAATACATTAAATTACACATGACTAAATTATGAATGGAAAGAAAAGTATGAAATGTAAATCATAACAAGTGCAGTAATTACAGCTGTTATTTAAAATGACAGCTTATTGCCTTGGAGACTCACACATTGTCATCAAATCTCTCTTAACAATTGGAGAAAATGAAATTATCTTCTTGATTTATTCATTGATTAAAATATAAAATTTCATACTCAGCTTTTGTGACTGAAATATAATTATGTTTAAAATTAGCAAACATGTAACTTTATAATTTGTGATTTCTATCATTTTAGTTTAATAATAATAATAATAATAATAATAATAAAGAAAAAAGAATATAATCAAATATGTTAACATTCAGAAATAATTTCCTTAAAGAAAATGTAATAATTTCCTTGCATACAAGTGTTTTATTTAAGGAAATTATATTGAATCTGTCATGTAAATTCAGGATTGTACAAAAACTTGTGCACTATAATTGTCATTCTTCTCTTCATCTCTTACCTTTTCATTAATAATTCTTAAATTTTAAAAAATTTCACACAATTTTGTGAAAAAAAAAAAAATCAACAGTAGGAAGCAAATTTAAGCTAATTCTTAGATTAATAATTATAAATTAATTCTGAATTCTAATTAAAGAGTTGATTAATTATTAAACTATAGAAGATTCAACTATTGAGAAATGCTTAATATTAAAATGCTTAATAGTAAAATGCTCCAAAAATACCTTAAAAATTGCATTAATCTCTTGAATTTCTAACATTTTCAACCATATTTAACTGACCTCCTTTGAATGCAACCATAAGTTTTGTAAGTTTATCCTGAAGAAATTTGTTTAAATATGGCTGAAAACATTAGAAATTCAAGTGATTAATGTAATTTTTAAGGTATTTTTGGAATGTTTTACTATAGAAGATTCCTTTGAAAACTATTAATGGGATCAAAAACATTAGAACTATCTAAATTAATAATATGGTAATTAAATGAGTATTCTTTTCTTTTATTGTTGGGATCACCGACTATACATATGTTAAATAATTCTTAAAAATTCCATAATCCTGTATCTGCAGTTGTATAGGAACTATCAGTAATTCAACGACTATGGTAATTCTACATTTTGCATCATTGAATTACCAATAGAGTTCCTATACACTTACAGACACCAGATTATAGAATTTTCAAGACTTATTTAATAAAAGTATTATTTTGTTAATGCATTCTAATATGGTTTATTTAAGATGGCCAGATGGATGAAGTTAGCAAAGGCATCAGTCTTCCACTCTGGGGAAGCTGAATATGTATCTGGTTTGAAATCCCATAAGTTTTCATGGGTGATTTGACTAAGTCAGACTTTGTCCTTCATTAATCAGCCATTGCTGTCATGGTCCAAGCAAAACCCATGATAAACATTAAGAAAGTTGTTTAATATAAATCTTTTCTTTATGTAAAATTTTCCTCGTACGTTTCTCCTTCATGATTATTTTAGTTGCAATTATACAATTTATATTCATTGTAATCACATAAAACAAGTTGTTAAGGCTTTATATGATGTATTTTAATGATAGAGTATATAATTTGGCCAATTTAATTAATTAAATTGGGTTACAAGTTGTTATTGATATATATGTAAACATTAAATATTTTCTATTCATAATCAATCTCTAATTTTTTTTTAATTAATAAATTATAGGAAAAAAAATTGTTAAATGTTTTTAAGATGAATTTTTAGCATCAAAAAAAGTTTTTTTGAATTGAAAAATAATATTTTATATTTTTTGAAAATATTTCAAATGTAAATTTGATGTGCTCATGGTTTAAATTTATCATCTTGTGTCAGAACAGACTTGAAACAATTTTTAAAAGCTTGACAGCACCATACTGAAAATGAAAAATTGTAAAATGTGCAGTATGTACTAGTGAAAAATATCATACATTTGCACTTTTTCGCTTTATAAGAATATTTTTTTTTTAAATTTACAAATACGCCATCCCCGTCAATACGAACCACCTATTTATTTTGTTGGAAACCGTTTTAAAATATTACTAAAAACTCGAGTCAAGCTCCTCAATTATAAATATTCAATGTCAAACATCAAAATTTCAGTTTTTTCCATTACTAAATAATAGGCAACATTTTTTTAAATAATAAATATTTGTAAAATATAAATAAAAAGTATAGTGGAAACTGATTATTTGAGTTCTGAGTATAACTAAGGTTCCAGTTTATCCAAGATAAAGCAGCAAGTGTAACATACTACGGTACTTTACTATGATTCATAAAACCATTGCTGTAAATGTACCAAGCACATAAATGCATAGTACTGTACTTTAAACCTCAACTGTACTGCACAAGAGATTGACGAGATAGTGACTGTTGGAATCTGGGCCTAAGCCACTCACCTAGTCCCAACTGCACACATCCTGTATGTTCAGCTATTGTCAGTGTGTTGCTACATCTTTAATTAATAAAACTTACAAGACTTCATTTTGAATATCACAAAGAGACGGAAAAGGAAGTGTGTTGTGGTATCCTTTTAATCCGAAATGGCTGTGGCCGTCTGTTTTATCCAAGCTTTCATTTATCCGAGGGTAGCGTCAGTCCTTATTAGCTCGGATAATCAGGGTTCTACTGTAAATCATTTGAGTATTTTAGGATAGTTCTGAAGGTTAAGATTACATTGAAACTAAACCTGAACTCCAAATATACATAAATCTAAATCCAGGAATAAGTAATAACTATATTAACCTCACAATTTAGGTCTGTAACTTCTATTTTTGGAAATCCAGAAGTGAATAATTTAAAGATTTACACTTAAATCTTTGAATTTTATTTTTATGTTGGAAAATCTAGAAAAATAGTCAGAGCTACAGAGAGCACTGGAGAAAGTACAAAGGGAGAAGAAACGCAGACCAGACTCCCTTCATAATGAAAAAGTTAATAAATTATTTTTCCTATTTCTAGCATTTTTAACTGTGGAATTAACTACAGAGTTAATAGTTTATACATTTTTAATAATCAAATATGAAAGTATTAAAATTTGTAGCGATTTATATTACATTTTACATTGAGAATCCCCTTTATGTTGGATCTAGTTATGCTACTGGTTGAACATAATC